ACTGGATTGGTGAAAGCTATGTATGTATTGTATTGCTTTCACCTATCCAATCAATGAAATGTTGCCAAATTAGGAGTGCATATACGATAAGGTCATTGCTAATTTGCTGCTAATACCCGCTTATCCACAATGACTTCATGGCTAATTATCTGTATTATACTCAGCGTCATTTAAAGTCCCAAGGAATGTATGGGTATGACGATCTATACTGAACAAAAATATAAACGCAACATGTAAAGTGTTGGTACCATATTTAATGAGCTGAAAAAACAATCCCAGGAACTTCCCATACGCACAAAAAGCTTATTTCTCTAAAATGTTGTGCACAAATTTGTTTACATCACTGTTAGTGAGCATTTCTCCTTTGCCAAGATAGTCCATCTACCTGTCAGGTGTGGCATATCAAGAAGCTGATTAAACAGGATGATCATTACACAGGTGCACCTTGTGCAGGGGACAATAAAAGGCCACTTTAAAATGTGCAGTTTTGTTACACAACACAATGCCACAGATGTCTCAAGTTGAGGGAGTGTGCAATTGGCATGCTGACTGCAGGAATGTCCACCAGAGCTGTTGCCAGAGAATTTAATGCAAATTTCTCTACCATAAGCGTTATTTTAGAGAATTTGGCAGTACGTCCAGCCGGCCTCACAACCGCAGACCACGTATATTTTTGTATATAAGCACTAGAATAACTAAAATCTGCTCCATAGTCAACTGCTAAGGTGGTGGTCTCAAGCCTAGTCTCTACCCCCCCCCCCATTCATTCTAATTGAGCATATACTGGGAGTAATTCATAAGCCAGTAATGAGGATTTATTGTTGCAATATAATCAAAGTGATTTGTTGTGTTCGGAGCTGCAGCATTTGGGAGAGGGTGTGTGTGTGACTAAAGGACTGAGGCGGGGCTGGAGGAGTGGGGTGGCACGAGGAGAGGGGAACGATGGCCTCCTTTACCAAATGGGCAAAGGCGGCACGGCAGATGGCATGGCTCCCTCTGGACGGCCGGCCGCTGGGAGAGGAAAAACAGTGCAGGTTTATTAACGCTGACCTCAACACAACGGGTCTAGCGGTGTGTTTGTGATCATGTCAGCATTCTCAATCATCGCCCCGGACACCGCGTCATCCTGACAGAGACGAGGAGATGCTCAACAGTGGCACGCCTGTAGCATCCCTCCCTCCCTCCCTCACAGCCTGTTGCCAAAGACAAGGTCCTACTCATCAGTCACACAGATCCTGGTGACTAAACTGTGACATTTTAAAGCCCCCGTCGTCACTTTTGACTGACACTCTTCCCATCTGCAGAGGCAAGCTGCCGCTGCCACAGAGGGCCATGGGAGGGGAGGAGGGATAAGAGGGAGGTTAGGGCAATGATCAATTTCCTTCCCAGCGTAGCCATGGAAACCCGTGGCTGTAGCACATCGCTCCTCCACTCTTGGCTTTCCCTGCTCCGTGTGTCTGACCAAAACCAGGCAAGCTTTCTCTCCCCATCTCTGTCACGAAACCCAGCACAGGAGCCCTATGTCTCCTCCAGCCAGACTACAGAGCAGTATTCTTAACCAGGCTGTGCTGGGTTAGCGGGTTACACAGAGAGAGGAGAGGAGTCAACGCCCCAGCCTCGATAGGTCCCACTGGACAGAGGTGTCTTGCTAAAACCCATCAATAATGCACCGTAATGGAGTGTGCTCAACACAATGACTAATTTCCTTGACAGGGTGTGCGGACTGCACTCTGTGTGTGTGTGTGCGGTCCCACCACTGATGCATCCTCCTCTTGTTTACATGATAAAGGAACACGCAAGGTAGCTAGCTCTATCAGCTCTGGGAGGTCCTTGGACCGTGAATCAGTCAAACTGTATAGTACACCTGGTCACGGCTGGCAGAGGTCAGGACAAGAACACGCTCCTCTCTTAATGGTTTAAATAACTTCCCCCTTTTCATGGCCATACAGCCCCACAGTGGATGTGTCATAATACCCATAAAATCTAGCGGTAAAACAAGGAAATGGTTCCAATCGTTTTTCCCCATAGGGAATTTTAGAAACACTTAAAATAAGGCCTGTGTTTCGTGTAGGCTTACCCTGGCGTTAAGTTTTGATAACCACGTAAAAGGTGACTTTTATCAATATATTTCGGCTCTATTTCCTCGGTTTCGAAAATGCTAATTAGCATCAAAGTAGACATCATGCAAGACTATAAATCCCTGCAAGCTCCTGCACGTCATCTCTAGCTGACACCTTTGTTAACAGGTATTGTTCACAGAACTGTCATTTTAATGACATTTTACCAATTTATTCCTTACTAAATTTAGCTGACATTATATAGTTAATTCAGAGATTCTTACCTTTGCCTCGATTCGGCAGTCTCGTCCAGTTCATCATGGCATTTGTAGTTCTTTATGATAGCCACATTAGCAGCTAATTAGCATTTTATTTAAATACAGGCGAATTTTTTGATAAGTCAACTTGTCCTAGAGAGATTTACAGGGTTATGAAAACGTCACGCCAGGGTAAGCCTACACGAAACACAGCCCTTATTTGAATATCCCCCATAGGAAAAATGAATGGTAGAAAAATGATTGGAACCATATCCTTGTTTGACCGCTAGGTTTTATGGGTATTATGACTCATACTGTGGTACTCTTGCCACACAACAGTGGATAGACCTGTGGTAATGAGCTCCATCCCTGTGTGGACTGACAGGGGTGTCGGTCTCGCTAAGCTCCTGAGGGAAAATGCTTGTTTCCTGAGATTTGGAGGGGTGGGTTTTGGATGTCACCCACAGCACCACCTCCCATAATGACCAATTCACACTAGAGCCGGCTGTGCACGTGGACACCCCTCGGCTCTCACACACCCTGGGAACTATATTTTTAAAACGGCCGACCTGTTGTTCCTAATTCCACCTGACAAGCTTTTTATTCTCCATCTCAGACTATAAATAGGGCACAGAAACTTTGGAATCTCACACACATAATCCCCCGGCCCCAAAAATAAATGTGTCTACGGTGTCACAGCTTTCACGGTTCACATGAGTGGAGAGAGACTACGCTGAGCTTGCAGCATCATCAAAACGGAGACGATAGTACTGTATGTGTGTGTGCCACGGCTATACTGCCTACAAAGGCAAAGTGCAGTAACTACGTCATTTCTTTTACTGCAAAATCTGACTTCAGTCTTTCTGTCTAGACAGAAAGCTTTTTCTGGTACTTCAAGATGTATTCTGATCGACTGGCTTGTTTTTGTGTCAAGAAACAGAACACCACATTAAATCAGATAATATACCTGGCCATTACAACAGATCAAAGATTTGTGACCAAATTCGTAGTTACTGCATTTTGCCTTTGTAGGGCAGTATCTCTCGCCCATGTTTACAGACAGTATTTTGTCTGTGTCTCTGCCATGGGCTCAGATGGGAAAAGGGCAGCGCAGGAGTGTCACACGAGCCTAATTGAATTTCAGGAGGGCACTCGGGCAGTATAGCAGCTCCAAATGGTCCATTTCACATTGAGCTACTGACGTCAGAACCCTATGGTTTTATTACAGAGGCTGCTTCCGTGCTAAAGCTGACGATTTTCACCCTGGGACCTGAAAAAGACACCGCCACGCTTCTACCACAGAGCATGGAATACTACTGGGAGCTGGTGACGTGAGCTTGGGTGTGTGTCCAGAACTCGCTCAAACACAATGTACTTCAACAGTACCTCTACCTCAACAGATCAACTTAAACATGGAGACCAATTGTCTTTGATTAACTATTTCCAAACTATACATCTGATTTTTTTGGTTCAATATCTGTCAATGTGTTCCCCTGGTTTGATGCATTTCTCTAAGTAATTCCGTTGAGAATTTCCATCTCTTTTTCGGGGGAGACGGGTATATCTATAAATTCTATAAAATGGGGTAACATGGGGCCAATAGATTCTGGAAAAGGGGATACCTAGTCAGTTGTACAACAACGCATTCAACTTCCACATTTAACCCAACCCCTCTGAATCAGAGAGGTGCAGAGGGCTGCCTTAAATCGACATCCACGTCTTCGGTGCCCATGGAACAGTGGGTTAACTGCCTTGCTCAGGGGCAGAACAATTGATTTTTACCTTGTCATCTCGGGGATTCGATCTAGCAACCTTTCGGTTACTGGCCCAACGCTCCAACCCACCAGGCTACCTGCCGCCCCTGACTATCCTCCATAATATTTCAGTCTGGCTTCCCTCCCTGTCTCTCTATACAAATGACAGAAAGGACATGGCAGTGCTTTCCAAAGTTCTACAGCCCCACTGGCACCCCAGCCTGGCCAGCTAACAGGGCTAATCACCACCACCTGACGGCCTGCTAAATGATGTCTAGCTGAAGGAAAACATTGGTCCGGAAGCTCAGGTTGAGGCCCACAGACAGATGTCCTCTCTTTTTTTCTGATTGCAGGTAGAGAGCGATCGGAAAATACATTACTGTTTGGCAAAGCGGAGGTGCTTGGCAGAGCAGCAAGCATCTGGGATCTTAATTTAATTCTGTGTTTTCATCCAGGACTACATTAACAGAATCCAATATTTTAATCGATGTTGGCTGTGTGCGCGCGTGAACGACAGAGCAAAGCCACACACACACGGATGAACGACAGAGCAAAGCCAATGACAATGCCATTATGAAGAAGTTATTTGTTGCTGTGTCATGAAGTTCCCGTGAGCTACAGTGTGACAGACAGAGAGAGAGAGAGATTAAGAGATAGAAGCAAGTGAGTGAGTGGAATGTCGGGGGCCGACTTCTATCTGCTCCCAGTGTGAGTGATTAGATATAGCACGTTAGGAGTCAAACTGGAGCTGTGTTTCTGTCTGTGGTCCCTTAGTTTCCTCCATCAGAGAGAAACACCCACACACAGGCTTATGAGACGCTGACACCTGCCCTCCCAGCCTGGAGGAAATCATTAGAAACACCTCTCTCCTCTCTTTTTCTACTGCTCTTTCCCTCCGCCCCCGCCCTCTCGCCATCTTCCCAGCCCTCTTTCTACCTCCCAACCTCCCTCTGCTTCTCACTCCCCCCCACCCTCTTTCTCTCCATCTCCCCCTCCCTCCCCCCCACCCTCCCCTCCCCCTCTCTCCCCCCTATCTTCCCCTCCCTCCCCTCCCCCTCACCCTCCCCTCCCTCCCCCCCCTCTCCCCCACCCTCCCCCATCTTCCCCTCCCTCTCCCTAAGCAGAGCTGGTGACTGATCGCTATCTTCCACGCTATCAGCCTGCACAGCCCGTGTCAAGGACAGGAGTAAATTAAAAACAGGGGCAATATTATCTACCTGGGAAATAATAAACAGTGAATGTATGATCTGCCACTGTCCTCATATCGTCCCAAAGGAGAGTTTGTCCTTTATCTGCTGGGTTTTTTTAAGCAGAGGCTGGTAGCTACTGTAACAAGGGAGCATGGTGAGTGTTATGGTTTGTCATTACAAAGAATGATACTACAGTAGAATTGAGAGCCATTAAACACTGATGTTGGGCCAGGTTGAGGTGTCAGGAAAGCTGCGAGGTAGCCTAACTATGTATGAAAGGATGAGGCACTGTAGGATAGCCTGATAGCGGGGAGGGGGGGGGGGGGTGATTTGACAGCTCACCTCTTTGAAGCAAGGCGAGGGGTTGCGCAACTGCTCCAGCATGGCCCACTTGACGGAGGCCTGACGGATGTTTCCGTCGTACTCGCGGGAGCTCTGTGTGCCGCTGGGGGTTCCGCGTGAACGCTCATAGCCCGGCTCGTTGAAGTAGGGCTCCGACACTAGGATCAGAGATTGCACCGATACCAGCACCTGTAGAGAGATGGGGAGGAGAGAGATTAATGGAATGCATTTGATATTATGAAATACACATACAGCCATAACTTGTAGGGAGGTTACCGAAGGGGGTGTGTGGGGAGAAAGAGAGAGGAGGGGGAGCAAGAGTGATAAAAGAGAGCAAGAAAAAGTTGGAGGAGACAAAAGCAGGGGGATACAGTGAGGGAAAAAAGTATTTGATCCCCTGCTTATTTTGTATGTTTGCCCACTGACAAAGAAATGATCAGTCTATAATTTTAATGGTAGGTTTATTTGAACAGTGAGAGACAGAATAACAACAAAAAAATCCAGAAAAACGCATGTCAAAAATGTTATAAATTGATTTGCATTTTTATGAGGGAAATAAGTATTTGACCCCCTCTCAATCAGAAAGATTTCTGGCTCCCAGGTGTCTTTTATACAGGTAACGAGCTGAGATTAGGAGCACACTCTAGAAGGGTGTGCTCCTAATCTCAGTTTGTTACCTGTATAAAAGACACCTGTCCACAGAAGCAATCAATCAATCAGATTCCAAACTCTCCACCATGGCCAAGACCAAAGAGCTCTCCAAGGATGTCAGGGACACGATTGTAGACCTACACAAGGCTGGAATGGGCTACAAGACCATCACCAAGAAAACAATTGGTAACACACTACGCCGTGAAGGACTGAAATCCTGCAGCGCCCGCAAGGTCCCCCTGCTCAAGAAAGCACATATACAGGCCCGTCTGAAGTTTGCCAATGAACATCTGAATGATTCAGAGGAGAACTGGGTGAAAGTGTTGTGGTCAGATGAGACCAAAATCGAGCTCTTTGGCATCAACTCAACTTGCTGTGTTTGGAGGAGGAGGAATGCTGCCTATGACCCCAAGAACACCATCCCCACCGTCAAACATGGAGGTGGGAAACATTATGCTTTGGGGGTGTTTTTCTGCTAAGGGGACAGGACAACTTCACCGCATCAAAGGGACGATGGACGGGGCCATGTACCGTCAAATCTTGGGTGAGAACCTCCTTCCCTCAGCCAGGGCATTGAAAATGGGTCGTGGATGGGTATTCCAGCATGACAATGACCCAAAACACACGGCCAAGGCAACAAAGGAGTGGCTCAAGAAGAAGCACATTAAGGTCCTGGAGTGGCCTAGCCAGTATCCAGACCTTAATCCCATAGAAAATCTGTGGAGGGAGCTGAAGGTTCGAGTTGCCAAACGTCAGCCTCGAAAACCTTAATGACTTGGAGAAGATCTGCAAAGAGGAGTGGGACAAAATCCCTCCTGAGATGTGTGCAAACCTGGTGGCCAACTACAAGAAACGTCTGACCTCTGATTGCCAACAAGGGTTTTGCCACCAAGTACTAAGTCATGTTTTGAAGAGGGGTCAAATACTTATTTCCCTCATTAAAACACAAATCAATTTATAACATTTTTGACATGCGTTTTTCTGGATTTTTTTGTTGTTATTCTGTCTCTCACTGTTCAAATAAATCTACCATTAAAATTATACACTGATCATGTCTTTGTCAGTGGGCAAACGTACAAAATCAGCAGGGGATCAAATACTTTTTTCCCTCACTGTAGGTGAGAAGATTGCAGAGACTACAATGAGCAATGCAGCAGAATGCATGGGGACACTAAGAGAGCATCAGACAAAAGCATGATTTTTCATCCTCAAAAACAAAACAAAAAACTTCTATACATCTTTATTAACGATTCAATGAATGCCCCAGGCTGTCTCAAGGAGACTGGGTACACTGCTTCGCCATCACTCTGCCCAGTGTATATTACCCACAGAGCCAGACACTAGCTGGACGGCTGCCTGCCCGTCTGCCAGGCCAAGCTGGACAACACTCATCGTGTACCCTGACGGTCAAGTAGATGTCAGCGTAACAATAGATCTAGATTAGCCCAACCCTTACCGCAACCATCAGTCGGGATGAAGAATTTGATACTGTATGAGTGCCAAGGGACACTGTCTACCAACTCTGACCCTGGTGACCTTTCCTTTATACCCTCTCCTAGCTCCCCACCCGCAACCTTCCCCAACCTGCTCACCGGATCTAGATATCAGGACCGGCTGATTTTCACTTGATTCCACCACTTCCCCATTCAGCCTCCTATTTCCATTATTGATCTGGCAGACACCAACTAGAATGATAATCAATGGAGACATCTCTATGAACTCTCCAACCCTGCAAATGAGGGAATTTAAAAATAGGGAGCCATTTCCAAGGACTCTAGCTGGCTTGTTGCCGGATCAATATACACAGAAAATGACTCCCCCCGTATGCACAGTGGATGACATGTATGCTGGAGGTGTGTGTGTGTGTGTGTGTGTGAGAGAGAGAGAGAGAGGGAGGGGGGCTGGGTTAGAGGAGTACATTGGGGCTGTAGGCTGTGCTTCCCTCTGCTTGTGTTCCCCTGCGGCTGGCCAGCCCAAAGCTCCCTGGGCTCTGGGAGATTTATAGCTTTATTACTCTGATGGATGCTCCATCTCTCCCTCCCTGTTCTCCAGGCCTGCCTGGGACACACTGCCTACAGACAAGGGGAGAACCACTGCCCCCTCTCATTGAAAGCCACGGAAGTACACGGCTGACCGCAGTAAGCAGAAAACAGGATCCCCCATTATAGTGAATGGAAAAAGGGCACTCTGTGTACATTTTTTTTATTTTTATATGACAATCTAGGTACCAATAATTGCTTCTAATACACCAGATGTCCATGAACCGATTATTTTTGTAATTGCACACAGAAGTTATAAGGATAATTTAGTTGCTAATGGCAGCCTGCAGTACTCTGGTCGGCCTTCAACTCAAGTTACTTAGTGAGAGGTGGCAGAACTGAGCTGGCCTTGAAAAGTCAATTCCTGGAGTAGCTCAAACTGCACATGTTATGTCTCCATCTTAACCGACTTCATTTGGCTTCAATGTGCTATTGAATCTTCACATAGGAATGAATGGGGTCACGTGATCGATGGCTTTGTCCATTCATATATAATCATTGCTACAGACCGACCCCAGGGCTGTGGCTCTAATGACACCATATTCCATATACAGTGTACTACTTCAGACAATCATGTCACCCCATTTCGTATATAGTGCACTCAAAAGTAGTGTACTATATAGGGAATAGGGTGTTATTTGAGATTTGCTCCAAGGTCTCTACCAGTGTGACACAAACAGACTACAGACTGGCTGTCAATGATAAAGCTGGTGATAAAAACCCTTAGCAGCCCATCTCAGAGTGATGGGTGTCGAGATGGTATTGCCTTGGGGTTAAGTGATGGTGCAATGCTGGGACTAGTATGGGTTTGCACAACACACACGCCAACATAAACCCTATTAATGGGTTTACAGTATGGAGGATCCTTCATGGCATCTGTCAAAACAGCCATCTATTAATACACACCCTGGGGTCACAGACACAGGCTGATGATCCAACATCACCAACGACTGATGAGATGGACTCTGGTTTTGACAGCAGAAACAAACAGACACATGAAAGGGTGGTGGAGGTATAACACAGTGGATTTCTGTCTCACCTGTAAAAAGCTAGAGGTCTGAGGGTTCCATTTCTCCTCCGGTCTCCCGTGCCAGGTGTTGAGGATACTTAAACACACCTGGAGAAGACAGAACAGATCAAGGGTTGAAGACAAGAGAATGACTGTCAGGTAAACATCCACAGGCAGAGGCCCTCCTACCCATCCATCCACCCATCATTCAGAGGGAAAGCTGAGAGGCAGTTTGCCCTGGCCTCCCCACCAGTGGTATCTCTGCTGTAGAAAGCCCACAGTAATTCTTATAGCAGCTGTCTCATTCCATTATGAAAATAGATGTTCCCTGTCAGAGCCTCCCTAATGAGGAAGAGCAGATGAGGCAGGCTCCAGAACCTTTACAGCTTTTCTCCAGGGGAGAGGAGTGGGGGGGAATATAGTGCTTCTTTTTAAATTTTGGCCACACACACCGAAAATAAACTAGCATAGAGGTAAGGCTACTCAAGTCAAGCTCTCTGCACTCCAAGCTGTGAGGTTAACAGGTTGATGGTGCCACAGAGGGATCACTATGGACAGACTGGTACTGAATATACACTCAAATTTGACATATTTTTGTGGAAAGCCAAAAGATGAAGAGACTAAACATTTTCACTAAATTAACAGACCCAATATTTAAACTGTTGATTAAAAGCTAGGCAGTTGACCCAACTCCTCACCAACCCCTAACCCTGAGTAACTATATGGGACTCACTTTTCCATCGTTGTAGAGGTTTGGGTTAAAGCGCACGCTGTGTCCCCCGGTGGTCTCCAGGTTGACCAGGGGCGGGGAGTTGGGGTAGTCCTGGGGGAAGTACACGTCAAACTCAAAGCAGCCGTTGGCGTACGGCGTGTCTGCCGGGCCCGTGATGAGAACCTGCAACACACAGACCACAAGGGGTTAATGGCAATTCACTACTCACTACTTTTTCTTCAACACACCCATTACCACTAGAGGTGGCTGAAACAAAAGGATAGCATTTCTCTTCTGAATATCTCATGGCTATTATAGAAATCCAATTCATTTCCACACTGAAATGAGATTAGCTAATCAATCAAGGAGACCACAGGAAGTGAAAAATAAAAGAAACAGCACACAAAGACACAAGCTTGGGAAGATTCTAGAAAGGATCAAATAAGAAAAGGAAAAAGGGATCTTGGTAATTCTGCAGGAATACCCTTGTGCTTTCAGTGACCGGGAACTAAAGACCCTTTGGCCGCACTCCCCCTCTGCTCTGTTCTTTGCTCACACATGCTGAGTAGCGGGTTATTACCTAGTCACAGGTATTCAGGCTCAAGGATGGCATGCCCGAATGGGGGGGGCTAATCTGATCTGAAACCCACTGCACCGAGACCTTGTTTCAAGTGCATTAGGCTCTGGCTTTTTAAAACAAAAACCCTTTCAGAGTTTCTGTGGGGGCCAGGTTCAGAGAGACACTATCTAGACAAGGGAGGAAGGGGCAAGGATGCAAACTTGTGAGGGCCCAAAAAGGAAAAAATAAAATATGCACAGAAACACGCAGAAAACCTGACCCTGATATTCACACCTCTACTCAATAAAACACATTGAATTTAACTTCACACTTCAGCGTTTCCCCCAGGATTTTTTTCAGCAGCGGTGGCAAAGTAAGCTTGGGGGTGGCAGAGCGTGGTAGTGGCTGTGGCCAATGGCGCAGTCTCCGACCGCAAATTGTAGATGACCTCTTGGCCGCAGAGACAATTTTGCTGTTTTAAAGCTAATTTCCTGCAATTCTACACACAAAATATATAACACTGAAAACATTTGACAATCATATTTATTAGAATGCTGGCAACTATATAGCAGTGGCGGCCCGGCGCTGCTAAATTAGTTTAGGGGAAATACTGCACTTTTTACTGTATAATATAAAAGGCAACTGCAGAAAATAGCTGATTTGCTCATATCCAAAGGCCTACCTGTGATTGGGCAGGAGGAATGTAGTAAGGAATTTAAATGCATAACAATCTGCATTTTCTTTGTGTCAGTAAGGAGAACACACACTAGGTCTGTATGAAACCATCTCTATCCTGCTCTTCAGACAACTTTACACAGCCTACACACTCTCCCTCCCTCCCTCACACACACTTACTCCCTCTCCAACACACATCCTCTTTCTCGCTCTCCCTCACACACTGCTCCCAAAAGTTAGACAAACATAATTTAAGGAAAAGCAGAAAAATAGATTTGGTTTAGAATTACATTGAGTAGGCATATGCATCCTTCCTTTGAAGCATCTCTTCAAGTAGGCTATATATCCCTTTTCTGTGCCATCCAAATGTCTGCATAGCCAAGGAGTACCATGTTAGCTAGCCAGGTAACATGACTAAACAAGGTCGTTTATCAAACCGAAAACTCGTTGCCCATGAGTAGTTTAAAAACGGCCTGCGGCATGATTTATAAAACTATGTAATTTGTGCGTCAATCCGCGATAGAAATGGGGTTTGGCTAGAACCTCAGGGTTTTTAGTGACGCAAAGGCGCATGCCTGCCGGTCACTGTGCTCTGTTTTTCCTCTGGCAGTATAATATAATAATAATAATAATAATAATAATAATAAGCCATTTAGCAGACGTTTTTATCCAAAGCGACTTACAGTCATGCGTGCATACATTTTTTGTGTATGGGTGGTCCCGGGGATCGAACCCACTACCTTGGCTTTACAAGCGCCGTGCTCTACAAGCTGACCTACAGAGGACCACAGTGGCACTCAGAGGCTGCGTGACAGTGAAGCCTAATCAGACTGGCCTGCTTGTTCTTACAAGCGAAATGAAACAATATCTACGTATCCATTTCGCTCGCGCTGCGAGCTGCTCCAATAATTAAACAAATGTAACAAAAAACCCATCACTGTCTGCACACCCCAGCTCACCATCACGGCTAAATAACATTTTAAAACTGATGGGAGATGCGCAGAAATAACGGACGGAGAGAAGCAGCTGAGTAGGCTAATGGCTGGTTAGGGGATGCGGCTGCCTGCTCACAGCTGTCACAATGTGAGATCAAAACGGTGAATATCGCCGAAAAGTAGCGAGTTTGCATTCCTGAAGGGGGAGAAGGGAAGATCCTGGGAGTGTCCCGTGTTCTTGCATCAACAAACGAGGTGTCTTTGAGTGAAGTGTCAGGCAGGCTAGCTTTCTCAGCAGTAGAGGAGAGAATGGGGAGGGGAGGAGGGGGAGGAGGGGGCAGAGCAGGCCACGCTGCCAGGCTGATGGGGGAGGAGGAGGAGGAGGAGAGGCAGAGCTGGCCACGCTGCCAGGCTGATGGAGGAGGAGGAGGAGGAGGAGGAGAGGCAGAGAGAAGCGTGGGTTTAGAACAGGAACAAGACAGAATAAATATATATATCTTTTTAAATCCCTGATCCAGGGGAGGGAGGTAGAAACACGGCACGGCAGGTTTGAAAAAATATGTGAGAAGACGTGCGACGGTAAAGAGGACGTGGACACACTGTAGGTAGGTAGCTTGTGTATGTGAGAGAGAGAATGTGTGTGGGTGAGAGTCAAACACCGACTGCCTGACCCGTCTAAGCGGCGTCAGGTGTGAGTACCATGCCTATCCAAATCAGCAGAGCACTCGCAAGATTGCTTGAGGGCACCAAGTGTCACTCAGGTGGTAAGTATATTTTGACATTCAGACCAACACTTTTAGTGCACTTTAGGTGGGAAACCTGGAGCAAGTGGTTTTGCAAATAATGACTGCTAAGATTACTTGATGCTCCCGGTGAAAGAATGATAATCCACTGTCTATGGCAGTAGGACAGGGGACTGGGGCTCCCTGGGGACACTTCAAATGAGGGAGCAACAACCCCAGATGGGTCACTAGACATTCACAATGTCCCACAACGTCCACCAGCCTCTCTGTCAACTAGTGGCCCTTTCATGTGCTGCTAAGGAAAAAGTTGTGTTGTTTGCAGAAATAGAACCTTAACAGACGAGGGTTTTGACATTTACCGAATGAGACTTTGCCATTAATCAGAAAAGGGGTCAGGGCCATTTATTGAATGTCATTGGAAAATGAGAAAAACTGTCAATGACTGCAGTTGCTGAATGACCATTGGAATGCGAAGGCATAGGCTATCAACACCAGATGCAGAGACTCAAGAGACCAAGTCCGTTTCCCCACCCCTGCTGCAACAACCGCAAGTAGCGCAAGTCCTGCGGTTTTAGTGCCCCAGGCAGCATCCATTTGACTGGAAGAGTACTGTAAACACCCTGCTCACTTTTATTAGCATCTCAATTGGAAACCATTCAATCATCATCTGGCCATTCCCTGAGGGCATCTCTGAATCGGACAGATGGGGTCTCCAGTAAAGACATTTCATAAATACCTTGAATACCATTGAACAGATATCACTTCTATAGATTATTACATAAAATGTGAATCATAAAGTTTGGGTTGGCTAGTACTGTATGTATAAAATGGGACAAAATGATAGGATCGTAGGATTGGGCAGGTAAAAGATATGCTGAAAGGTATGTACAGTGGGGGAAAAAAGTATTTAGTCAGCCACCAATTGTGCAAGTTCTCCCACTTAAAAAGATGAGAGAGGCCTGTAATTTTCATCATAGGTACACGTCAACTATGACAGTCAAAATGAGAAAAAAAAATCCAGAAAATCACATTGTAGGATTTTTTATGAATTTATTTGCAAATTATGGTGGAAAATAAGTATTTGGTCAATAACAAAAGTTTCTCAATACTTTGTTATATCCCCTTTGTTGGCAATGACACAGGTCAAACATTTTCTGTAAGTGTTCACAAGGTTTTCACACACTGTTGCTGGTATTTTGGCCCATTCCTCCATGCAGATCTCCTCTAGAGAGCAGTGATGTTTTGGGGACTTTCAACTCCCTCCAAAGATTTTCTATGGGGTTGAGATCTGGAGACTGGCTAGGCCACTCCAGGACCTTGAAATGCTTCTTACGAAGCCACTCCTTCGTTGCCCGGGCGGTGTGTTTGGGATCATTGTCATGCTGAAAGACCCAGCCACGTTTCATCTTCAATGCCCTTGCTGATGGAAGGAGGTTTTCACTCAAAATCTCACGATACACGGCCATTCATTCTTTCCTTTACACGGATCAGTCGTCCTGGTCCCTTTGCAGAAAAACAGCCCCAAAGCATGATGTTTCCACCCCCATGCTTCACAGTAGGTATGGTGTTCTTTGGATGCAACTCAGCATTCTTTGTCCTCCAAACACGACGAGTTGAGTTTTTACCAAAAAGTTCTATTTTGGTTTCATCTGACCATATGACATTCTCCCAATCCTCTTCTGGATCATCCAAATGCACTCTAGCAAACTTCAGACGGGCCTGGACATGTACTGGCTTAAGCAGGGGGACACGTCTGGCACTGCAGGATTTGAGTCCCTGGCGGCGTAGTGTGTTACTGATGGTAGGCTTTGTTACTTTGGTCCCAGCTCTCTGCAGGTCATTCACTAGGTCCACCCGTGTGGTTCTGGAATTTTTGCTCACCGTTCTTGTGATCATTTTGACCCCACGGGGTGAGATCTTGCATGGAGCCCCAGATCGAGGGAAATTATCAGTGGTCTTGTGTGTCTTCCATTTCCTAATAATTGCTCCCACAGTTGATTTCTTCAAACCAAGCTGCTTACCTATTGCAGATTCAGTCTTCCCAGCCTGGTGCAGGTCTACAATTTTGTTTCTGGTGTCCTTTGACAGCTCTTTGGTCTTGGCCATAGTGGAGTTTGGAGTGTGACTGTTTGAGGTTGTGGACAGGTGTCTTTTATACTGATAACAAGTTAAAACAGGTGCCATTAATACAGGTAACGAGTGGAGGACAGAGGAGCCTCTTAAAGAAGAAGTTACAGGTCTATGAGAGCCAGAAATCTTGCTTGTTTGTAGGTGACCAAATACTTATTTTTCACCATAATTTGCAGATAAATTAATTAAAAATCCTACATTGTGATTTTCTGGATTTTTTTCCCTAATTTTGTCTGTCATAGTTGACGTGTACCTATGATGAAAATTACAGGCCTCTCTCATCTTTTTAAGTGGGAGAACTTGCACAATTGGTGGCTGACTAAATACTTTTTTTCCCCACTGTACATATGAATCACGTGGGTTGATTACTGTAGGTATAAAATGGTCATAAGAGAATGGGATGTGTGACTGAGTATAATAGCACAGAGGACCGCATAGATCGTATAGGACAGGGCAGTATACATCTGTACCTTCATGATGTCCAGTCGTTCTTCATCGCAGCGGACAAACACGCTGGAGGAGGAGGAGAGGGGCAGCGAGGTGGAGAGCGTGACGGCTTCCTGTGCCAGGCGGCGAGCGCGGGCAGCGCTGTTGGCGTCGCTGGCGTTCTTCACCTGAGACATGTAGTGGTAGTTCACCTTGAACACCAGCTTCCCGTCATCGTCCTCCGAGACCATCTCAAAGGTGTCTGCCAGGGAGAGACATCACACAGGTATTAATGTCAATACTTACTGGGACCGCTATAGAGAAGGTTTAAACACTTTTAAAGTGGTTCATTCCACGTCAAAGAATAAGGCATGAAACAAACACCCTGTTGACAAATCATGCAAATATCCTCCCACTTGTATGCATGCATCTGGCAGTAAATCTCTATTCAGTAATGACATGGCCCTGTGTCCTTTAATCATACTGCACACTGGGGTTCCTGTTACCTTGGCTCGACGCCGTCTCTCTCGTACTTGGACCAGAGCAAGCCTGTTTACACTCATGTCACTTGCGATTACTTTAGACGTGTGCCGCGCGCAAAAATCAATTGCGGCACAACAAAAGTCCCGTAATCAATCACGGCGTGGCAGGATGAGAAGTGACAGATAGAAAATACCTTCCTCCCTGCAGACAGGCGGCAGGATTGTGTTATGTATCATTTCAGAAAGGGGTAGGAGGGGGTTTGGGGCTGTGCTGATGCTGATGCTGTGTTCTGGGCACTACGTGTATTGAGGAGGAACCAACCAGCAGCCAGCCTAGGAGAGAAGAGACGAGCCCTGCCTCTAGTATGTCTAAGTATTCCTCCTCCGTCTTAAAAGAAACAACCACATTTCCAACATACTGTATCTACCAAACCACAACTGTACACCACACAGAAACTCAACGCACTCACCAAACTGGAGCTTCTTCATGATGGCCACGTACTTCTCCTCTAGTGAGCGTAGGATGGACAGGGGTTTGGGTCTGGTTGTTGCCTTCTTCGAGGACTCGGCCAACTTCCTCTCTGATGGAGGGAGAGAGAAAAAGAAAACCTTGTTACCATGGCAGGTTCAAAGTTATCCCTGTTTGAGAGCCAGGCTTACTGCTGTGTCTGCCTGCGTCTGGGTCCAGGCCTACAATCTTTACATTAATCTACTGGCAAACAAACAAACAAACCACACTGTGATAAAGGACTGCTGAGGTCACCACTTCCTTGATATTACTACCTAGTCCACGCCGACAAAGAATAGAATAACATCAGAAACACACTAATTCATATTCAAGCCATATTCCTCTTCGGTTCAACAAGATTATCTCAGAATATGATGGCACTTGCAGGTAATAGCAGGGTTTGTCACACCCCCTTATCACCTTCATATTGATGAATGAATCTGCAATCATTTGGAGATGCTAACATGGAATTTTCCCACACCCTACCCTCCAGTTTCTTCTGTGTCTTGTCGACAGCTAAACCATGTCCAAGACAAATGACAATGGAAACGGCCACCAATTTTCCCACCGACAGTGGAGAGATGGGATAGAGAGCAGTTAATGCATCAACATAATTAACTGTCTATTTATAGCACCCCAGCCCCGCTCTCATCCTCTGCTTTAGATACTGCTACCTGGACAGATGTACCTCCCATTCAATTACTGGTGCATTTAACTGGCCTATTACGACCAGACTTAGGATGCCAGAGGGGCATTAAAAAGCGGGGCCGTCGATACTTTATTTATACTCAGTTCTGTTGCCACGTTAACGTTGGATATCAATATTTATTGGAACATTTTCCCAGTTTAACCAGTCAATACTAGGCTGTAGGAACAGAGCTCTAAATGTCCGCCTCCTCGTTAGCCTTTCTCTGGGCTATTTTAAAGACTAATTAAAACAATTACATATCGGCCCTCCTCTATGCTGCCCATTCCCTTTTGGAACATGAATCCAGTGGCCATTATCACATGAATTTCCTTGTGTAAAGTGACGGCTGCATTGATCTGGGCACCCCCCCCCCCAATAGAGCGCCATTGATGTGGCTGAATACAAGAGAGCCACTGGGAGTTAGGCAAGCTAATTAATAATATGTGCCGCACTGTTTGGGGGAGGAGGCGTTACGGTCAATCATACATCATAGACGCATCGATAGGCAGCTTTCTTTAGCGACGGTGAGTAATGGCTGGCAGGAGCTCCCTGACAGCAGGTTTTATGACCTGATGCCCTCTCGCTACCAAACCCTCTTGTCCTCCTAGTGACTGTCTGCTCTATGGGTCTCTGGGCAGGACACTGTCTCCCTGCACTGTAAGGACACGGACAGAAGGGCTGCATGGGGACTGTAGGACAACAGCTGCCCACAATAGAACATACATCTCTATTTAGTATCAAAGTGATGTCAGAGAATGGGTTAACCTTTAACCTGTCACTTACGGAGTGGGGGTGGAGTTGGGAAGTCGGGTAAAGGATGTTCAGGCCTAAAACAGGACATTGTTTCCTTGATTAACATTAAATTGAGACTTAAAGGGCTCCAAGTCAATGACAGCCCAGGGAATTTGTACTTGTGGAGACTAAACTTAGAGACCCATTTTCTTGTCCTTGTCCCAAGAACACACAGGACAAAAGAGAGCGGCAGCGAGAAAAATGGAGTGCGGAAAGACATTTGGGACCTGAAAATCCTTTGGAAGAGCCAAAACCAGACAACCTTTAAAAAAGGCACTGGCTAACATTTTACTGTGTCACTTCGTATTACAATAAATGTCTGTAAAAATAGCCAAGGAGGTCCAGACTAATAGTCCCCTTGCTCAGCATGGTTTGGCCATAGGCCAGAGAGTGACGTGAGTGTGTGGCCAGCCTTACCCTGGTTGGCCTGCCGTAGGCTGGTGGTGGCAGCGTAGACAATCTCAGCCGTCCTCTGGATGTCAGGCACCAGCAGGGTCAGGCCCTCAGGCTCTGGGTCTGCGCTATCAGGCTTCACCACGCCTTTTGCCTTGTCTTTCTTTGACCTGGATAAGAGAAAAAAAAAAGAGAAGGAGTTCAGTAATCAACATATTCCTCTTGCATGCATTGACATATATTGCTAATTTATTTGCATTGCATTCTACCAGGGAAGGAAATCTGAGGCAACTATATTACTGATAGGATCATTGAACATTTCTATTCACAAGGAGTGCTCTACAGTACAACAATTAAAACATTTCGGGCGTTTCTGTAGATGATCCCTGTGTCCATCTGAAAAGGAGCATATTGCCCAGTGAGCCACAATTCTGGAGCAAAATTGATATACCCATTCCCAGTATTTTTCATGCTCTGGACATTGAAAAAAAATCTCCCTGCTTTCATCCCAGTTAAAATAAGTCCCTGCTTCAAAACTCCTGGGTTAAGTGGAAAACCCAGAGGTGGCTGAAATACACGAGGGACGTAAACAGTTCTTTAACCTTGTGCTTAAATGCTGTGGGAGCTGAGAGAATGGATTCAATGGCCCTGCTGATGGGTCACTGAAAAAGCCACTTTCCACATGACCTTTTGTGAAGTTGAACAGCAGCCAAGTTCCCTCCCCTCGCTCACCACTCTGCTCCACCGAGGACAGTCAGCGAAGGTCTTCTGTCTCCAACCCCCATCTCACTGTAGTCTTCCCTCCCCCCATCCCTGCCACCATCCGTCCTCATCGGCCATTTAATTCCATTCTGTAGCAGGCCAGGCGGCCAACACAGGCCTTGGCATGCTGGACACAGATGGGGAGAGACAGTTGAAGAGAATGCCTTACACTCTCTGCTGTGGATGCCCAGCCTTTACGACCGCCCCAAGGCCCTGCTTTCATTAGACTCTCTGTGTGTCTGGACCTCAGCCCTCAGAGTCCAGCCTGATGTAATGCCTGTGGATATGAGTGAGCCGATAGCAGGGCATTTTCTCCCCCCCCCCCATCACTGGTGAAGAAACCACAACTTCATGCTGGACCATCCTCAGACAGTAATCATAATTGTGTTGCTGATAAGCAGCAGGGGTGTAGACCACCAGGTAGGTCTGTCAGAGTCTCCCAGGGCGGATGGGCTATTCCGTTGTACATTTGAAAAGCCCTGTCATGGGTCCTAGCATGTTTGTTGGTGGGACATTCAAGAGGGATGGGCTGTACCTTCTAAAAATAACACCCAGCTGGAGCATTACATTCATATGTCACCAGGGAGGAGGGACGGGGGAAACAACATGAATGTCTGTGGGAATCGTACGTGAGCTGGAACTGTTTGATACGTCTCCACGTCTAACCATGCACGGGACACATCCTTCAAATATTGACTCCTCGGATGGGATCCCATGGAATATTGATGATCCACCGTACTGGGTGGATGTGTGTAGCTAGTGTAGAGGGTAGAAAGAGGTTAAGAGTGCCTCGGCTCCTCTGAAGTGTCCTGCTACTGTAGTTGCGTAAAGCTCACAGTCAGCACTGGGCTGGTTGGGGTGATATATGGGAGGGGGTTAAGGATCCTTTACACAAACTGTTAATTGTGCTGCTGAGGCGGGATAACATGGGCTTCCTGCACACTTTGGGGCTGTGATTAATAATGGATGGTCACAGACCCACAGGTCAGGTCTACAGGCTCACTACTGCTAATGACTCACTGTCTACAGAGACCAGGGAGGAGGCTGACCCAGGATTGAACCCCCAATAATGGCAGCAGGATTCTAACCCTCTCCCCTTGAAACTCTCATTCTCAGCTGAAACCATCAATTTACATTGATTACATGGGCAATGAGACATTATTCTGTTTGTTTTGTATATTCTTACTCTGTCCGTCTAAGTCCCCACCTGAGGCGGTTAGTGTAGGTGTCCACACAGGTCTTCATCTTGGCCAGCAGCATGCCCACAGAGGTCTGTCCCTCTGAGCTTTCCTCCTCCTCTTCCTCCTGGCTGGGGTCTCCTGACAGGGGCAGCAGCAGGGGCACCAGGGCCGTGGAGGTGGAGATGGCCCTCAGCAGCTCCAGCAGCGCCCGGTACAGGGGCACGTGGCGTGCCATGTCCAGCACTGAGGGAGAAGAGAAAACAGGGACAAGGAATGCATAAGCGAGAGCCAACAGAGAACTGGTAATAGTGTTTTGGAATCAATCCGAATAAAAACATGGAGAAAGACGAGACACCCATACCAGTGAAGAACTCAATATAGGAGTACATGAGAGAACATAACGAGAGTATCCGTCTCATGGCCTTGAGTCAACCTGTGTGAGTCTGGTGTGTGTGTGACAGGATAGATGGGGGCAGGTAGGAGAACTCCAGATTGCACTTGGAGAGAGGAGAGGAGCAGCATGACTAGAGATGGACTGTAGTGAGCAGAAAGCTAGTGAAAGGGATATTAAAGATTATTAGATTTCCAGGAATGGACAAATGACATGCACGGACTAGGAACAGCCCTCAGGCGGCCAAACCAAGGCCAGAACTCAATTTAGACTCCTCACAAACAAAACGTGTGCCCGACTTCTGTCCAATACCAACTCACGTCCCTGACTCAAAATAGCCCTTTGTTCCAGGCCCTGAAATGAAGCCAAAGCCAGCTAGTCAGGAGGGCAGGCACCAATGGAAGCTAATCTAAAAGGAAAGCCTGGGGCCTAGCAGCCCCCTCACTTACTTTCCCAGATACATGATTGAATCAAATAAGAATCTCAGGGTGTCATTTTCTAGAACGTAGGACGAGTCTGGCAGTGTGATAGATTGGAAAATCCACAGCTGTGCCGTGGTCCGAGGAAAAGGGGGAGCACGGGAGAGAGAAAGAGAGGAGACAGATATTAGATTTGCGGGGAGGGAATAATCCTGACGTGGCTGTGACAGGAGTGGGCCCAGCCCAGCTGTTTGTCCTGCAGCTCTTCATTGTGATGGGATTCCATACAGTACAGGTCCCCCTCATCCCCATGACGAGGACTGGACAGTTCCCACCCATAATGGAAGTTTAAATAACATTGAGTCGTGGTGGCGAACCTGCTGAGCTAGGCCCCTGCATTCCCTTGTGAGGGGCTTGGGCGAGAGAGGGAAGGTGCTCTCAGCCGACCCACAAACCCCATTAAAATCTAGCCTGGTTCCACATGTTTGTGCTGTGAGAAAGGCCTCTACAACAGCCCCGGCCTGGGCAAGTGTGAAACCAGGTTAAAAGAATGCGCTAAGTTTGTGTGTTTTGATTGTGTTTTTAGTTGGGAAATAATAATTAGAACACCTGGACATAATCACTTGGTGAAAGGAGAGGATTTGACGGCTGTATTCAAATGGGTCTGACTTGGAGAAGCACAAAGGCAGTTTGATGGAATAAAACAGAACTAGCAGAGAGCACCTAGGAAGCAATCTTGTCCTTGCTCCTTTGTCTGATGATCTTCTCTCGTTTATTTAGGCTCATTGTTTACCAAGCTGTCTGAAAAGCATAAAATACTAGTAGTCTTACACCCTTCGTGTAGCCTACATCCCTTAGATGTGTTTTAAGCAGTCTGTGGACAGTCATACTCCTGCTGAACCAAGATCATGTCCATCATTGTCAGAGGCATTTCCGGTCTGTGAGTGGAAAGAGATTGGCGGTGACAGTACAGAAATGACCATTTGAGGATGTCCACGTACACGTGTGTCACGGTCTACCTCAGTGTAACTGTGTGCTTGTGCCAGACTCAAACGGAGCAGGACAGCCCTCACTTTTGCTCCCAGTCTGCTTTACATTTATATTTGAGTTCCCGGCCCCAATGTCCCATACCCAGAATTTGAACGTTGACCTCTCACCGCTTTAATCTGCTCCTCAATCCTCTCTAGTGTGTGGGCGGCACCCAGAGCAGAATCCAAATCCCCACCCTACTGAATAGATTTACGCAATTACCGCTAAAGTATTCAGTGCTTTCGGAAAGTATTCAGACCCCTTGACTTTTTCCACATTTTATTACGTTACAGCCTTATTCTAAAATGGATTAAATCGTTTTTTCCCCTCATCAATCTATACACAACACCCCATGATGACAAAGCAAAAACAGGTTTAGACATTTTTAAGCTAATTCATATATTTTTTTTAAACCCGGAAATAAACATTTACATAAGTATTCAGACCCTTTACTCAGTACTTTGTTGAAGCACCTTTGGCAGCGATTACAGCCTCAAGTCTTCTTGGGTATGATGCTACAAGCTTGGCACACCTGTATTTGGGGAGTTTCTCCCATTCATCTCTTCAGATCCTCTCAAGCTCTGTCATGTTGGATGGGGAGCGTTGCTGCACAGCTATTTTCAGGTCTCTCCAGAGATGTTCGATCGGGTTCAAGTCTGGGCCACTCAAGGACATTCAGACACTTGTCCCGAAGCCACTCTTGCGTTGTCTTGGCTGTGTGCTTAGGGTCGTTGTCCTGTTGGAAGGTGAACCTTGGCCCCAGTCTGAGGTCCTGAGCGCTCTGGAACAGGTTTTCATCAAGGAGCTCTTTGTACTTTGCTCCGTTCATCTTTCCCTCGATCCTGACTAGTCTCCCAGTCCCTGCCGCTGAAAAACATCCACACAACATGATGCTGCCACCACCATGCTTCACCGTAGGGATGGTGCCAGGTTTCCTCCAGACGTGACGCTTAGCATCAGACCAGAGAATCTTGTTTCTCATGGTCAGAGTACTTTAGGTGCCTTTTGGCAAACTCCAAGCGGGCTCTCATGTGCCTTTTACTGAGGAGTGGCTTCCGTCTGGAAGGTTCTCCAATCTCCACAGAGGAACTCTGGAGCTCTGACAGAGTGTCCATCGGGTTCTTGGTCACCTCCCTGACCAAGGCCATTCTCCCCCGATTGCTCAGTTTGGCCGGGCAGCCAGCTCTAGGAAGAGTCTTGGTGGTTCTAAACCAGCTGAGCTCACATGCTTTTACACTAGGATTTGACTATTAGATGTTCTATGTCTGTTTAAAAAAAATATTTAAAAAGGAATAGTTTCACCATATTAAAACAAGAGCTTGGTTCACGTAAAAGGGTTGACCTTAAAATGAGGTACAGATTGTTTTTTTAACCTTAAAATGAATCACTAATAACATGAAATAAATAATCTTCATAAATGACTGTCAAAGCCGCAAAATAACTAGGGCTTAATAATGATAGTGAAACTTCAGAGTAATGTTGGGGTTAAGTGGGTTACAAATCTACCTAGAAGTCAGAGGATGCACAGAGGGACATGTCAGAGTTATTGCATTTTCAATGTGGTCTATATTAAAAAGGGCACTTCATTTAATATAACAGGCTTTTAAAATTCTATATTTGTACACTATTTCTACTTAAAAGGGACTCATTTCGGGGAACAACCCAATTCATTAAAGAGAATGAGATCAAAACATTAAAATGTGGCAGTGGAGCCGTCCTAATAAGTGCCAAGACATGATGGTCTGAAATGTCTGGCCTGAATGTCTCTTGGCTGGAACAACGCATAAACAATTCAGAAACTACATCCAAAAAGCCACAAGGCAAGGAGAAGGCATCTAATATACTCTATTTGCAACTTTACTTAGAAATCACATAAAGTGGAGCAGGTTGAAATATTACATCAAGCTAAGTGTGATGCTAAAATACGACACTCCAGACAGAGTTGAGAAACAGTCGATGGGTTAGCTGCATACATTATGCATGTGCGACTACAATTGAAAGTAGAAAGCCTTCGCTAGTCCACAAAGCAGAAGTACAAGCATTAAGAACAGATGCCCCACTGGGTACCCCAGCCATGTTATCTAGGCCTACATTGTCAATGTAACACACCAGCCATTAGTTTTTTTATGATTCATTTTGATAGGGAGACGTTGTGGGCAATTAACATTCCTCCGCCAATGGGAAGCACAGAAAACGAGACCCCAGAGTTTACATGTCTACCTTTTGTGATTAAAGTCATAACTCAACATCTATCATGGTCCAAAACACACCAACATAGGCATGAAGATGGCACCCACAACACCTCTTCCACCTCAGGAGACTGAAAAGTTTGGCATGGGCCCTCAGATCCTCAAAACGTTCTACAGCTGCACCATGGGGAGCATCTTCACTGGCTGCCATCCAGGAGCTCTATACTAGGCAGTGTCAGAGGAAGGCCCTAAAAATTGTCAAAGACTCCAGCCACCCAAGTCATAGACAAGCGGCAGCTTCTACACCCAAGCCATAAGACTGATAAATAGTTAGTTAAATAGTTAACCAAATAACTAACCGGACTATCCGCATTGACCCTTTTTGCACTAACTTCTTTGACTCATCACATATGCTGCTGCTACTGTTTATTATTACATTTTAGTCATTTAGCAGACGCTCTTATCCAGAGCGACTTACAGTTAGTGAGTGCATACATTATTATTATTACATTATTTTTTTATTTTTTTTCATATACCCCCCCGTGGGTCACTTTAGTGCCTTCAAAAAGTATTCACAATCCTTTACTTTTTCCACATTTTGTTGTTTAACAGTATGAATTTAAAATTGATTAAATTGAGATAACTGGTCTACACACAATACCCCATAAAGGCAAAGTTATCCAATCACAGCGCAGTGACATGTTTCTGGCCCACCTTCAGCTAAAGCGTTGCCCCTGTGGCTACGGGTTTGAAATGAGATGAGAAACAGAAGGAAATAAGAGAGAGATCAAACAAGAGGCCTGTGCTTCTGGGAAGGAGGGAGGAAGAGGGAGGTATGAGAGAGCGATGCTGCCAGTCATCACCCGCTGTGCGTACTTGACAAATTAGTGTTCGTACAAACTACCAGATAAGAGTGCCATCGGCGGAGACTCCTCTCCTACCACCGACGCTGTTGGCAGCTTCAATAAAAGAACAAGACTCTACCTTACCCCTTTTCTCCTATTCCCGTCTCCTGCTCCTCCTATAGCAGCACACTAAGTAAAATGTGTAATAGATAGGAGCCTGTGTTTTGCTGAATCATGTGACAGAAATATTTTATCCTGTATTTTAAGCCATATCCAGAAATGAGAATTGCACCAAATATTCAAGCTATTGTCTCCATTTATAGCTGGGAAGGGACCTCTACTGTTTCTACAAGAATAGCGGAGTATGATTTTTGTTTCAACTCGTTGTTGGTATAGTTTTGCTTGGTCAATTCCTACTAGCACAGACTTTGCTGATAACTACTTTGAGGGAAAATGTACTCGTTACGACTGTGATATGTGGTTCTCTCACCTAGCTATCTTAAGATGACTGCGCCAATTGTAAGTCGCTCTGGATGAGAGCGTCTGCTCAATGACTAAAGTTAAAAAATGTAGGATGGTGCTGAACCATCTGATAACAAAAAGGTGACAGTTTGATGAAAAAGCTTTCAATAAAAAAGGTTAAAATCCAGGCATGACACATGATTGTGCAAAACAGGGCCCTAGATAGATGCTAGTCAAGCAGTACTAGGCACATGGAGGTAAGTGGGAATAAGAGCAGCGAGTGTGGGAGGCTAAAATGCCAAGCATACAGGCAGAGGGCCCCTATGTAGACCACGGTAGCCTGGTCGCTCCTCCTGCGGGTCCCCAGGGGTGGCAGTGAGTGACATCCTGGCACAGGGGACAATGTCCAGCCAGCGTTGTTCATCCACAACTGTGGGTTAGGCTCCGGTAGAGGGGGGAGGTAGTAAAACTGTAGTAAACACTTCAGTAAACAAAGAAGAGCGTGGCAAAGGGAAATCGGAAGGAGGTCTATGCCTATAGAGTAAATTGCTTATTCAAAAATTGGTTGTCGAGGATAAAAATTGGAATCGGCTATGTTTATGCTACACACTCCTTTGCAGGGAATACCTGGTCGGTCTCCCCGATTAAATTGAGTCGTGTGAATAGAAGTAAATAGGCTGGTCCTGTCTTTGTGTGTCACTGCTGGGGACAGTGACATGTTACTAAGCCAGTGGGATCCCTGAATGTTTCCATTCCCAGATAATCATTGGTGAAAACAGAAGTAAATAAAGCAATAACAGATAACTTAACGTAAGGTCCCACCACTAACACAGAGCAGCATGGTAGATAGTGCTGAGCAAATACCCAACATTTCGGTTATTTTTCAGTAAAAAACGAATTGACTGACATCCGTTCAATTATTTGAATTCCATTTCCTTCAGGCAATGGGGAGTCTCTCTAGAGATTAATCAGATCAAGCCTGATTTGTGTGATGTACACTACCGGTCAAAAGTTTTAGAACTCCTACTCATTCAAGGGTTTTACTTTATTTTTTCTATTTTCTACATTGTAGAATAATAGGGAAGACATCAAAACTATGAAATAACACATATGGAATCATGTAGTAACCGAAAAAGTGTTAAACAAATCAAAATTTATTTTATATTTGAGATTCTTCAAATAGCCACCCTTTGCCTTGATGACAGCTTTGCACACGCTTGGCATTCTCTGAACCAGCTTCATGAGGTAGTCACCAGGAATGCATTTCAATTAATAGGTGTGCCTTCTTAAAAGTTAATTTGTGGAATTTCTTTCCTTCTTAATGCGTTTGAGCCAAATCAGTTGTGTTATGACAATGTAGGGGGGGTATACAGAAGATAGCCCTATTTGGTAAAAGACCAAGTACATATTATGTCAAGAACAGCTCAAATAAGCAAAGAGAAAAGACAGTCCATCATTACATTAAGACATGAATGTCAGTCAATACGGAACATTTCAAAAACTTTGAAAGTTTCTTCAAGTGCAGTCGCAAAAACCATCAAGCGCTATGATGAAACGGGCTCTTATGAGGACCGCTGCAGGAATGGAAGACCCAGAGTTAACTCTGCTGCAGAGGATATGTTCATTAGAGTTACCAGCCTCAGAAATTGCAGCCCAAATAAATGCTTCAGAGTTCAAGTAACAGACATCAACATCAACTGTTCAGAGGAGACTGTGAATAAGGCCATCATGGTCGAATTGCTGCAAAGAAACCACTACTGAAGTACACCAATAAGAAGAAGAGACCTGCTTGGGCCAAGAAACACGAGCAATGGACATTAGACCGGTGGAAATGTGTCCTTTGGTCTGGAGTCCAAATTGGAGATTTTTGGTTCCAACCGCTCTGTCTTTGTGAGACGCAGTGTGGGTGAACGGATGATCTCCGCATGTGTATTTCCCACCGTAAAGCATGGAGGAGGTGGTGTTATGGTGCTTTGCTGGTGACACTGTCTGTGACTTATTTAGAATTCAAGGCACATTTAACCAGCATGGCTACCACAGCATTCTGCAGCGATACGCCATCCCATCTGGTTTGGGCTTAGTGGGACTATCATTTGTTTTTCAACAGGACAATGACCCAACACACCTCCAGGCTGTGTAAGGAGGAGAGTGATGGAGTGCTGCATCAGACCTGGCCTCCACAATCCCCCGACCTCAACCCAATTGAGATGGTTTGGGATGAGTCGGAACACGTGTGTGAACTCCTTCAAGACTGTTGGAAAAGCATTCCAGGTGAAGCTGGTTGAGAGAATGCCAAGAGTGTGGCAAAGCTGTCATCAAGGCAAAGGGTGGCTATTTGAAGAATCTCAAATATAAAATATATTTTGATTTAACACTTTTGGTTAGTACATGACTCCATGTAGAAAATAGTAAAAAATTAAGAAAAACCCTTGAATGAGTAGGAGTTCTAAAACTTTTGACCGGTACTGTATACTGAACAAAAATAAACAAACACAACATGCAACAATTTCAAAGATTTTGCTGAGTTACAGTTCACATAAGGAAATCTGTCAATTTAAATAAATAAATTAGGCCCTAATCTATGGATTTCAGCCATGGGTGGGCCTAGGTCCACCCATATGGGAGCCAGGCCAACCCACTGGAGAGCTAGGCCAAGCCAATCAGAAAGAGTTTCTCCCCACATAATATATTTTATTACGGACAGAAATACTCCTCCGCACCCCCCGTCCCCCCTCTGACAATCCCACAGGTGAAGAAGCCGGATGTGGAGGTCCTGGGCTGGCGTGGTTACACGTGGTCTGCGGTTATGAGGCCTGTTGGACGTACTGCCAAATTCTCTAAAACAACATTGGAGGCGGCTTATGGTAGAGAAATGAACATTCAATTATCTGGGAACAGCTCTGGTGGACATTCCTGCAGTCAGCATTCCAATTGCACACCCCCTCAAAACTTGAGATATCTGTGGCATTGTGTTGTGACACAAAACTGCCCATTTTAGAGGTGCCTTTTATTGTTCCCTAGCACAAGGTGCACCTGTGTAATGATCATGCTGTTTAAATCAGCTTCTTGATATGTCACACCTGTCAGGTGGATGGATTATCTTGACAAAGGATCAAATGCTCACTAACAGGGATGTAAACAAATGTGTGCACAAAATTTGAGGGACATTTTAAACTTTTTGTGCGTATGGAAAATTTCTGGGATCTTTTATTTCAGCTCATGAAACATGGGACCAACACTTTACATGTTGCATTTATATTTTTGTTCAGTGTAGTAGGGAGTGTAGTAGTTTCCAAAATACCAATTTTCTACATACAGTTGAAGTCGGAAGTTTACTTACACCTTAGCCAAATACATTTAAACTCAGTTTTTCACAATTCCTGACATTTAATCATAGTAAGAATTCAATTTCTTAGGTCAGTTAGGATCACCACTTTATTTTAAGAATGTGAAATGTCAGAATAATAGTAGAGTGAATGATTTATTTCAGCTTTTATTTCTTTCATCACATTCCCAGTGGCTCAGACGTTTACATACACTCAATTAGTATTTGGTAGCATTGCCTTTAAATTGTTTAACTTGGGTCAAACATTTCAGGTAGCCTTCCACAAGCTTCCCACAATAAGTTGGGTGGATTTTGGCCCATTCCTCCTGACAGAGCTGGTGTAACTGAGTCAGGTTTGTTGGCCTCCTTGCTCGCACATGCTTTTTCAGTTCTGCCCACAACTTTTCCATAGGATTGAGGTCAGGGCTTTGTGATGGCCACTCCAATACCTTGACTTTGTTGTCCTTAAGCCATTTTGCCACAACTTTGGAAGTATGCTTGGGGTCATTGTTCATTTGGAAGACCCATTTGCGACCAAGCTTTAACTTCCTGACTGATGTCTTGAGATGTTGCTTCAATATATCCACATAATTTTCCTTCCTCATGATGCCATCTATTTTGTGAAGTGCACCAGTCCCTCCTGCAGCAAAGCACCCCCACAGCATGATGCTGCCACCCCCGTGCTTCACGGTTGGGATGGTGTTCTTCGGCTTGCAAGGCACACCCTTTTTCCTCCAAACATAACGATGGTCATTATGGCCAAACAGTTCTATTTTTGTTTCATCAGACCAGAGGACATTTCTCCAACAAGTACAATCTTTGTCCTCATGTGCAGTTGCAAACCGTAGTCCGTCTTTTTTAATGGCGGTTTTGGAACAGTGGCTTCTTCCTTGCTGAGTGGCCTTTCAGGTTATGTTGATATAGGACTTGTTTTACTGTGGTTATAGATACTTTTGTACCGGTTTCCTCCAGCATCGTCACAAGGTCCTTTGCTGTTCTGGGATTGATTTGCACTTTTCGCACCAAAGTACGTTCATCTCTAGGAGACAGAACGAGCCTCCTTGACGGCTGCGTGGTCTCATGGTGTTTATACTTGCTTATTATCGTTTGAAAATTGCTCTCAAGGATGAACCAGACTTGTGGAGGTCTACAAAAAATTTTTCCTGAGGTCTTGGCTGTTTTTTGATTTTCCCATGGATGTCAAGCAAAGAGGCACTGAGTTTGAAGGTAGGCCTTGAAATACATCCACAGGTACACCTCCAATTGACTAAAATTATGTCAATTAGCCTATCAGAAGCTTCTAAAGCCATGACATCATTTTCTGGAATTTCCCAAGCTGTTTAAAGGCACAGTCAACTTAGTGTATGTAAACTTCTGACCCACTGGAATTGTGATACAGTGAATTATAAGTGAAATAATCTGTCTGTAAACAATTGTTGGAAAAATTACTTGTGTCATGCACAAAGTAGATGTCCTAACCGACTTGCCAAAACTAGTTTGTTAACTAGAAATTTGCGGAGTGGTTGAAAAACAAGTTTTAATGACTCCAACCTAAGTGTATGTAAACTTCCGACTTCAACTGTAGTTTAGTGCAGAAAACGTGGTAATTAACGACAATGACCATAATCCCTTGCTCGCCTACGTGTCCGGTCTGTGTGGTGCAGAGAGAAGAGAGAACAACACGGGATAGAGAGCAGGCTGCTTCGTGAGGTATCTCTACCTGAAAATACATGATCTAAGTGATTGGTATTCAGCAGTCATTAAAGTATGCCTTATTTATGTTGAAGGGCTACAAAAATAGTGATTGTCAGACAGCATAGGCAGCTGCTTTATTGAGATGAGATGACTTGAAATAAAGTCATCAAATAGGCCTAAAACAAATGTAATATACACAACTGAAATATTTTATTAAAGTAATGTGAATAAACAGTTAAGTGATAAGCAGTAATGGGCAATCACTAACATCATGGGACTTTTATTAATTGTTGTATTCTGTGCTACAGCATTTCAACCTACATAATTCATAGTGCATTTTAAAAAGAAACATCTAAACCGAAAATATGCTAAACACACACTTGTACTTGTGTGAAATAGGACAAATTTAAGCACCCACCTAATTAGCATTACACAGCACATAACAGGGAAATAATAAAACATTTGGATGGTGGATCAATTTTAGGGCCAAATTCCAAGTTGTTTATTTATTTGCCATTCTTTTATAATCTTTTAATTTAATGTATCGACCGAAGATTACACAACAGCAATAGTGTACCTGTATACATGATTATATGTACTATTAACAATTATTACTGCTACTGAAATGAACTGTATTTCATTATCCTTATTGCATTGTACTGTATTTACTGAAATGCTGTACCACTATACTGCTTTGGCAATATCTACAAATTGCATTTCATGCCCATAAAGCAATCTGAATTAGAAGTTGAGTGTGTGAGAATGTGAGCACGCGAGCTAGAAAGTGTGAGTGAGAGAACGCGAGAGCGAAAGTGAGCGAGATCGCGAGTGAAATCGGGAGCACGAGTGTGAGCGACAGCACGAGAGAGAGCACTAGCGAGATTTTAATTCCATTTTGCATTGATTATTCATCTCCCACTTCACTTGCGACACATGGAGCCTCTGACTGTAGCGCCGCTTTGATTGACCGTCAATAACAAGCTACACGTGTGTCTCTGTTTAATGGGTAACTGTCATAAAACTGTTGTTTTATTCAAATTTGAAATGCAATGGTCTATCCTGGTAGGCTATGTAGCATTGTCACATAATTTATTTAATTTTAGACAAAGCCTTAAAAGAAAAAGGAATTTTTTTTAAATCAAAAAATAAGTCTCCCAAGTAATCGAATACTAACATCCGTTCAGATAGTCGAATAACCGTGCCCACCCCTAATAGAAATGCTTGTTTTTTGCAAAACTTCTGTTTTGTCACATGCGCCGAATACAACAGGTGTAGACCTTACAGTGAAATGCTTACTTACAAGCCCTTAACCAAATAAGTCTGGCTGCACAACGTATTGCAAATTTAGAAATAATGTTACTAAACTGAAATAAAAATATTAGAAACTACACTATGAAACAAAGATAAATGACAAAGAATGATAGTAAAAAGCTTTGGAGCACCTTACATTACATTTTGGGGAAAAAGGCAAACTCAGCTCCATCATTCATTGAATCAGATGGCTCATTCATCACAAAACCCACTGATATTGCCAACTACTTTAATGATAAGCATTGTAATTTTTGAATTCCGTAAATGAGTGTGGAAGAGTTGCCAAAATTATTGTTGTCTATCAACAATGACAAGCCACCGGGGTCTGACAACTTGGATGGAAAATTACTGAGGATAATAGCGGACGATATTGCCACTCCTATTTGCCATATTTTCAATTGAACCCTACTAGAAAGTGTGCCCCCCCCAGGCCTGGAGGGAAGCAAAAGTCATTCCGATACCTAAGAATAGTAAAGCCCCCTTTTACTGGCTCAAATAGCCGACCAAACAGCCAGTTACCAACCCTTCGTAAACCTTTGGAAAAAATGGTGTTTGACCAGATAAAATGCTATTTTACAGTAAACAAATTGACAATAGACTTTCAGCACGCTTATAGGGAAGGACATTCAACAAGCACAGCACTTAAACAAATGACTGATGATTAGCTGTGAGAAATTGATACAAAGATTGTGGGGGCTGTTTTGTTAGACTTCAGTGCGGCTTTGACATTATTGATCAAACGTATGTGTTATGGCTTTACCACCCCTGCTATATTGTTGATAAAGAGTTACTTGTCTAACAGAACACAGAGGGTGTTCTTTAATGGAAGCCTCTCCAACATAATCCAGGTAGAATCAGGAATTCCCCAGGGCAGCTGTCTAGGCCCCTTACTTTTTTCAATCTTCACTAACTTTGAGTAAAGCCAGTGTGTCTATGTATGGGGATGACTCAACACTATACATGTCAGCTACTACAGCGACTGAAATTACTGCAACACTTAAAGAGCTGCAGTTAGTTTCAGAGTGGGTGGCACAGAATAAGTTAGTCCTAAATATTTCTAAAACTAAAAGCATTGAATTTGGGACAAATTATTCATTAAACCCTAAACCTCAAATAAATCTTGTAATAAATAAATGTGGAAATTGAGCAAGTTGAGATGACTAAACTGCTTGGAGTAACCCTGGACTGTAAACTGTCATGGTCAAAATATATTGATACAACAGCAGCTAAGATGGGGAGAAGTCTGTCCATAATAAAGCGCTGCTCTACCTTCTTAACAGCACTATCAACAAGGCAGGTCCTACAGGTCCTTGTTTTGTCACACCTGGACTACTGTTCAGTCGTGTGATCAGGTGCCATAAAAAGGGACTAGGAAAATTGCAATTGGCTCAGAACAGGGCAGCACAGCTGGCCCTTGGATGTACACAGAGAGATAACAATAATATGCATGTTAATCTCTCCTGGCTCAAAGTAGAGGAGAGACTGACTTCATCACTACTTGTATTTGTGTGCGGTATTGACATGTTGAATGCACCGAGCTGTCTGTTTGAACTACTGGCGCACAGCTCGGACACCCATGCATACCCCACAAGACATGCCACCAGAGGTCTCGTCACAGTCCCCAAGTCCAGAACAGACTATGGGAGGCGCACAGTACTACATAGAGCCAAGACTACATGGAACTCTATTCCACATCAAGTAACTGATGCAAGCAGTAAAATTAGATTTAAAAAACCCATAAAAATACACCTTATTGAACAATGGGGAATATGAAGCAACACAAAAATAGGCACAGACGCATGCATACACACGATAGAATATGCACTATACACACACGCACACATGAATTTTGTATTGTAGATATGTGGTAGTGGTGGAGTAAGGGCCTGAGGGCACACAGTGTGTTGTGAAATCTGTGAATGTATTGTAATGTTTTTTAAATTGTATAACTGCCTTCATTTTACTGGACCCCAGGATCCATAATAAATACAAATGTACATTACACTTGCAGTACGATCTGTTTGCAAAGCAGAGACAAATCCGATAGTTAAGTAGTGGACCTTCATGGTCATGGCTTGCTAAGACTCCAAAACAGGCTTGTAACCGCAAGGCCGGCCTGGGGACCTTGTATAATTGATCGGGCTGGAAAGGGACTGGATGGGGAGGTACATAAAATTGAGCCAACACATTCACAAGTCGGTGTCCGATCGATCACATGGTAGAAAACCAAAATAAAACAGTGTTAGGCGCAAAAACAGGTTAAACTCATATAGAGTGATAACCATATCCTGTACTTCACTGAAATGTAAGAATAAGATGAGGAGCGATGAAGGAGGAGGAGTGCTAAAGGACTGGAGTGAGTCACTGCTGAGGAAACTTTGATTGGATCATACACGTTGACATACATTTAGATAAAGCAATCCTTCTGGGGATTCTTGTGTTTGTCAATGTCACCACAGCACTTCTACATGTTGGGTGGGGGTCTAACTATTGTGTAGGGGGTGATGGAGGACATACAACATGCTGGTGGGGGTACCATTTGAGTGGGGGTACCATTTTTGCACACAACATGACATTGCAATTTGGTGGTTCAGGGGGAACACCAGTCCATGACAACAGTCCCTCTGGTGAGGATGAGAGAAATGGGGGTGTGGAAGAACAAAAGGTTCCCATGTGGCTCAGTTGGTAGAGCATGGCACTTGCAATGCCAGGGTTGTGGGTTCGATTCCCACGGGGGACCAGTATGAAAAAAGTATGCACTCACTACTATAAGTCACTCTGGATAAGAACGTCTGCTAAATGACAAAAAATTGTTGCTACTGCTTCTCAGAGTAGAGACCCCTGAAGAACAGATATTTCTACAACCCCCACCACGCCTCATCTCTTAGCCACCTCCTATTGCTGTCCCTCCCGCATTCTCTTCTCCAGTCTAGTTGTGCCTAACAAAGGGATAGACAGTGCGCTACGTGCCTTCTGCCGCCGTGCTGCATTGAGGAAGAGGTCGCTTCATCTCTTCTATTTGGTTGGCGGTAATAGCGCCGGTGGTGTGTGCTCAACCAGCCCCCACAGCGGAGGAGGAGACTGTGGGAAGCATGAGCGTTGTCCCCCTCTCCACTCCCTCTCTCGCTCTCCTCCCGCCACAAGGACCCAGCCTCTCTCTCTCTCTGCTTGGTTATGCAATGCACGTCTATCCCACGGCACAGCTTGCACAGGGGACCCGCCACAACACAGCCACCACCAGCTGCAGGTGCAGACCAACACAGCAACAGCTACGCAGCAGCACTCAGGCTTTCTAGCTCTCTGGTTCTCCACACACAGCTCTCTGGGATTTTACTGTTCTACCTGGCTCTTTGGAATACCACTTGCTGAGGGGTGGGCTGTCTGTAGTATCCACCTAGTGTGGTTGTAGCCGCCGCAAGCGCTACCGTCTCCAGAGTAACCATGCGCGGCTGTGCCTCCGGGGTTCAGCGGTAGGCGAGAGAGAGGCGTCACTGAAAGGCACTAATTGCTCTGCTTCCGAAAGTGGGAAGCAAGAAAGGAGGAGAGAAGAGGGGGCGTGTACATTTGTCACAGAGACTGTGGCACTCTCTCTTTGAGCTGCTAAGAGGGTCAAAGAGACAAGAAGAGCTGAGGAGGAAGAAGAGGGGGGCTGTGGTGGAATTTGGAATTGGAGAGAAAGGGGCGGGAGGATGGGGATAGTAGTGGGGAGGAAGGGGGAGCGTATGGGAGAGGGTTTCTCCAAGCCCCATAGTGCTTCAGCTTTGGTGGTGGAGACCTGAGGAATAAAATAACAAAAGCAAAAAAGGAGACTATAACGCAACCAAAACCAAGGCAGCATTTAACCCAGGGGGTGGCGCAGAGGACTGGAGAACTCATACGGGCAAGAAGGGTGTGATTTTTCACAGAGAGCAGGTGTCTGCGCAGAGCCACGCACCAAGGCTCAGTTGGGAGCCAGGATCTCCTTTTCCTTTTCTTTCCTTCTCTTGGCTACGCAGCCAGCCTCCCCCTGTCCCCCGCTTCCTCCTAATGCAGGCTCCCGTGTGTGGCCATGCTTCTCCATTGAGGACCCAAAAGCATGCTGGATGTCACCCCACTCTTCACGCTGTAGGGTAAGAAACCTTTTTCACCTCTCTTTCTATTCTGTCTCTTTTTTCCGATGGATGGTAGGATCTGCCTGTTTGAGATTCAGAGGTGGCTGCTGTGTTTCCGCGGGCTGCTTATTGTTGACGGTGTTGTGGCTGTAGCGTTGCGCTGCCTGCCTCTCAGCCCTTGCTGGATGTGGCAGTGTCACTGACTGTTTACCTCCCTGTAGATTTCCCTGGGAGGTCTGACACCAGCTAGAGCCCCTGCTCCGTACACAGAGGGGTGGAAAGAAAATCATTAACTACCTTTGGGAAAAAGGGGAGGGTGGGTGTATGGGGCTCTAAATGGGAGCATTAAATGATGCTCGTTTTGACATTTGCGGGGCGTTCAACGTTTTCGTTGCAGCTAGACAGTAAGGGATGTTGAATACTAGGATTCTATTGTGGTGGGGCACAACAGCTTTGGCAATAACTAAACAGTGCATGGCAAATGTTTTATTCGATCACCATTGATTTCTTCTTGAGGAATTGGTGGTTGGCTAGGCTAGTCGAGGGCTGTTTGGTTCAATTTTCCCCAGGGTGCTGTATAAAGCACATGTAGGAGAGGATGAGTGGGGAGGGGAGTTGGATGCATCATAGCAGTGCAGCCTGAAACGAAACATCTAAATTCATTCCCATTGTCTGTGTTCTCTTGATTGTGGGCTTGCGTTGTTTCTTTTCTCTAATGTTTGTCTCTGTATGTGCCTATGTCACATGGGCTGCCTTCATCTCCCTCTCTGCAGATAAGTGCCAGCAGCACCCCTGCCAGGTTGAGCGAGCATTATGGCCATGGGTCCCACGGTCATCACAATTGAGGAGGTGCGGGCGCTGGAGAGCAAGGAGGAGCAGGAGGAGTCCATTTTGGCCTTGCTGGGCATCGTTGGCACCTTCCTCAACCTCTTCGTCATCGTCTTTGTTTACATCTACACTGTCGTGTGAGCCAGAGTGATCCCCCAAACGACAAGGCACAAACCAAGATTCCTTTTAACCCCAACCAACATATACTGGATTTGAAATCCCAAGCTCCTCCTCCCCCTAACTGGATACTAGTTATAAAAACAACACGAGCAGTTTGCCCCACACAGAGAATGAGGGTGGACAGTTATGTGGAGGTGTCTCACAGCCATGAACCAGGGAGATAACAGTGAGCTGGTGGCTACATCATGACCATAGCTGTGCTGGATCTGGATCCAGGATGGGCAGACAGACACTGGCCCTGGCCCAGCCAGGGTTCACTTTCCCGGGCTACAGGCCAGCACAGCCTGGGCTGGAACTAACTTCCAACCTTGGACTCATTGACTTGGACTCAATGGCGTGATGAGGGAAACAGTGTTACTGACAAATCTTCCTTGTCAAATGGATTATAAAAACGGAAGAAGGGACACTGATGTCACTGGCCTGGACGGTTTAAGGGGCATGGCGTGGAGGAAGGCGGTGCATGCACAGAACACTGGGAAGCCATTACAGATGAACTGTACACCCCCATATCCCATTGGTAATCTTCCAGGGACAGCATTTTAAACTGCTTGGCGGCTGTCACAGCGCACGTTACCCCGGCAATGTGGCTCTGGAGTAGCTTTAATGTAATGTGCTGCTTGCCGTCAGATAGGCCACACGCGTACACACGCAAGTGTTAGTCACCGCTTCTCATGATCTGACAGATCACAACAGAGCGATCTCGTCTGTATCTCGCACCCGGCAAGAACTGATCTGCAAGGAGAGCAGGAGTGGCAATGACAAAGAAACATTTCTATTCAAATTGACCACCTGGTACTTCAAAACCAAACTGGAGATCTGCAATAAAAAGGCTAGTGGAGAGAAAGAGTGATAGGAGAGCCTGCGGTGGTGATGAAATCATCCGCAGGGGTGGGAAAGGACCTTGTGGGCGCCAGAAAAAAAGCTCCATTACGCATTTACTAATACTTACACTTCTACTGTCTCTTTCCACGTTCTGTTCGGTTATTCTGTTCATGTTGATTTCAGGGTAGTGTCAGCGATCCTGTTTCTGTATAAAAATCTAAGCTTTTATAAATATATGGATAACTCTAGATGTACTGTGCTATAGGGAAAATGTAACAATAAAATTTGAATATATGAATTAGACTAGCCTCAAGCCTAATCTATGATGGATTCTGTGGGAGAATGTATGCATAAGTAAATGCCTGTGCGCGTTTGTGTGAGACCAAATGCATAGATACCATTAAGGATAAGAGCCATAATATGGTGAAGATGGGTGTGTAACTGAGGAAGAATGTCACATTATCAAAGGGGCTGGATGGGGTCTGTATCGTCACCTCTATTCACATGCTTATTGTATGCCTACAACATGTTCCATTAGTTTGGTACCCTCCTACTAAGTACTGTATAAGGATTCAGAGAGTTTTCAGCTTTCACAAAGGTCAGGGTGGCATGTTGTTTCCAGTCACATGCAACATACGGAAAATAATTTACCTAAACTACCATGTGCATCCTGCATTCTAATGAGAAAGGGTGAGTGGGGGGTCAGATCTGCCGTCTGCCTTGAGCTCGGTTTCAGATGTGTCGACTGCTACTGCAATCGGAAACGCACATAAGGAAATTGAAATCGTGTCAGTTGCACCTACCTCAACGTGGTGTGTGTGAGCGTGTGTATGCACACATCGTGTGTGAATCAATAGGGTCATGGACACACAAGATTAAGAAAGTAGCTAGCAGTACAACCTAGGTAACTACACAAGTGAACAATGCACATTGTTGGAAAACACCACGTTACAAAACCAAAAGTGTTGCTGTAATCAGACCAGGCACCATCAATGACATCACATGCTCACTGAGGAAAATGACAACACAGCAGCCCAATAAACCTCTGATAGCAATGCACCAGTATGACTTCATACGCTTACCACGGGACGCCTGCATGCGATCCATACTTACCGCTGCCCTTAACCCCCTTAAGGCTAACACAACAGGCACAGACACCCATACCTACCTCAAAACAGCCATACAGAGAAAATCACATACCAATTGAAAATTCCATAGTAGGATAGGCGGCCAACCGGGGGTAGATTGTCATATGCAAATAGGGGGAGGGGAAGCGTTAATGAATCTGGGGAGGTGACTCGTTTAGCATTCACTTTGTGGATTCAGATCTACTAGGAACATGTCCAGCAGTAGGGACAAACCCTGTAGAAATGTAGTCTAGGTGCTGAGGACTGGAGCAGTATAGGGTAGTCACCGATCCCCACGAGGGCCACTCCATGACATTGTGTGGTCTGGGCGTCCAGCCCCCTCTCTGGAAAGCCTCCCTTGTTCAGATTACCCACCACGTCAATGTACAGGCCCACTAAACATGAATGATGGCTTTAAATCACATCTGCTTTTGAAATGGGGGGAATGGGAATGAAGGCAAGAGGGAAGAGCGGAGGAGATGCTAATGCTGTGGAGCTAAGCCATCTCCACTCATGGTTTATGTGTGTAGATGGAAGCACTTGGCACAAATGCAGTATGTAGGATTCCTCACCAATACCCCCCTGAGAAGGTTTCACAAAAGAGTGGACTAGATGCTTGTCCTGTTTAACAAGCTGTTCCTAACACTCTCACTGACGGACGGTGAAGTGCGGGGGAGGAGGGTCATGTGTGAGGATGGTTGGGTAAGAGGGGAGCGAGCGAGAGGATAAATAAATGTCATTTTCAATTAAAATAGATTAGTTTCGCAGTGACATTAAAAGGCATTACCTCTCACTAAATGGTCTAACTTCCTGTGATGGAGTGCGCGGCCGCGTAATGCGTCCCAAAAGGATTGCCAAGACACCGATGACTAATGTGGAACAATACGCAAGCGGCGCGGCCAAGTTAGGAGATTAGCAGGAGGAATGAGTGTGGCCTGAGGCAGATAGACTGCCAGAGGGGTAGAGGGAGGATGGGAAGAGGGGTAGAGGGAGGATGGGAAGAGGGGCGGGCAGGGGCGACACAAGAGGGTTTCCCCCCCCCCCGCGCCTCTTAGGAGTGCAAGGGCAGGCTTGGCTAATATATTCATCACAGCGGCTATTAGGCAGCACACTGAGGACGAAGAGCATGAATGGAGACAGAGGAGTGTGGTGTTGTAGCCTTAATGATGCTTTTAATGTCAACTAGTGTGGTATCTCTTAATAAAGCTAGTAGCCAGGCTTTTAATGTAGACACTGGATGAATGGTGCATGGTATGAGAATGTGTTTGGACTGGAGTAGCCCATCTTAATAGATTTCATAGAAAGATTGATGTGTTTGGTGTCATTCCTGAAGCAAAGGTATCGGCACTTTTCCCAAACACCACACATTCCAAGCTGCAAGGACCTAGGCCTACATTAGAAGGAATTTCACCCAATCATAAAACACATGACTGTTTATAGGGGCTGTGATGGTCATGGAATTTTGGATGACGGTAATTGGCCAGCCAAATGACTGCGGTCACAGTAATAGCAAAAATAAACTAAACATGATTATTTATTGAATTGTATTTATTAATATTTATTTTGACATGTTCTCCTCCGCTCTTGACTGCATGTGCTGCCATAGAAACAGAATGAATAGAACGGGCATCCCCATTCAAGTCAATGATGGCATAATGGGTGGACTGGCAGCCATTGAGAGTGTACCCATAGGAGCAAAAATACACTACAAGTATGTGGACACCCCTTCAATTTAGTGGATTTGGCTATTTGAATAAAAATCAAGCACACAGCCCATACAATCTCCATAGACAAACATTGGCAGTAGAATGGCCCGTACTGAAGAGCTCAGTGACTTTCAATGTGGCACCGTCATAGGATGTTACCTTTTCAACAAGTCAGTTAGTCAAATTTCTGCCCTGCTAAAGCTGCCCCGGTCAACTGTAAGTGCTGTTATTGTGAAGTGGAAACGTCTAGGAGTGACAACGGCTCAGCCGCGAAGTGGTAGGCCACACAACCTCTCAGAATGGGACAGCCAAGTGCTGAAGCATGTAAATATTGTCACTACCAATTTCCAAACTGCCTCGAAGCAACATCAGCACAAGAACTGTTCGTCGGGAGCTTAATTAAATGGGTTTCCATGGCAGAGCAGCTGCACAAAAGCCTAAGATCACCATGTGCAATGCCAAGCGTTGGCTGGAGTAGGTGTAAAGCTCGCCGCCATTGGACTCTGGAGCAGTGGAAACGCGTTCTCTGGAGAGATGAATCATGCTTCACCATCTGGCAGTCCGACAGACAAATCTGGGTTTGGCGGATGCCAGGAGAACGCTACTTGCCCAAATGCATAGCGCCAACTGTAAAGGAGGAGGAGGAATAATGGTCTGGGGCTGTTTTTCATGGTTCGGGCTAGGCCCCTTAGTTCCAGTTAAGGGAAATCTTAATGCTACGGCATACAATGTCATTCTAGACGATTCTTTGCTTCCAACTTTGTGGCAACAGTTTGGGGAAGGCCCTTTCCCGTTTCAGCATGACAATGCCCCCGTGCACGAAGCGAGGTCCATATAGAAATGGTTTGTTGAGATCGGTGTGGACGAACTTCACTGGCCTGCACAGAGCCCTGACCTCAACCCCATCGAACACCTTTGGGATGAATTGGAACGCCGACTGCGAGCCAGGCCTAATCGCCCAACATCATTGCCCGACCTCACACTAATGCTCTTGTGGCTGAATGAAAGCAGCAATGTTCCAACATCTAGTGGAAAGCCTTCCCAGAAGAGTGGAGGCTGTTATAGCAGCAAAGTGGGGACCAACTCCATACTAATGCCCATGATTTTTGAATGAGATGTTCGACGAGCAGGTGTCCACATACTTTTGGCCATGTAGTGTAGGTGCTATTGATTCAACTCAATGAGCCACATAATTGGAATTATTGCGTCAAAATACCAGGTAGCCATACCCCCAGTCGGTATTAGATAGAACGTCGCCGCCCGCCCGCCTTGGGGGAAAACAACCCATGGTTACCCCATTGGCTCACAGCAAAAACAACCTTTTTCAGACGCAATTTTCTTGTTGTCAGCTTGTTTTAGTCAATTACAAAACTCCATTTAGGAAAAGTACAACATGTCTAAAGATTACTTTTCAACATTGACTGCTCCTGAGCGTTCTCACTACTTCTAAAAAACGTAACATTGTAGGGCTTCCCTCATTCCCCTTTTCATGACAGAACTAGCAGCCACGTGAGTGCTAGCTAGCTAGCAAAGACCAACATAAACAAAACTGACTATACAGCTACAAGTAGTGAGTGGAGTTACAAACGGACTACACTAAACAAGTTCAAAATCTTACCTGTGATTAAATGTTTTCCACACATATAGCTACGTGTAGCCTACTTGGACACCGGGTTCCCATAATTTCCCACGCCGAATAGCCTGAAGCCACAGGTCTCTATTTCCTTATGTGGGAGCATTGTGAACTGTAAATCGGGATTTTAATCTGGTTACATGTACATTAAACACAGCAGTTGGCGCTTTTACAATGGGGGCCAATGGAAAAGAATGTTTGTTTTACCCAATTTGTGGGCGTGGTCGAGGGGAATTCCTTCTTATGACTCGGATTATTGCAAGTGTACCCATGAGTTTACCAGTCAAAATTGCCAGGTTCCAAGCCCATTCTATTCATTTTATTTCTATATGTGCTGCTGCATTGTGGGGGTGTTGCCTTGGCAACCGAATACTCTTTTGCTTGTTTCAGCAAGGAGCAACAAAGTTATCAAGTCCATGTTACAGCCGAAACTGACTCAACCACACGGACGCCTGGGCCATCCCGTCTTCAGTCAGCTGTTCGTTCCAAACGGTTCTGAAGTTTTCATTTTCATGACGCTCTTCATCCATAACCATCAGCTACACAGTTAAACAGTAATTGTGACAGCTCTATATACAAGCAACATGTAAAAAAAACTGCAACGCCACTGAAGGTAAATTGTATACAAAATGGAAAGTGAAAGCAGTACATTATGTAGGAATGAGATGGAGATTTCAATCCCTCCTTCCAGCAGCATATGACAGTTGATCATCAGGGCCACACTCTTACTGAATACCAAGTCTGCCTCTGTCACCACACCCACAGTTATCTACCTCCCAGGGCTGCCTACCCCCTGCATTGCACTTAATGCTTTTTGGAAGGAACACCCCCTCCCCCCACTCCTCAGCGCGGCACGTTATTAAAAAAAGAGACTGCAGGAGTGCTTGAGTCCCATTCCCACTTTTTCATTACCAGCAACCCCTTGACATTGATTGACAGCTCATGGCTCTGAGGGCTGGCGCCAATACAACAGAGTGAGAGGAGCCCTTGGCTTCCATCAGCGCTCACACACTGAACCGACTTAACTGACCATACTGCACAGTAGATTAATCACCAAAAACACAATTTGTTATTAAATTGGGTGATAAAACATGTCAATTGAAATATTAGTCCATTTTGAATGCAAATGTTTAATCATAACAATGACATAGGAGAAAGGCGAGCGACAATGAAAAGGAGGCAGTAAACTTAATGTGATTTAATAGCAGACAGCCCCAGCTGCATGTTTGCACACACCACGCTTGAGCGTGTCTGAGGCATTTAAAAGATGAGGACCAATCTCTTTATCTGCTGTTATTTAATTATGAGACTAGGGGCGCGTTAATGCACACCACAACACATACAGACACACACTAACAGCATCGGACAAAGAGGTAGTTGTGGTTAGACACAGAGCTATTAGCTACCATCACCTGATATGCAACTATTATTTAATGACATTATAATGCAACTCCTTGTGAATGGAGGCTACGTTGATATAGGCCTACCTGCCCATTTCAGCTCAGAACAAACAGATTGAGAAGCAGAAAATACTTTTGGGGAGAGTCTATGCACCTTGTTGATATTAAACATGCCAATAATCTGTCCATAGTCCGAAAACGGATGTATCCCGCTAAGGGTTCGTTATAAGCAGAGTATTTGTAGAGCGAACAGAAATGGGTTTTTTCAAGGTTCTTTCATTTCCTTGGTAGTGTGCCAACTTGCCATTTTATTCCTGGCAATATCTAAACGTCTGTGAGCAACTTTGTTCTGTTTTCTGTTAATATTCATAAATGATTAGACAAAAACATAAGCTAACCATAAAAATCACCACAAAAATGTGGATAGATCCCCACAGATTCTCCCATACCCACAGATTCTCCTATCCCCACAGATTCTCCCATCCCCACAGATTCTCCCATCCCCACAGATTCTCCTATCCTCACAGATTCTCCCATCCCCACAGATTCTCCCATCCCCACAGATTCTCCCATCCCCACAGATTCTCCTATCCTCACAGATTCTCCCATCCCCACAGATTCTCCCATCCCCACAGATTCTCCCATCCCCACAGATTCTCCCATCCCCACAGATTCTCCTATCCCCACAGATTCTCCTATCCCCACAGATTCTCCCATCCCCACAGATTCTCCCATCCCCACAGATTCTCCCATCCCCACAGATTCTCCCATCCCCACAGATTCTCCTATCCCCACAGATTCTCCTATCCCCACAGATTCTCCTATCCCCACAGATTCTCCTATCCCCACAGATTCTCCTATCCCCACAGATTCTCCTATCCCCACAGATTCTCCCATCCCCACAGATTCTCCTATCCCCACAGATTCTCCTATCCCCACAGATGGTGGATGGATTCTACAACCCCCACTAGTGTTGCACGGTATACCGAACCTTCTGTACTTGAACATGAAAAACGGTGCGGTCCTAGAAGTTTTGTTACTTTCGGTACTTCTGTCAAATGTGTCTCCCGGATCAACTCTGTCAGCCAATGTCCCCCTTAGAGCGTGAAAGCACAGTGCCTGCTCCACTTAACCTGCACTGGGAGTCTGGGCTGCATCATGTTAGCTCCCCACTCATGCTGCACAGAAGTTAACACACTTGAATAATGCGACACAGCATGAAGAAATGTTGTAACTGTCGCAAAACAATGTCCATACAGGCTAGAACACTTTACAATGCAAGAAGATACCGGTAGCTTCAGTGGCGTAGCGCAGTTTCGCAGGGCAACCCTGCAATGTTGTAGACATTTTTGGGGACATATTTTTTTCTCTCCATGGGGCAGAGAGAAAAATGTGCAGTATTAGAGCTAATTACATGCTATTTTACAAATTTTGCCATGAGGCTGAGAGAATATTTTGCTGTTTTAGACCTTAGGGATTCTTGAAAGATGGGGCAATCAACTTTTTCCCCCACAAATATTTGTCGTAATATTAACAACATTTGAAATATATATTTTGATAGACCAAAGTATCAGCTATCAGACCATGTGAAGGAACATAATTATAATTTTTCATAAAATGCAACTGGATATATGTCAACTCCGTCAGACACCATAAAAGGAATTTCATTTTTACAATTGTCCAACAAGTGTTTAAAGGCCATGATAGTTTAAAGGGACATTTCTAAAATGTTTATTGTATACAAAATGGAAAGTGAAAGCAGTACATTATGTAGGAATGAGATGGAGATTTCAATCCCTCCTTCCAGCAGCATATGACAGTTGATCATCAGGGCCACACTCTTACTGAATACCAAGTCTGCCTCTGTCACCACACCCACAGTTATCTACCTCCCAGGGCTGCCTACCCCCTGCATTGCACTTAATGCTTTTTGGAAGGAACACCCCCTCCCCCCACTCCTCAGCGCGGCACGTTATTAAAAAAAGAGACTGCAGGAGTGCTTGAGTCCCATTCCCACTTTTTCATTACCAGCAACCCCTTGACATTGATTGACAGCTCATGGCTCTGAGGGCTGGCGCCAATACAACAGAGTGAGAGGAGCCCTTGGCTTCCATCAGCGCTCACACACTGAACCGACTTAACTGACCATACTGCACTGTAGATTAATCACCAAAAACACAATTTGTTATTAAATTGGGTGATAAAACATGTCAATTGAAATATTAGTCCATTTTGAATGCAAATGTTTAATCATAACAATGACATAGGAGAAAGGCGAGCGACAATGAAAAGGAGGCAGTAAACTTAATGTGATTTAATAGCAGACAGCCCCAGCTGCATGTTTGCACACACCACGCTTGAGCGTGTCTGAGGCATTTAAAAGATGAGGACCAATCTCTTTATCTGCTGTTATTTAATTATGAGACTAGGGGCGCGTTAATGCACACCACAACACATACAGACACACACTAACAGCATCGGACAAAGAGGTAGTTGTGGTTAGACACAGAGCTATTAGCTACCATCACCTGATATGCAACTATTATTTAATGACATTATAATGCAACTCCTTGTGAATGGAGGCTACGTTGATATAGGCCTACCTGCCCATTTCAGCTCAGAACAAACAGATTGAGAAGCAGAAAATACTTTTGGGGAGAGTCTATGCACCTTGTTGATATTAAACATGCCAATAATCTGTCCATAGTCCGAAAACTGATGTATCCCGCTAAGGGTTCGTTATAAGCAGAGTATTTGTAGAGCGAACAGAAATGGGTTTTTTCAAGGTTCTTTCATTTCCTTGGTAGTGTGCCAACTTGCCATTTTATTCCTGGCAATATCTAAACGTCTGTGAGCAACTTTGTTCTGTTTTCTGTTAATATTCATAAATGATTAGACAAAAACATAAGCTAACCATAAAAATCACCACAAAAATGTGGATAGATCCCCACAGATTCTCCCATCCCCACAGATTCTCCCATACCCACAGATTCTCCTATCCCCACAGATTCTCCTATCCCCACAGATTCTCCCATCCCCACAGATTCTCCCATCCCCACAGATTCTCCTATCCTCACAGATTCTCCCATCCCCACAGATTCTCCCATCCCCACAGATTCTCCCATCCCCACAGATTCTCCTATCCTCACAGATTCTCCCATCCCCACAGATTCTCCCATCCCCACAGATTCTCCCATCCCCACAGATTCTCCCATCCCCACAGATTCTCCTATCCCCACAGATTCTCCTATCCCCACAGATTCTCCCATCCCCACAGATTCTCCCATCCCCACAGATTCTCCCATCCCCACAGATTCTCCCATCCCCACAGATTCTCCTATCCCCACAGATTCTCCTATCCCCACAGATTCTCCTATCCCCACAGATTCTCCTATCCCCACAGATTCTCCTATCCCCACAGATTCTCCTATCCCCACAGATTCTCCTATCCCCACAGATTCTCCCATCCCCACAGATTCTCCTATCCCCACAGATTCTCCTATCCCCACAGATGGTGGATGGATTCTACAACCCCCACTAGTGTTGCACGGTATACCGAACCTTCTGTACTTGAACATGAAAAACGGTGCGGTCCTAGAAGTTTTGTTACTTTCGGTACTTCTGTCAAATGTGTCTCCCGGATCAACTCTGTCAGCCAATGTCCCCCTTAGAGCGTGAAAGCACAGTGCCTGCTCCACTTAACCTGCACTGGGAGTCTGGGCTGCATCATGTTAGCTCCCCACTCATGCTGCACAGAAGTTAACACACTTGAATAATGCGACACAGCATGAAGAAATGTTGTAACTGTCGCAAAACAATGTCCATACAGGCTAGAACACTTTACAATGCAAGAAGATACCGGTAGCTTCAGTGGCGTAGCGCAGTTTCGCAGGGCAACCCTGCAATGTTGTAGACATTTTTGGGGACATATTTTTTTCTCTCCATGGGGCAGAGAGAAAAATGTGCAGTATTAGAGCTAATTACATGCTATTTTACAAATTTTGCCATGAGGCTGAGAGAATATTTTGCTGTTTTAGACCTTAGGGATTCTTGAAAGATGGGGCAATCAACTTTTTCCCCCACAAATATTTGTCGTAATATTAACAACATTTGAAATATATATTTTGATAGACCAAAGTATCAGCTATCAGACCATGTGAAGGAACATAATTATAATTTTTCATAAAATGCAACTGGATATATGTCAACTCCGTCAGACACCATAAAAGGAATTTCATTTTTACAATTGTCCAACAAGTGTTTAAAGGCCATGATAGTTTAAAGGGACATTTCTAAAATGTTTAACTTCATATTCATCATCTCCAGCACCATCCCAACATCAACATGTGAAGATTGCGCGTTTGTGTTTTGTAGTAAAAAAGATTGAGTAAGATCAGTGTTTCCAATGACATCATTAGTGTGCATCGTGTGATTTTAACCAATTATGAGTAGGTATTCCCTACTAATTGTTTGATGTCATTGGAAACACTTACATTCCTCTATTCTTTTTACTACAAAACATAGAAACTCGCAATTTTCACATATGTTGATGGGGTGGTGCTGGAGATGAATATGAAGTAGAACATTTTCGAAATGTCCCTTTAATTCTAACATTAGATTATTTAAATAAGTAATACAGATCTCCAAACTTCTTTTGGTTTTGCTTTATAGCACTATTAAATGCTCCAGGCCTAATTTCATTAGTATTTTGGCATGTTTTTCTAGATTTAGAACTTAAAACATTTATAGAGTAAACATTATCACTTAGGTCTAGCACGGCAAATACTTTACTTGTTTAAACATAAGTGGCAGAACAGTGATTAAAATGTTTTCAGAATATTGACCAAAAAAAGACTCCATCAGTGACAGAGTTGACAAATACTCAAAACAGACATTTTTGTTCAATACAAAACATTAGTAAAACACGGAAAATGATTCATTTGAAAATCCTCAATAAAAACATTATTCTATCAGATCTTTCAGTTGACGTTAGACAAAATCTGAGTTGATGTTTTACGGAGTTGATGTTTTACGGAGTATAGCTGACCCTGCTCATTCGTGATTAATTTAGGATTTTAGACAAATCTGATGGAGTTGACCAAATCTCCAGACACATCTTTTAGGAATCACAGTTGATACATTTTCTTTAAAGTCAGAGGGCTATTGCAAGAAACCACATAATAATTAATTATCCAGATATTATTCTTGCCTCATGAATGACGTCATTACTGGTTAAAGAGACAGAGCATACTTTTATCAAATAAGCTACTTCTATGCAAATGTTGATCAGTATAAGAAAATAAGTCCCAAACGAAAGGGAAACAGATTGTCATCTGTATCCCCATGAAATCAACCAAAACAAGCTCAATAACTCAATACATGCACACAATCTTATTGAATATGCATTCATGTGAATAGGCCTAAGCTACATCTTCATTTATCAATAGAGATTAACCATTTAAATAAATGATTACCATTATGTTATGTAGTTAGATTGGTAAAAACAAAGTCAAATTGATTGTATGATTGTATAATTGATTCATTAATGCATACATGGCTCTGAAAATGTAAAAAACTTCAAATGTAATGATATTGAACTCAAGATTCCCAACGATTGAACAGAGCAGTAGCTGAGTTTCTGTCTGGATCAAGTGCCATTCTGTGACTTTGGTTAATATGCCTTCTTTTTTTGCAGCGGTATCGTTTTGATAGATTAACGTGGTGGTATCGAAGTCAAAATTCAGATAGTGGATGGATTCTACTATCCCAACAAATGTCACTATCCCGACAGTTTCCACTTTCCCCAAAGATAGAGAATGGATTCTACTCTCCACAGATAGCGGATGGATTCTAAATGTGTGGGGGTTGGTTGGGTGGACTGTGAACACTCCTATTAAGAGTGGTTTGGGATGATGACAGAACACAGGCCTGCATGCTCCTCTGACAACCCCCAGGGTCATAGCTTAACAGACAGCAAACCTAGTCAGAGCAATGGACTGACCTACCATTTAGCTCAGTGTTCAGTTAACTCTGGGTCAGCCCTCACCACCAGGGACTAGGGATTACCTTTGAGGATTACCATCATATCCTGCTTTCACAAAAAGCCTTTTCAGACCCTGATCACATCAGAGTAGAGCCTCCGCAAAGAAAGCACTGTAGAATGATGGTACGCACTGTAGAATGATGGTACATGCTCGGAATAAGAATTAGCTTCACTAAACTTTTCTACCACTATACTCAAGGGACAAAGGGTTCTAAGAGTTGCTCGGTGCGGGGAACTAATTATTTCTAACAAAAACGTCTGTTGCATATTTAAAAAAATCGAATACAGCATAGAGAATGAGTTCGCATCGTGCAATGAACGCTTCGTATCGTCAGAAGAAATTACATTTCATCCAATTTTCCACACAATAATTACTACCAAAAGAAGTCACAAGTAACAACTAATCAAATTAGACAAAACCTATTCGTTCTCGCGCATGAAAACACTGAATTATAAGTGGAAAAGCATGGATTAATATAATTGAAAATTTTAATTGAACTTTATTGGAGAGCGTCGACCCCCACAGAAGCAATAGCCATGTTAGAGGAAGATCCTGCAGCTCCATCTGCGGTCTCATCAAGCAAATGATCAACTCTCACACACACCTCCCTCTCACTGGAATTTAGCAGGTTTCCCAGATGCAGAAAAGATAGTCATACACATAAAAGACCTCATCTAACGACATCACAATGAAAAAAAAAGAAGGTTTTCCTACTAATAATTTGCCTCCTATAGACATGTCATTGTATTTCCAAGACAATATAATGTAATTCTGACAAATTCTTCATCAGTGCCAATTGACAATGCATTGAGTAGAATGTGAGCCGGACTGATCGGGAGTCAGAACATTACAAACAATTGTGACGAAACGTGCAACCCATAAATAGCCTACTAACCTTTCCCGTAACATTTGAAAACAACTAGACCTATGCTATCTTCTATTCCAGTGGTTCCCAAACTGTGGAGCACCCCCAAATGAAGGTAAATACATTGGCCTGGCACACAAACCCAACCCACCTCACCTGAGGAGGACATAACTACCATCACATGATGTCTGAGACCAGGAGAAGTCATAGATCATGATATACAGTACTGAAAAACAATAAAAAGGGTAGCATCTTTCATCATAAGCAGTGCTGATACACTACATGGCCAAAAGTATGTGGACACATACACGAACATCTCATTTCAAAATAATGGCCATTAATATGGAGTTGGTCCCCCCTTTGCTGCTTTAACAGCCTACACTCTACTGGGAAGGCGTTACACTAGATGATGGGAAATTGCTGCAGGGACCTGCTTCCATTCAGCCACAAGAGCATTAGTGAGGTCAGGCACTGATATTGGGCAATTAGGCCTGGCACACAGTCGGCGTTCCAATTCATTGCAAAGCTGTTCGATGGGGTTGAGGTCAGGGCTCTGTGCAGGCCAGTCAAGTTCGTCCACACCGATCTCAACAAACCATTTCTATATGGACCTCGCTTCGTGCACGGGGGCATTGTCATGCTGAAACGGGAAAGGGCCTTCCCCAAACTGTTGCCACAAAGTTGGAAGCACAGAATCGTCTAGAATGTCATTTTATGCTGTAGCGTTAAGACTTCCCTTCACTGGATCTAAGGGGCCTAGCCCAAACCATGAAAAACAGCCCCAGACCATTATTCCTCCTCCACCAAACTTTACAGTTGGCACTATGCATTGGGGCAGGTAGCGTTCTCCTGGCATCCGCCAAACCCAGATTTGTCCGTCAGACTGCCAGATGGTGAAGCATGATTCATCACTCCAGAGAATGCGTTTCCACTGCTACAGAGCCCAATGGCAGCAAGCTTTACACCACTCCAGCCAACGCTTGGCATTGCGCATGGTGATCTTAGGCTTGTGTGTGGCTGCTTGGTCATGGAAACCCATTTCATGAAGCTCCCAACTAACAGTTCTTGTGTTAACGTTGCTTCCAGAGGCAGTGAGTGTTGCAACCGAGGACAGACGGTTTTTATGCGCTACACACTTCAGCACTCGGCGGTCCTGTTCTGTGAGCTTGTGTGGCCTACCACTTCACAGCTGAGCCGTTGTTGCTCCTAGATGTTTCCACTTCACAATAACAGCACTTACAGTTGACCGGGGAAGCTCTAGTAGGGCAGAAATGTTATGAACTGACCTGGTAGGTGGCATCCTATGACGGTGCCACATTGAAAGTCACTGAGCTCTTCAGTACAGGCCATTCTACTGCCAATGTTTGTCTATGGAGATTGCATGGGCTGTGTGCTCAATTTTATGCACCTGTCATGTGTGTCCACATACTTTTTGCCATGTAGTGTACGTTTAACCTGTCAAATTAATTGTTGTGAGATTTGCCATCGAGTTTCCCGTTTCATTAAAGGCACAGCCATCCTAAACGGGAGTTATCATAACCTCATGGAAACTTTCAACACAAAGACTAAAGAAGAGTGTTCATTCACCGGAATCGTTGCGTAGGTAGGAGGACATGGCTGGAATGAGGCAGGACTGGCTGAGCAGCTCCTGCAGTACTGTGGGCAGGGCGTTGCTGTTGTGGCCCCTGCTCGCCCCTGTAGGGGCCTCTCCGTGGCTCACACAGCCTGCTGGGTTGATGTAGCTGGCCAGCACCTGACAGACAGAATAAGTGGCGCACACATACACTTTTAGCAACACGTGTAGGCCTTAAGGCTGTTTTACAGTTGGTCTACCGACATGTCTGTTGTCAGAGTGTTGTGAGTGTGAAGAAATAAAAGTAGGTCATTTTATCTGAGAATTGTATAACTCGTCAAAAATAGATTTGGTCTTGTTGCTGTAGCAGCCCAGTAACCACGACAACGGACGTTGCGACAGTCGCAAAGGCATTCACTTTTTTCCATGTCTGTGCGACAAGGAAACTGACAGTCGCAGCGACGGTCTACAGACATTCCACCAGAGTATAAATTATATGTTGTTTTGACCAGCGACACTTGTCGCATTCTGATTGTCTACAGACTTGTCGTTATACCGATTATAAACCGGCCTTTACTCTGAGGTAACTACACAGGAAGTACTTATTTAAAGTATGTAAGAGCATAGATCTTCCCATTGTTAGCCAGGTAACACTTTTATGCCATTGGGGAAAACCCTCAGGATGTACTACACCTAGGGCAGGGTTTCCCAAACTCAATCCAGGGGCCCCCCCTGGGTGCACGTTTTGGTCCTTGCCCTAGCACTCCATGCTGATTCAAATAACCAACTCATCAAGCTTTGATTACTTCAAATCAGCTGTGTAGTGCAGGCGCGGGAGGGGCGGAGAGAGTTTGGGAAACCCTGGGGTAGGGGATTCTTACCTGCAGAAGACAGGTGACGTGCTCCTCCTCCAGCCTCTGCTTGGTGAGGGCCTGCTCCACGTCCCAGCCTGAGGCAGTGGAGCCTGTACCGAACCCAGTGCCCTTCGCCCAGTACAGCTGCTGCTCCTCACTGGTGCCCCCTCCATGACCACTGGACACCGTGGGCTGGGGACAGACAGAACCAGTGGAAGTGATCAGCACAACACAGGAAATCAGCAGGGGGAAAGTTTAGCCTAGTGGTCCATTGTGATGACAACATAGGCCTGGCCTACAGATACTAGCATTCCATAAGCTCATGAAATCAGCAAAACACCCCAATTTATCCTGAATGCAGCATAGGCTACAGATTTGGATTGAATAAGATTACTTTCCCTTTGCAAATGTCAGTCTTCAGATCAATGGTCGAGTGAGATAGCAATGCTGGTTTTCCAGGTTTAAAAAATAATAATATCTCACAACATCAAACATAACTAGCCTATCCACAGTCCCTGCTTGTCACAGCCCCGTTATACACTTGAGGCACTTTTAGTTCTGCTCCAAGCACATACCCAGCAGTTTGAATAGGAGATCATGTAAAAAACAGGAGTCTTGGAGGGCGAGAGCGTATGCTCGGGTTGACCTGGTGCTGTGCGTATGACAAAGGCATTGAGAGTTCCCAGTGGTATGGGGAGGGGTCGGGGGGCATGCTAGAATAGAGAGAACTAAGAGATGGATATGAAAGGATGTCCGAGTTAGACGAGAGGAGAACGTTTAGCCTTCTTGAGACTGCACCCTTTCTGACAGAGGTGGAGGTGGGATGAGGCTGCTGGGATTTTGACCGGTTCACTTTATTTTAAAAGATGGCCATAGTGTGTGTTTTGTATAGGGCCGAAGCAGGGCCCAGTCCTGACACTGTCCCAGCAGTACAGGGCGATGAGTTATGCTCTCGTCATAAGAGGTTGGAGACAAATCACTGAGCACTGGAACATCAATCAGGGAAGGGAGGAGGCTCACTTTCCCAGATAAAGAGGGATGGGTGTGTGTGTGTGTGTGTGTGTGGACTGACCGTCCGCCGGCTCTGGCCCCGGTCTCATCTCCGGCCACATAACATAACTGGCCGCCACGCTCAAGGACAACCATTACCACTGTGACAGGACTTTGGCCTGCCCTCAAGCCATCAGTCCGGAGATCTGTCCTCAACTCTGACAACTCCATAAATCCACACTGGTCTGTGGATGGGAGCGCCTGTCGAGACAATCCACAGTAACACTGGGCTGTAGTACTGTAATAGCCTATCCTACTATATAAAATGTAATCTTTGGTGGTTTTGCTGAATTTGAGCCTATGATCTATGGCACTTGGACCCTTGTGGTGGCATTGCTGGGTGCTGGTGGCGTCGAGCTTCTAGTAGCCTCTGCCGAGTCCCCAACAACCGGATATTCTGGTTTTCAGGTGAAATGGAAAGAGCCTGTGACGCGAACTTGCGCTATTGGACGTTAACAAGGCGACACTCCATCTCAACTCCCCCTCCACATTTCCTGGATTGGTTGAACAGTGCAGAAGAGAACCTCCCAACAGTTCTTTTCTCTTCTCATCAAGACCAGTATGTCGGGGATCTAGTTTTAGGCGTATCTTTTACGCCTGCTACGCCAGGTTAAGCTTCTAGTGATCAAAATCAATATTGTGATCGATACAATTTGGTGGGTGCAATCTGTTCTTTGATCTGAGTTCTCAGTCATCTCCTTTGAGTCTCAGTGGTCCTAGAAGAGTCCAGAGTACTTTGAAAGGCTTTGAGCAGGAGGTAAGTGTTGACGCCCAGCAGAAACCTCAATATAAGACTAATCACTCCATGTAATGGGCATGGCAGTCAGAGTCCATGATTCAATTCCTATTCATGATGTTCCCTTCTGTCTGGAGTTGGCAATAATACAAAGGACATGTCTCTTCAAAGCCAGACCTGCCTCTTATCATTACCACTAAACAATTACCCAATTTGTCAAGTGCTCAGTGGAGATATAAGTAAGAGCCCTGAGTAAAGCCCTGCCAGGTAGAGCAATTAATAACATGACTGATCCTCACCGCCCATCTCTCATTGAGGGAAAGACAAAACACCTGAATTCTCCCTGGAGAGTGAGGACCTCCTATTGTGTCAAGCCAAATGCATTGGAGGCAGCATCTGAACATTAGACAAGACGCCACGCAATGCTTTGTCAACCCAACCCGAAATAGGTTTATCCTCTGTCCATTATAAACACAAGAGAACGCAAATGGACAGAACACACTTCCACTGACATCTGTCCACATCTGGTGACGTATGAGTGTGCGTGAACTGTTTTTTCATTCATGCTCTGTTGAGCACACACACATAACCAAAAGAGAGAGTGTGTGTGTGTGTGTGTGTGTTTCGGACATGTCCAGTGTCTGGGCCTCACCTCTGAGGAGTTCCCAGTGGCGTTGGGGACGCGGGGCGCGTGGTGGCTGAGGGCTGACAGGCAGGCCAGGATGAGGTGGATGGCTCCTATCTCCAGGGCCATGCGACGCAGCAGCACGCCGTCGTCTGTGGTGAGAAGCGTGGTGCTGAACAGGGCCCGCAGCACATGAAAGGGCAGCGTGGGCAGCACATTGGCCGACGGAGACTGCAGGATGTGACCTAAGAGGAAGGAGAGGAGAGATACAGCCAATCAAGGAAGGGGAGAGACACAGGGTGTTTCTCAATATGCCTACTACCATGCTGCACACCCTCATGCTCAGAGCATTCCCCAAAGACGCTCTCTTGAGTACGTTCTTGTGAGGATGAGTGTGGAGAATGCATAAAACATTACATTTGAGAAGCACTCTCACTCCCCATACTGTATTACCTCACGCTTCACCTCCCCATTCACTGAACCTTCCAGAACAATGGCAACAATAGATGAAACAAGCTATACACAAAGCAACAGTTTTACTTCATAACTATCAGCTCGCTATATGTAAATCGTAATAATGTAGCTAACCAGATAGTTTATCAGGCAAAAATGACCTAAAACTAATATTACGCAATATAGATAACAATCTGGCTAGCAAACAGTACTTTTCTCTCGCTTCAGCTCAAATAATGGTCGCCATTGAATGTTGCGTAATTATTTACGTGGTTGCATCATATTTCTTTGCATATTTTCCGTTGAAGCTTGCATCGAAGCATTCTTTAAAATATGTATAAACGTAGTACGCTTTTGAGAAGTAACCTCCGCGCTCCGTTTCGCATACTTTGATTTGGACTCATACTCCAACCCTCCCGTGCTCCAATTTGCGTGCTCAGAGCACGGTAGTATGCATTTTGAGAAACACCCACAGTCAATCAGAGAAGAGGATTGATAATATCATTGGATAAATGTGTGAGGGGTGGTGTGAGAGATGACCACCATAGAGAGGTGGAGGAATACTGGCCAGAAAGGATGGATACATCGATATAGCACTTATGAGAATGAGGCCAGAGAAGACAACCGCCGACTAAATGGCAGGCTGACGGTGTGCTATGTGACCAGTGTCACTAAACAAGCTGGCAGCCTGCTGTCCATCAATCATTAAGGGCCATTATTTCAAGGACTAAAGAAAAAACATTGGAGGGACAACATAGTTAATTTCAGGCCCTGAAGGAGAGAGGAGCTAAATAGGCGTCAACAATGAAGGCAGAGGTTGGCTGGGGAGGAGTTGGAATGTATGAGAGGGTAGGACTTGTCAATATTAAACAAGCCAGTGTGAGTCCTTCGGCTAAATTATCCACAGGGCCCGCAGACCGGTATAGTCTCAAGGACTGCAGGGGAAGAGCCGCATCAGGGGGAACAAACGTGCCTCAATTGTAAATGGAGGGATTAAAATCTCTCTCCCTCTCTTTCCATCTCTTTCTCCCCACTCTTGGGGCCGGCAGCTTTTAAAGGAGTCGATTTACATGCATTGGCCACTTTTTGACACTGATAGCTATGTATTCAGGGAATTATCGATCCGCTTGGTTCACAGCTTGGCAAGATCAACTGCCTGACAAAGTCAGTCTGAGCATTAGCGGGTAAAAAAGTGAACTGCTATTAGGGCTGACAATGTTTGTCCCTAGGAAACCTGCAGCAGCATCCTATACTGGGAGCATTGGGAACTGGTCATCCTCAACGGTGTACCCAAATATGAACATGCATATAAATCATCCATTAATAGGGCCAGGAGTTTTCCTGACCACGTCTAAAGCTGTGTGAGAGGTGTTGTGTCACTTACTGCCCTCGCCGTCATCTGTGACTCCCAGCACCAGGCGGAGCAGACACTGGGCATGCTTCCTCTCCTTCAGCAACACCTCAGCGTAGCCCGGCAGGCGCAGGAACAGACCGAAGGCCGCCAGCGAGTGGGCGGGGATGGGCGACATGGTCTGCACTGACGACTTGTTGATGGGCGGAGGCTCGGCGGCCATGGTCTCTGGCGCCTCGTACACGAGCTCGCCAGACTGCTCGATGGTGACCCACTCAAACTGGTCGCTGTCCTTGGGCTTCTCCTGCGTGGTGGAGGGCACCACCGGAGCACTCACCTTCACAGGACGAACCAGGGTTAAAATGCGGTTAGAAGACAATGCTGACAGATGTGCTGACTCGGATGGGATCTCAAGGTCATGTGTTGTGTTTGGGCACTGAGGGTAGTAGGGGGTATATGGAACTAGAGAGCTGTTATTCAGATCCATAGAGCTGCTGTGGGACTTGGCATAGTGCCCTGGGAATAAGACATAGAAATGGTATCCATGAGTTCAACGGAATCTGGGGAAGTAGATAAAGGGTTTTATAGCCAAACTCCAGACATATCCCTTTAAGATGAAGGCAAGTATCGGAGCTGCAGCACTGCAGAGAAATAAAGTTATTTTATGCATAGTTGTGATCAATATAATCAATTCAAGCTCAGTTGTACTAAGAGCCAGAGCGGATCTCCAGGAACAGGGTGTGCTGTGAGTTAACAGCTTAACACCAGTGGGTCAAAAGGTATAGACCTGGGCTGTTTGGCTAACCTATCAGAAAACACTACACAGAGTCAGTCCTGGGTAAACAGAAAAGCCTCACCTGCATCAATATCGATGCCTTAAGTTGACTTTGCTAATAGTCTCGCTCAGGGTGAGAGCAGAACGCTTCAATTATTCACAGCCTTAAGAGCCCTACAAACACTATCCAGTGAGACAAAGGGTTAAACTAAGGCAGAATGATGTAATATCCTGTTGAGAAAGGGTTATGATAAACCAACCAACGACCAATCATGTATATGATTCATAGTCATCACAATGCTAAGTACAAAACAAATAATCTCACTTGGTAGCCCTCGTGGGGCGTCTGCTTCAAACCACCAGTAGCTCTGGGAGACTGCCTGAATAATTCAATTCGCTGCAACAATTTGGGAGGAGGGAGAAAATAACAAAAGAAAAAACAGATTTAGTACCTGGCAGCTCTCAGAATCCATTCCAGCTACTCACCTTGTCACTATGCAATTACTGTTTAAGTATCCATTTACTTTCATTTAGGAGGCATGATGTAGCACCCGGGGGAGCGCAGAGGAGACAAATACGGATTTAGACTGAACGGCAAACCCAGTGACTTGCCATGCCTCTCAATAGGCTGGGCCCAAAGTAAAGACACGGCATTACTTTGGCAACTGCAGATCTGCATTGGAACGTTCTATATAGCAAAGGTAACTTGAACTTCTTAAAGGAACATTTCAACTTCATATTCATCATCTCCAGCACCACCCCAACATCGACATGTGAAAATGTCTATGTTCTGTAGTAAAAAATATAGAGGAAGATAAGTCTTTCCAATGACATCAACCAATTAGTAGACAATATGTAGGCAATTAGGCAATGCATACTCATAATTGGTTAAAATCACACGATGCACAACGATGTCATTGGAAACACTAATCTTACTGCATCTTTTTTACTACAAAACATAGAAATGCGACATTTTCACATATGTTGATGTTGGGGTGGTGCTGGAGCTGGAGCTGATGAATATGAAATGAAAAATTGTGACATTTCCCTTTAAATATAAGGCTCTAGATTATGGGCTATATTATAAACATAATATCTAGAAACATGGGCTAAACATTGTAGGACTACAATGAAATAATTCCAATGAAGCAGGTTGTGAAAGGGTTATTTGACTGGTGGTGTTAGTTACATAGGTATTAGAATTGTATCAGTGGCGGTCTAACCTGTTGGATGACGTCTGGATAGAGCATGGGCAGTCTCTCTGCAATCAGGGCCAGACCACCCATGCCTGCAAACACCTGCAGGGGAGACTGGATGGGGTTGGTCTCCAGCATGGACTCATCGATGGCTGCGTCAAGACTCTCCTCCCCCGGGGTCATGGGCTCGTCCTCTGGACAGCTACTCAGCATGTCACAGTGTTCAACTGGAGGAGGGAGAAGCAGAGGAGGGTTAGAGAATAGGCCACTTATTACTCTGGAGGGGTTTTCATTGGGACACTAGCTATGTTCTGTGACGTATGTTCTTCTGTGTGCTGACCTCAACCAACCATGACAAGTAAATAATGGGATGCCCTGCAGAGGGAAATTGCTTACATCTCAGACACCTAATGAGATAACTCATCTCTCATTCGAGGATCAAGAGAGAGAGGGAAAAACCAACAGAGCCATCACACTATTCGTTAATCAAGTTCAAGCAACCAAGGAGAGAGGCAGTTTTCCAGACATAAGGGAGTGGAGTGCCATTTCAATGTTTATATGTGAATGCATAAATCTGCGAATGGTTGTAGTTGGGAAAAGGACGTGCCACTCTGGATGAAATGCACACGGATTAAAGAATCAAGGGCACAGACTACTTGTCGCGGTTTGAACGTCAGGGGGTGGCTCTGTAGACGGTCCAAAGAAATGGAACCCCATTATAGTTCTCATTCTGCAGTGTGGCCAGCCTGTTTTATGATGATGTAAAGCCCCAGTCGATTGTTAGGTCATCTACAAAAAAAGCTGCACATCATCTCTCCTGGAGAAGAAAATAAAATAAAAGATTAATAGCTCCAGTCTCTAAAGGGATTTTTCGCCGTCCTCCTCATGGTGAATTAAAAAGTTGTGACTGATACGATTTGTAACAGGGCCCGTGCTCTCTAGACTTCCAAAACAGGATTAGACATGATGGAGAGGGAAGGAACCGTTCGTCTCTCAGCGGGCCACAAGGAGAGACTGAGCTACACAGAGAATATCTAAACAGCATCAACCCAGTGAGTTGTTACATTTCAAATGCAACCAAGAAGGCACGGGGAAAAGGGCATCATTAGACTTCAGAGGAGCATATCAGATAAGATCAGCGAGAAACAGAGGACAAATTGTGAATGGCAAGGATTTGTATAATTCTGCTCAAGAACAAACATATTTTACAGAATGTTCCAGTACCTTTACTATGCAAGGTGCATCCTATTAGGCTGAGACTTCCAGATGATAAATCAGGAGGTCTAGAGACCTAAAATGGTTGGAGGAACAAAACCCATTTCACTCTAAAAGGCCTATTTGGGGAAGTTGAAGGCTTTTAAGGGGGCTGGTGCTAGACCTCACCATGTACCCGTCTTCAGTTCAGTGGATGGCCGTTGGGCTGAGCCTGGTAAAATGGATTCTATAAGCTCCCCCTGGTCAAAGCCTCCGCGCTGATTTACGAGATCGCTCCATGTCTCCTCCTGCCTCTTGCAGGACTGTTAGTGAGGGTCACCTCTTCCCTCCATTTATTAGCATCAATGGGTCTCGAGACAGAAGATTCCAGAAAGATTTGTTTTGGGAAAAGGCGGTATCGTAAGCTATCTGGGGAAATTTAAGGTGAGCTACGTAGTAAGTGTTGGCAGGCAGGCATTTTACTGCATATAGCCTACTATATGATTCAGCGCACAGAAAAATGGGGCTGAGGTCTTTCCATAAAGTGTTCCTTTACCCTAGACCAGAGAAGAAAGCAGTGGTGCTGAATATACACCGTTGGCAGGCTTCAGACAGTTTCTAATCTATACGCCTCAACTAATTATCTGAACTCCAGAGTGCACAGAGGTTAAACTAAAGCGGTTCGATGAAGACAATGATTGACCTAATCAGGTGGTTAGTGTCTGGCTGAAGACAGTCTTGATGAAATGGGTTTGGAGCTGGGCAGACTCATTAGCAGATAACATGCAGGTCACCGGCCTCCCATCTTGGGTAACCACTAACAGACCACTGTTCTAGTAGTGGGGTGGCTGAACTGATTGACAGTTGCCTTTTTAAATATCTCACCCAACAGGGGGACGGACAAGTCATCCAGTGTGACTGATAGATAGGACTGATATGAGGAAGAAGACGGTGCACTGCAGGTACGAGTTGACGCTCTCCACTGCTTGGACAGTAGGTGGTGGCGGCTAGTGTTAGCAATTAGCCCCAGGGTGCCAGGGAAGGCATACAGGCTGTGAACTGCCACTGGAAATAATCAATATCCACACTGACGGAAAGAGAGACAGGGTCTGGGCTTTGTAGCAGTGCTACCAAGCATTGGCTCTTTTTACAATGGTACAACTAGACTGCAGCGAGAGAGAAAAAAGGCACTAAAGTGGGTTTCTATGTAAAGCAAACAATATCTTACTGCAAACAATATCTTACCGCAGAGTTAGTGGAAACTACATTGAATTGAGCCCTAATGGTATGGAATTACAGGGTGTAGTGGATTTTTTAAAATCAGATTAGTTTGGACTACACACTTGTATTAACACATTTGTAAGCGCAAACACCTAGATTTGGACTCTGTTTTGTCAGCTATTAGTTCCGTTTGAATGCATTATGGCTGAGACGGCACCTAAAGATGGTGTTTGTGTAGCCGTAGGCTACTAGTAAAATCACTGGATTATTGAACCAGGCAACCAAACGATCTTACCAGGTTTGCACATTACTAGTGCTGACATCATCAAACTGAGACATCAACTGTTCTGGCTGGCTGTCATATCGTAATGTGCAGAACGTATCCTCCCCATATCATCATGTGTGACCTGGTACTGACTAGGAGAGGGGAGGCTAAATCTAGTACATCACCCTTAAAATCCTGCTCCAATGCAAGACTAATAACATTTACCACACCACATGAAACCATTACATGGAGCGTAGTGTGTTAGTATAAAATCTATATCAGACATGAATCTTTTATAGATGTTATAGTGAGATTTATAGAGGACGTGAATCTTGTATAAAGGTTTCCCCAACGTTTAAGGCTAAAACAGCTTTGGGAACAAGCAGGGCTTGAAAAGTATAGGGTGGAATCTGATTGGGTGGTCAGGTCGCACTGGGAGCTTTCATGCAGAGTTTTTCTTTCGAAGCAGGAATACCAGGTAATAGGTGATGCAAGGGGGGACCAAAATAACCCCATTACATTAAAATGGGACTTGATGGAAAAAGACTGAAGGCACAGGCCTGTACTTACTACAGCTAAAGGCATTAAGATGCACCCATGCCATTTTCAAGCCTCCATTCCCTCGTCCAAGCTCAGATTCCCTGGTTGGATCTGAATCATTTGACGTACAGCGCACATTTCCATCTTTCTCTTACAGTGAAGTCAATTTATGATCATAAAATAATAGCTTTCTATCTAAAGTAAACCCCGGCCCAAGAGCGAGAGAAGGCGTACAGCAGGGGTGCCAAACATACGGCCGGCAGGCCAAACAAACTCAATATACGTTAAAATGACTCCACCAAATCAAAATTGTGTAGAAATGATAATGGACCTCAATTCATAGCTTGACTGTCCAGTGCCCTAATAAAATCACCTCAATGAAAGCTAAACAGCCGGGTAGCATAGAAAGTGATAGAGGACTATTTTTAGCACATTTTGACTGCAAGGAAATATAACCAACTTTCAGTGCGGCCCTCCAGACCTCGTTGAAGACCGAATGCTGCCCCAGGTGCAAAATGAGTTGGACGCAACTAGTGTACAGCATCATTGTAGAACTGGATACACATTTGCTCCCTTAGCCCCATTACTCAACACAGTGAAAAACAGCAGAGTGAGTATGCATCGCACACTGGGCCACCCGTTCCAGAGACTGGTAATGGCACCTGACGACATCTCAGGAGACAGAGGCCCAGCGCTCAGACAGAGAAATGGATTGCAGTGAAGGGGGAGAGCCATTAATCCCTCTGTGGAATGGGCTGTCAGGGAACGCGTGGAGAGAGACGGTCGGGGCTCACTGTACAGTCGTGGTCAAAAGTTTTGAGAATGACACAAATATTAATTTTCCCAATATACATTTTACAATGTAGGCCGTCATTGTAAATAAGAATTTGTTATTAACTGCTGCCTCAGTTTTTATGATGGTAATTTGCATATACTCCAGAATGTTATGAAGAGTGATCAGATGAATTGCAATTAATTGCAAAGTCCCTCAATGTCATGAAAATGAACTTAATCCCCCCAAAATATTTCCACTGCATTTCAGCCCTGCCATAAAAGGACCAGCTGACATCAGGTCAGTGATTCTCTCGTTAACACAGGTGAGAGTGTTGACGAGGACAAGGCTGGAGATCACTCTGTCATGCTGATTGAGTTAGAATAACAGACTGGAAGCTTTAAAAGTAGGGTGGTGCTTGAAATCATTGTTCTTCCTCTGTTAACCATGGTTACCTGCAAGGAAACATGTGCCGACATCATTGCTTTGCACAAAAAGGGCTTCACAGGCAAGGATATTGCTGCTAGTAAGATTGCACCTAAATCAACCATTTATCGGATCATCAAGATCTTCAAGGAGAGAGGTTCGATTGTTGTGAAGAATGCTTCAGTGCGCCCAAGAAAGTCCAGCAAGCGCCAGGACCGTCTCCTAAAGTTGATTCAGCTGCGGGATCGGGGCACCACCAGTGCAGAGCTTGCTCAGGAATGGCAGCAGGCAGGTGTGAGTGCATCTGCACGCACAGTGAGGCGAAGACTTTTGGAGGATGGCCTGGTGTCAAGAAGGGCAGCGAGGAAGCCACTTATCTCCAGGAAAAACATCAGGGACAGACTGATATTCTGCAAAAGGTATAGGGATTGGACTGCTGAGGACTGGGGTAAAGTCATTTTCTTTGATGAATCCCCTTTCCGATTGTTTGGGGCATCCGGAAAAAAGCTTGTCCGGAGAAGACAAGGTGAGCGCTACCATCAGTCCTGTGTCATGCCAACAGTAAAGCATCCTGAGACCATTCATGTGTGGGGTTGCTTTTCAGCCAAGGGAGTGGGCTCACTCACAATTTTGCCTAAGAACACAGCCATGAATAAAGAATGGTACCAACACATCCTCCGAGAGCAACTTCTCCCAACCATCCACGAACAGTTTGGTGACGAACAATGCCTTTTCCAGCATGATGGAGCACCTTGCCATAAGGCAAAAGTGATAACTAAGTGGCTCGGGGAACAAAACGTCAACATTTTGGGTCCGGAAACTCCCCAGACCTTAATCCCATTGAGAACTTGTGGTCAATCCTCAAGAGGCGGGTGGACAAACAAAAATCCACAAATTCTAACAAACTCCAAGCATTGATTATGCAAGAATGGGCTGCCATCAGTCAGGATGTGGCCCAGAAGTTAATTGACAGCATGCCATGGCGGATTGCAGAGGTCTTGTAAAAGAAGGGTCAACAATGCAAATATTGACTCTTTGCATAAACGTAATGCAATTGTCAATAAAAGCCTTTGACACTTATGGAATGCTTGTAATTATACTTCAGTATACCATAGTAACATCTGACAAAAATATCTAAAAACACTGAAGCAGCAAACTTTGTGAAGACCAATACGTGTGTCATTCTCAAAACCTTTGACTACGACTGTACACACTAACTACAGAGCAAGAAGAAAAGTGACAGACGCAGAGGGAGGTAGAAGGAGTGTGTGGTTGTGTGTGTGTGTGTGCGCACGCGCTTATGTCTGAATGCAAGTATGCGCTTGTATGTACGTGCGTGCTCTGACATACCTTTCTCTGAGCGGAGCCGTTTGAAGGAGTCCGTCTTGGAAAGGCCTGGGTCGGCGATGACCTTGGAGCCCAGCTTAACAGTCAAGTCGATGGAGCGGTAGCCCTGGGGCAGCTTACGGTCGTAAAGCAGGGTCAACAGCTGGGCCAGTGTCATCTCTGCCGGCAGGGGCTGACCTGAGGGGGGTGGAGGGATGAGACACAGTGTTCAGTGACGAACCAAAGCCTTGCGGTCACTCTCCGGTCACACTACCAGGCCCAGAGGGTCAGGAAATACATGACAGCTACATGACATAAAGGCTAGTGACCTAGATAACAATGACTACATGTGAAGACAAGACATCATGGATGGAGTGCTGCTTTTGCGCCTAGTACATTTGTATCTTTGCAAACCCAGGTCTGATCATGTTTTTGCTCATCTTCCCAGAGTTAGTTAATACTTGGATCTTGATGGCTGTGATTTTCAGTATTGACACAATGTCTAAAGTATCAAAAGCTAAATTAACATTTACCTTGACACCCCAGGGTCACAGCAATACACACTAGAACGAGCCAAAGGACACTCAGCCACACTGGCTCAATGAATTGACTGAGGTCACTGCTTCATTAAACAGGTCGGATCAATAGGCTTCCCTTGGCAGAGGGGGGGTGCTGGAAGGAGGGGAGCTGACAACCCTGTGTGTGTGTACAGTACCTGGGAGCAGCTTGTGGTAGAGGTGGAAGACAGGCACGCTGAGCGTTTTGGCAGAGGGGTCCACACCTGAGGAGGATGTCAGCTTGTCGCTCATCACACGGCCCCTCCGCGAAGGGGGACGGGGAGGGGTGGAAAGAGCTCTCTTCGACTGGGACTTCAAGCCTGAGAGGGAAACACACGGGTCATTTTATCACGTAAAATGGCACTTTTACATCCTAGTGAATGTGATTCCAGAGGTTCTTCTGTCTAGTGCTTTCAATATTTCAAGATAAACACTTAATTGATTTAAGATAAAATTGGGATATTTAGCCATTTGTCCATTTACATGAGCATCTGTAAAAATCATAATTTTTTATTCAAGGGCTTATTTCCATATACAAAGAGACCAATCATTTACATTCGGTGCAGTAGCTCAACATAGGGCTGGAAGCCCAGCTACCAGCCAAACAATTCCTGCCCTCTAATTGGTGCTATAGAATAAATAAATTAATGCTAAGCCACAATGATTGGCAAGCGTGGGAGGGAAGGGATGCGGTGGCCCGCCATGATAGGCTGACAGATCGGAGAGGGCCAAACGTACCTGAGGCCACGACAACGCTGTAGTTGTCCTGGAAACCACTGTCGGTCTTCATCTTCTCTTTCTCCTCTTGATTCTTCTTCTCCTTGTCCTCCTTCTGCTCGTTGATCAGCTTTGCTGTGATGCTGGGGGTGTCTGAAAGAGGGAGGGAGAGAGACGGGCCACGTTAGAGCCAACCTTCGGTAACAAGCCACCCTTCGGTAACAAGCCACTTATGTGAAAGAGTAGATGCCACTGGCCAACTGGTCATGTGCACAGAAGTATTGACATCAACCCTAACGTACGCGCAAACAAGGCAACGCAATCAACAAGAGATATCTAGCCCATCTCAGTCCTCCATTCCCTGAGAGTTCAGATAAGATGGGCTTGATGGCAGATCATCTGCTATTAGCAATTCCAAGGGCCACTAACACAGGCTCCTTTAAAAGACCCCTGGCTAGCGCTAGCTGTATGTAGCAGTCTCTGCTGTGCTGTATCATTAACAGAGCCTGCCACTACCTCACTGGGTAGAGCCTCATAAAGCCCTGTTGTATCAGGCCTCCATCTGGTGTTCTCAAGGTTCCAAGAGGAGAGCAATTTATCATAGCCACACAGCTAACTGTGCCATGCTGTCACAAAGCTGGAGCCCACCACCACACTCTTGACATTCTAAAAATCCACCTTTCCAGAAATAAGTCTCACTGTTGGCGCTTGCCCTCAGCCCCCAGTTGTGCCCTGGACACCATATGTGAATTGCTATCCTCAGAGTTCGTACTGCTTGGTGACCTAAACTGGGATATGCTTAACACCCCGGCCGTCCTACAATCTAAACTAGATGCCCTCAATCTAACACAAATTATCAAGGAACCTACCAGGTACAACCCTAAATCCGTAAACATGGGCACCCTCATAGATATCATCCTGACTAATTTTCCCTCTAAATACACCTCCGCTGTCTTCAACCAGGATCTCAGCGATCACTGCCTCATTGCCTGCATCCGTAATGGGTCCGCGGTCAAATGACCACCCCTCATCACTGTCAAACACTCCCTAAAACACTTCAGCGAGCAGGCCTTTCTAATTGACCTGGCCCGGGTATCCTGGATGGATATTGACCTCCTACCGTCAGTAGAGGATGCCTGGATGGTCTTCAAAAGTGCTTTTCTCTCCATCTTAAATAAGCATGCCCCATTCAAAAAATTAACCGCAGACTTGACTGCCCTTGACCAGCACAAAAACATCCTGTGGCGTACTGCATTACCATTGAACAGCCGCCGCGATATGCAACTTTTCAGGTAAGTCACGAACCAATATACACAATCAGTTAGGAAAGCAAAGGCTAGCTTTTTCAAACAGAAATTTGCATCCTGTAGCACTAACTCCAAAAAGTTTTGGGACACTGTAAAGTCCATGGAGAATAAGAGCACCTCTTCCCAGCTACCCACTGCACTGAGGCTAGGAAACACTGTCACCACCGATAATCGAGAATTTCAATAAGCATTTTGCTATGGCTGGCCATAATTTCCACCTGGCTACCCCTACCCCGGCCACCAGCTCTGCACCCTCCGCTGCAACTTGCCCATGCCCCCCCCCCGCTTCTCCTTCACCCAATTTCAGATAGCTGATGTCCGGAAAGAGCTGCAAAATCTGGACCCCTACAAATCATCTGGGCTAGACAATCTGGACCCTTTCTTTCTAAAATTAGCCGCCGAAATTGTCTCAACCCCTATTACTAGCCTGTTCAACCTCTCTTTCGTATCGTCTGAGATCCCCAGAGATTGGAAAGCTGCCGCGTTCATCCCCCTCTTCAAAGGGGGTGACACTAGATCCAAACTGTTACAGACCTATATCCATCCTGCCCTGCCTTTTGAAAGTATTTGAAAGCCAAGTTAACAAACAGATCACCGACCGTTTTGAATCCCACCGTACCTTCTCCGCTATGCAATCTAGTTTCCGAGCTGGTCATGGGTGCACCTCAGCCACGCTCAAGGTCCTAAACGATATAATAACCACGATCGATAAAAGACAGTACTGTGCAGCCGTCTTCATCGACCTGGCCAAGGCTTTTGACTCTGTCAATCACCGCATTCTAATTGGCAGACTAAATAGCCTTGGTTTCTCAAATGACTGCCTCGCCTGGTTCACCAACTACTTTTCAGATAGAGTTCAATGTGTCAAATCGGAGGGCCTGTTGTCTGGACCTCTGGCAGTCTCTATGGGGGTGCCACAGGGTTCAATTCTCGGGCCGACTCTATTCTCTGTGTATATCAATGATGTCGCTCTTGCTGCTGGTGACTCTCAGATCCACCATAACGCAGACGACACCATTTTGTATACATCTGGCCTTCATTGGACACTGTGTTAACAAACCTCCAAACAAGCTTCAATGCCATACAACACTCCTTCTGTGGTCTCCAACTGCTCTTAAACGCTAGTAAAACTAAATGCATGCTCTTCAATCGAACGCTGCTTGCACCCGCCCGCCCGACTAGAATCACTACTCTCGGCGGGTCTGACTTAGAATATGTGGACAATTACAAATACCTAGGTGTCTGGTTAGACCGTAAACTCTCCTTCCAGACTCACATTAAGCATCTCCAATCCAAAGTTAAATCTAGAATTGGCTTCCTATTTCGCAACAAAGCCTCCTTCACTCATGCCCTCGTAAAATTGACTATCCTACCGATCCTTGACTTCGGCGATGTCATTTACAAAATAGCTTCCAACACTCTACTCAGCAAATTGGATGTAGTCTATCACAGTGCCATCCGTTTTGTCACCAAAGCCCCATATACTACCCACCATTGTGACCTGTACGCTCTCGTTGGCTGGCCCTCACTACATATTCGTCGCCAAACCCACTGGCTCCAGGTCATCTATAAAATCACTTCTAGGCAAATCCCTGCCTTATCTTATCTCATTGGTCACCATAGCAACACCCACCCGTAGTCTGCGTTCCAGCAGGTATATCTCACTAGTCATCCCCAAAGCCAACACCTCCTTTGGCTGCCATTCCTTCCAGTTTCTCTGTTGCAAATGACTGGAACAAACTGCAAAAATCTCTGAAGCTGGAGACACTTATCTCCCTCACTAACTTTAAGCATCAGTTGTCAGAGCAGCTTACCGATCACTGCACCTGTACACAGCCCATCTGTAATTAGCCCACCCAACTACCTCATCCCCATATTGTTATTTATATTGTTATTTATTTTGCTCATTTGCACCCCAGTATCTCTATTTGCACATCATCTTCTGCACATCTATCACTCCAGTGTTAATACTAAATTGTAATTATTTTGCACTATGGCCTATTTATTGCCGCCTTACCTCCATAACTTACTACATTTGCACACACTGTATATAGATTTTCTATTGTGTTATTGACTGTACGTTTTGTTTATTCCATATGTAACTCTGTGTTGTTGTTTTTAATCGCACTGCTTTGCTTTATCTTGGCCAGGTCGCAGTTGTAAATGAGAACTTGTTCTCAACTGGCCTACCTGGTTAAATAAAGGTTAAATATTTATTTATTTTATAAACAAAAAAATAAACATTGACAACCAGATAAAGCCTTAAATTGAACAATTCTCCCATCTGGGTATATATTACTGTTCGATCATGTTTTGAAGGGGGTGCATGTTTTTAGAGGGCTTTTCTAATCTAGAATGGACATAGCCTATTTGCACCCTGAGATTATAGGTATGGACATCGTCCCCCTAAGGAGAAGGGGACAGGCCGGGTCAGTTTATAGAGAGACTGGGCCCAACGACTATTTTAGGAAATAGAGAGGGGTTATTTAACAGAGCACAAGGAAACATTGGATTCGGTGCTTCTTACAAACTCTGGGGCTTCTAGTAAAGGCCAACACAAAATAAATACAAAAAAATCTGTGCAGCAGCGCACGCAGGGCAATTTCAATCATAGAGTTGACCAGCAGGGTTAAAGAATGGGGCACGAGGGTGTGTCATTTAACTGCCACTATGTTAGGCTTGTGGACGGAGGTTGAGTGAAAGTTTGTACTGATGTTCTCTATGAACGCAGTTACCACCAGCTGATGAACTTCGTAGCCATTAAATCAGAGCGCTATCTCCACCTGCTGGAACGCTAATATGGCGGGACATTCTTCCGTACTCATGCTAATGAGAAGCTGTGAGTGGACGCAGCAGTCGCCTGAAAAGGTCAATGTTTATGCCCAGGGAGATTATGTGTGTGTGCGCGCGAGTTATCGTGTTTGAGAGCGTGCGTGTGTTTTCTCCATGCATTTGTGTGTGTGTCCGACAATGTGCGAGGTGCTGAAAAGGTGCATTAACTTCAAATATGTCTGCCTTTTCACAAATGTAAGGACCCAGTGAGAGGGGATAAAATGCTTGAATGATGAGCAGCGTAGGGAGAATGGGTTTCCCCCCCATTTAGATCCCGTGTGTCTGTGGCTGTGGGAGGAGGGTTTGTCCGAGTGGCACTGGACACTCTGCTCCACTTTATCTGAAGGCCACATAATATTGAGGTGGTTGATGATGGGGCTATAAGGAGAATTTTTAAAGTAATTCCCCATCGATGTTGCGTAACACACTTCAACTGCTGTTCATCACAAATCAAATCAAAAAGTTTATTGGTCGCGTACACAGATTTGCAGATATTATTACCAGTGCAGCGAAATGCTTGTCAAATGAATGGACATAGCATATATGCTTCCTGAGATTATAAGTGTGGACACCATCCCCCTAAGGAGAAGGGGACAGGCCAGGTTAGTTTATAGAGAGACTGTCACAATGTCTATTTTAGGAAATGGAACAGTTATTTAATAGAGCACAAAGAAAAATTGGATTCAGTGCTTCTTACATAACTCCGTCCCCATCAATAGTGACGGTTGTGTAGGGGCAGCAGACATACCAGACACCCGGTCCAGGACTTCAGCCAGGGTGGTGGAGATGGGGAGGTGGAGTGTGCGGTACTTGTGCCCTGCTCCGTACATGGGGTGCTGGATCACATGGCTGGTAGCGTTGATGCGTCCCTTGTACAGCTGAAGATAGATGAGAAAGTATTAGGACAGACCAAGTACATAATACCACTACTACCAATGTTATGAATGATCATGACTACGAGTGAGAGACGCAAGTTATGGAAGCACTATGCAGGGCCACATTAAGAGCGAATGAGGCCGGCCTTGGCTAAAGACCTCCCACTCTGTCACTCCTGCCTCTGCCTTTATTGAAGTTGACAAGGCTTCTTATTCAGCATGAATGTTACATGTCCACAACATCCCAGGCGACATCTATTGCTTTCCGAGACCTACAGGCGACAGGCATGGTGTTGCCAGAGCACGGCTCAGCTACTGAGGGTCATTGGACAACTCACTGCAGCTCCAAACACAACCTCAGCCCACTCATTCAGTCCCCACAGTACACATTCCTGACACAACTCACTACACCACAGACACTAGCCTGGAAGGAGAAGCCATTAGGATGATGTAATATAAAAGGCTGTTTGAAACATGCACCTTGGCTTTTAGGCAAGTCTGATACACTTCTCATAGGAACAACAATGATCAAGAATCCATATCTTGGTATGGCAGCTAGCATAATAAAGTCTACCCTTTTTTTGATTGACAGCAAATCAAAATGTCAAGTTCCCTCCAGTGAGATGCAGATTAGGGAGAAATGTAGTGATCCTTCCTTAAATATCACAGATCAAATGACGTCATAATTTCAATGCTGATGAGATCAAAATGTTGTATGGAGTACGTCATTAACTTTCCGCAGATCTGAAAAAGCCTGATGTACCGGTAAGTAAAAACATTTGGGGGTAAAGGCAAGACAAAGTGGACTGTCTGACATTACCTAATGGGTAAACACATTAGCATGTAGACCCACCCTGCTATTAATCACCTACTGATCATACATGATTAACCTTCACTGATGTCATTCCCAGGATGCCTTGTGTAATTTAGCACACAAATGACCTCCTCTAAGTTAGATGTAGGTTTGTCGTCGTGCATAATCAGAAACCTCTCGGCATGCCATGCACAACAGTCATCCTTCACCTTGTCCATGGAATGACCCTCACCCTTCCCTGACACTGTTCACACTTCATCAAAAAGGAGATGGGGCAGAACAGAGGACAACGAGAGGTAGGAGGTTAAAATTAAATTAGCTTTAGACAATTGAAACCCCTTTCTCCCCCCCCCCCCCACCGTGACTGCTCTCTAAACTCCACTCATTACAACTGATCATTGAGGAGGGTGAAATATGGAGCATTGATGTGACTGAGGTGCGGTGCCGTTTCCCCGACAAGCATCAGTCTGAGGAAAGCCTTGAGTGAGGAGGGATTGTCTGTACCGCTGGGCTTGCCCCTTGTGGCCACCTGGGGATATCACATCATAGCATTATTCCTTTCCAATGCAAGTCAATAGGTAGGATAATTAAATTGCTCCAAGACTCTGATCTAAGGTCAGTTTGACATTTTCCCACCTTATGGTTAAGTTTAGGATTGAGGGTATGGAGAGCTGATCCGAGATCAGAGCCTACGAAAACTTGATACCCACCGGACAGGGCGACTGCAGGAAGACTGTGACCTTCTCGTCCTCCAGCATGAGTTGCAGGAAGAGCCTGCGGATGAAGCCAGAGATGTTGCCAGAGATGGGCACATTTCCACGCTGGGGGGCCAACTGGAAGAGCTCACACAGCACCTACGGAGAGGGAGAGACCACCATAAACACACATGTTAGTAAACCATCACAGACACTGTTGGTCAAGTGGAAATGTGTGTAGTCAATGCATTCCACCAGACCTGTGCCATGAGCCGCTGGTTGTTGGGGTGGCAGGAGATGCACTGCAGGAAGAAGGCCACTGTGGCGTTCTCGATGGCCGTCCTCTGCTGGGTGGTGAGCCCGCTGCCCCGGGCCGAGGAGGCTAGAGAGTAGCGTGACCCAGAGGGCAGGGGTGGCGGTGGAGGAGGGGGGCAGCACGCACCACCGGAGGCAGCAGAGTGGGCTCCCGTGTGCCCCTGGACACCACTGGCTCCCCCTGCGCTAGCGCTGGAGTGGCACAGCAGGAACAGCAGAGCGGTCCACAGCGAGTTCACTTCCGGCCCACCAAGCCAGTCCTTCATGGCATGACTGTTCCCCACCTCTGTGAGGAAACGCAGCACTGGGGCTGCCAGCTCTGCAGACAGGGGGACCCTGCTCTGAGAGGAAGAGGAGGATGAAGAAGAGGAGGAGGAGCAGTGGGGGTGGTGGTTGTGATGGTGTTGCCGTCGTTCAGCCTGGGCGGTGGCAGGCAGGGGCAGGTCAGCGGCAGCCAGGAGGCCACAGCAGAGTCCGGCCAGGCTGCGGACCAGCAGAGAGGGCAGGCCTGAGTCCAGCAGCTGTTCTATTGCCCCGGGTGACTGGGAGGCCGCAGCCAGAGTGGCCAGTTCAGACTCGGAAAGGGCGATGGGCGGCCGCGCATGCTTGGAGTCATCGGTGAGGCCGGTGGCAGCGGCACTGGTGGTGGCGTTAGCATTGGCGCTGCTGAGGTCGTGCTGCTTCTTTCCGTCGTCCGTCATGGAGAGGCGGTGCTGGGCCTGAGATTGGGCGGCGGTGGGCGGGGCCACGATGCCCATCCAGGACATGAGCAGAGAGAAGTAGCTGGGGTGGATGTGGCACATGGAGCAGAGCAGGCTGTCTACTGCCTTCTTCAGCACCATGTTACACGGCAGGGACATGGACCAGTTATACAGCAGTCTACAGGAGAGAAGGGGACAATCAGATAAACAAAGAAAGCACCAACGACTGACATCGTTCCCGCTAAAATCACTAGATCCAAAACCTTCATAATAATCCTTCTGAATCTTTTCACTTTTTTCATTCGTCTGTATATGTAGTTTTAGAGATGAAAGGAGCCAAAGGTTGGCATTGTGTTTTTTTTAAAACTGTGTGTACAGAGTAGAAATGTCTGCAAGGATGTGTGTAAGACATACAGTAACAAGAGGGGGATGGGAGAACCTTTAGAATGAATCTAGCTTGGAAACATCAGGGAGATTTATTCTCCCCAGGCCACAAAAAAACGAGATGTTCTACAAACACTGATGGCTCAAAGCATGAGCTCTGCTTAGCCTTTGATGACTAAATAAAGAGCACAAAATCCCAGTTGGTGCGCTATGGAGCGTAAAGGACAGAACTGTTTTCTTTTTCTGACAGGATATAGGGCCATTCACACCAAGGGCGATAACTATAATGATAAATTATACATAACTACAAACGTTGGCGAGCATCCACACCAGTGGACCGTTTCTCGTTCTGCTGTACACCCGTCAATCAACTGATCACTGTATCCTACTGCACGCTGCCTATTAACGCGGTGACAAGAACATTCAGTACCTCAGGGTGATTTGTCATAGTGACAACTGCAAATAATACTTCAATGAACGTGTAATGAAAAATATAGAAACTCATTTAAATGTAGCAATTCAACAAACACTATTTTGCCTGCGCATCTTTTACATTGCTTGCCTCGTTGCTCAAGTGATTTCCATTTTTCGAATGATTGTCAATTTGTTTGGATCTTTTTCAGTGTTCTCATCTCTGTTTGTCCTGTGCAACAGCTCATTTTGGCCCATTTTACATTTAGCAAGAGCAAGCCTGTTTCTCTCCACGAAAAAAGGCTTTTAGGCCTAGTATAAAAGATGCTAAAATAAATGTCCTATAGCTTTTGTAGCCTATAGCTTTTCCTGCGATTTCACATGAAGAGGAATAGCGGAGAGGCTTGCATAACCTAGCCTATTGCACACGGGAACAGCTGGAAGAGACAGGCTAGAGATGTGTAGCCGAAGTAAGAAGCTAAATATTAGCTAGATATTAGGCCATTAATTAGCTAAATAGTAGGGCTATAAATATTTTACCTTTCAAAAAAATAAATAAAAAATACAGATTATGAAATGGCAGGTCTGTGCGTTCCTCCAGGCTGATGCGCTCTGCAGTCCCGGACATTGATTAGGCCTACGTTTTTAGACAATATAATTATTATACCTAAGCTACAACACAGTGCAATGAGGAGTGTATTATTGTTATCAAGTGAGTACACAATTATTGTCTAGGGCTGTAAACTGCAGTGATGTAGACTGATTTGAATAACCGCTCAAACGTCCTGCTTTGAATGGTTCATGCCAAAATAACTGCATACAGCCTAGGCCTGATTATGCAACCATTTGGATCAGTAAATAGGTCTATTAAGTTTACTAGGTGCAGAAAGGTATATTAGCAAGGTACAAAGACAGGCCTACCATCGGAAAATATGGCCTTCTCATGCTCTATTTGTCGAGGATCATCACTCCCAAGTCGTCCTATAATTAATGTGGCCACCAATACGTTCACACATGCCCAATTATTCAGGCAAGCTTACTGTGCACGCTGCCTTCTCTCCAAGCAGCCTCCTGTACCTAGAACCAAGAACGCTTCAATAGAACACATTTTGTATTGGTTGTCAATGTGTTATCGGAGGGACCAAAAATACTAAACGCTCTAAAAGTGATCCAAACCATAGCTCTCATTATCGTTCTCCACTCTTGATTTTTTGTGTGAATGCACCCGTTTTTTATCGTTCCAGTTATCGTGCTTGGTGTGAAAGGCCCTTAACACTTACTCAAAGAGCTCTCTGTTGAGCAGCACTGGGAGGTCGTAGTCCACGGGCAGCTCGTAGCTGTGCCACAAGATGGCTGCCACACAGTGGAGGTGGGAAGGGGAGGGCATGACGAGGCCATACTCCCGTGATGAGGAGCTGCTCTGGCGCATGTAGCCCAAGGGGCCGCTCCTCTTGTGGGCCGCCACCAGCGACGAGTCATGGACCCACTGGAGAAGGGCCTGGATCCTGGAGGGAGAGACAGGGATTACATGGTCAATATTAACATATCAAGAGCCGCTTTCACAGACCCAGATTACATAGATCCAGCAGTACTAGGCTCAACACTACATCAGTAGATGTTAAGTGGTCTTTACCGGTCCTTAGTCCCAGGATCTTGTGTGGTTCCCAGTTGGTAGATGATGTCAATGGTGGAGTCTGAAGAGAGACCGTTGAGCCTTCCAAAGAGCAGGGGACTGTTCAGGTCTAAACGACAGAGAAATCACAAAATAGCCATTGATATCCATATATAAGATACTCAAATGATAGTGCCTTGACATACAGACCTGAAGGACAAGATGTGTTTAATTTATGTATAATTGCACAAATTACCATGTGATCAATGAGCGTTTTATTCATGTGGAGGCTACATACTGGTAGGGTCGGTGCCGGAAGCTGCACAGTTCCTCAGCAGGATGTCGATGAGCTTGAGGCCGATGCGGGTGGACTGCAGGCCGATCTTGACCAGCACGGCTTCGATGTTAGGTGAGTGCATGCCGCAGTAGGGGGACATGAGCAGGGCGGCGCAGGTCTGAAGCAGGTTGGCGGTGGGGGCAGCGGCGCTGGCCATCATGGCCTCCAGGTCACTGACGTGGGTCAGACAGTGGTGGAGCAGACGTAGCCAGCCAATACTATGAGAGAAAGAGGGCAAGGTCAGGTAGAGAGATTTGCTGTGGCACTAGTGTTTTTTTGTTTTTTACGCTCAAGTAACATTTAACAGAAGTTCCTGTAAGGGCAAGTATGTCTGTACCTGGTTTTAGAGACCTGGTCCTCAGAGGGCAGGAAGGGGTTGTTGACCGTGGCTGAGGACGTGTTTCCAAAGGCAGTGAGGCCAAGCAGTTTGATCTGGGACAGGCCCAGGGTGCTGGCGTCACGGGGCCGGTGCAGCCTCAGACACACAGCGGACGCCACCTCAGCCTTCACCAGTTGGATCTTGATGTAGGTGAGGCCGCTGGTGATGATGGGCGTGGACAGAGGCAGCATGTTGACCCCATCTGCACTGATCTCAACCGAGACTGAGGAGGGGCAGGCTGGGGAGAGGACAAAGGGACTTTGTCAGGGGTAGCGATAATAGATGGTGGAATATGTTCAACTTCTCCAACTGGTACTGTCTGGCACAATGGTGTGTTGTGTTTGATAGAAGCATGAAAAATCCATGTGAGGTTTTGCATATTTAAAATGGCACTACAGTCGACAGCGGTAGGTTAATATTTGAGTGGGTGAAATAAGTGAGTCATGAGGAAATCTGTGCTTAAGGGGTAAGTAGACAGTGTGCCCTTAAGGCACTAAAGCAGAGTGGCACAGCTCTGTTGCTGATACCTGAGCTGCAGTCCTGCTGGTTTTCCTTAAATTATCAATTACACAACTAAGTTTATTGCTTTGCAAGAGATTTCTCTGAACTGTTTATATTTAATTCAGTCTCCTATTCAGTCAACTAGTCTGCACTAGTGTCCCCCAGAGGGGCTGTGGTGCAGTACTCACTGGCGAGGGAGGCCAGGTGTGGCTGGATGTGCAGCTCTTTGAGCAGAACAGCGGCAGGAAGGTGGATGGTGAGGTCACACCACGCCTCCTCTGGCAGGAAGATGTAGGACCAGGCAGCCGAGCGCGCCCGTCTGTGAGGGGGCGTGGCCTGAAGGAGGACCTCAGCCGGCTGGGCCGTGGGGCTGCTGGAAGTGATGGTGCCTGCAGAGGGACAAATAGGAAACAATTCCCATTATACAACAAATAGAGGTCAAAGGGGAAAACACAAAGACAACTTGCAATCATTCAGAACCTATTAAACACGAAAGGAGAAGCTCCACATACCAAGCGGAGCAAAGTTGTGGAGTCCCTCTGCGTTGTCAGGCTCGGCGGCTAGGACCCGGGCCTTGAGGCTGCCATCTGCAGCCTTCCCTGGGCCAGTGTCCAGAAACTTCATGATGGTGGACACCATGCTGCGTGCTGTGTTCACTATGGCCCGTGTGCTGGTCACCATGTTGTTACATATCAGCTGGACCCCACCTGCACACAGGTCAAATACAAACAACCTATTATGTCTAATTGACAGTACAGTATACTAGTACTAGGATATTTCCCAATCGTGTATGTATGTAGGTGTGTGTGTGTGTGTGTGTGTGTGTGTGTGTGTGTGTGTGTGTGTGTGTGTGTGTGTGTGTGTGTACCCATGTCGTGGAATGCCTTAAGTGCCTCGCTGGTGTCCAGCACTCGGAGGATGAACCAGAGCAGAGGCTCAGACAGCTGGCATGTAGACAGGGAGCCCTGGGAGAAATACAAAGACTGCTTGTGATTGAAAAACTTTCAGAATCCATGGGTTGAACATTTATAAATCTAATAAACTGAAGTACTATTAAAGCAAATATATTTTTCTCAATCCTTTAATCTTAACAAGTAAATCTCTAAACAGATGATGTCCGTTTGGTCATGGGCTGAACTCAGTCTTACCTGTCTGCCCATGTACCCACAGGCCATGTAGGTGAGGATGGGCTGAAGCATCACCTGCACCGAGGTGGCTCTCTTGCTCAGGGTGGTGAGGATGGTGAACAGGCCGTCTCCTACAGAGATGGCATCTAGTCCTCCATGGAAATTCTCATGCTTGGTCAGGTGGAGACCACTAGCACCTAAAGACAGGAAGGTAAAGCATTATCAATAAGAAGCACATGAATATTTTATCTGCTAATCCAGGATCCTTCTAAATAAAGTTTACAAAAGTTGACGTGCGAGGATGAAGCCTACCTATGATCATAGCCATGGCGCTGCTGTTGCACTGACCCAGAGCCGAGAGGATCTGGCTCATGATCTGCTGGTTGGCCAGCACCAGGTCAGCCACTCCGGCCGCAGGGCCCTGGTTAGGGGTGGCCCCACCCGCTGCCCCCTCCTTGCTGCCACACACCTTCTCCTCGTCCGACACGCTGCTGTCCGACGCCCCGCTGCCGGCCGGGGGCAGACGCCCGCTGAACTCGCGGTCGCCCGACAGCGGCAGCTGGACCAGGGCGTTGACCAGCTTGAGCAAGTCGAACATGAGTTGGTCACGCGTGGTCTCACCGCACACTGCCTTGGCGTCACCTGGCCGGATGATGTTGGCGAATAGGCCGCCGAAGCAGGCGCGGGCGCCCACAGCGCTGTCGGAGCCACTGCGGGACACCACCTTGTCAGAGCAGGTGATGTAGTGGTGCACCAGGAAGGTGATGGACTCAATGACAGAGGAGATGGTGCTCACCGACACCACCTCAAAGTTCTGCTCCAGGGTGAACTCTAACAGCTTGACCTGTGCGTCCAGAGGACCCTGGCCTGACTGGAACGGACCTCTGAAGGATGGGCGGAGGAGAAAAGATGCGATCATTGACGATGGTGCTTCCTAACAAATCAATGTACTGTTTTGTGATGAATTCAAAAGGATGGCTTTTGTTCCAGCCCAGCTCTAACACAGATAAATTGAAGACGATGATTAGTTATCATTTGAATTACGTGTCTTAAGTGCTGGGGTGGAACAAAAGCTGCTTTTGATGATTCTCTAGAGTAGACAACCTACCTCTCAGTGGACAGGATGTGCATTAGTTTGAGAAGGAACTCGCTGAACATCTGTGGGTTGGTGGAGGAGAGGTGCACCTGGAGTCTGGTGAGGAACTCTTGCATAGCTTGGGTGGCGGTGGGGCCGACCTGGGAGCTGTGCTGGCTGGTGCCATGGGGGTTGCTCCCAGACAGGAAGCGCACGAGCACGTGCACCAGCGTAGGGTCTGACACCATCTGCTGGGCTGTGCTCTCATGAGCTCCCATCCCACTGGTGGAGGCTGCTGACAGACACACAGGACCAAAACACACTTGATTAAAAAGGAGTACTATTGAAAGTCCTTTGGCCTCGGTTACACTGCATCTTCAACATGCATTTACTATTTCACAATCCTCAATGGGAAACATCAGTCAGAGTTGTCAGACACTGTTTTGAGAGTGAAACCATAGGATTTACCACTGGAGGGCATGTTGGTCATGAGGGTAAGGGAGTGCAGCACCAGACACCAGGTCCTCAGGGAGGTGTTGGGGTACCAGGCTAGCACTGACAGGAAACTGTTGATAGAGGCTGCAGGGAAACACAGGAGTTTAACATACAAACACGTACACTTCCCCATGTGAAAAGCCAAACAGTGAATGATTCACACAAGAGAAATCCAATGGTTTGAGAGTTAAGCGGAGAAGGGAGTGGATGGAGAGACACACAGGGTGACCTCTGACCTTGGTTGAGTGGGATGGTGGGCACTCTGCTGGCGTTGAACATGAAAATATCCGATCCACTCTCCTCAGTGCCCCCAGAGCAGGAGTTGAGACTGAGGGTCAGCCACAGCTGCAGCAGAGACTCCATCTAAGGCAGAAACACATGTGAGTACTTTATCTACAAATCCACTTATCCAGGGTAACCAACGTATTCTTGAGAATGGTACATTACCTCTACTGCCACATCATTACCAAACTGTGGAGAGGGATGTATAAAACAAAGTGATGTGCAACAAGTCATTCAAGTCTTGTGGAGTAGTAGAGACCCTGGACTATACCGTCTGTTGGTGACTGACCTGTACGTGGTGCACCTGGAGCATGGAGAAGAGCTTGTTGAAGCAGGCACTCAGCATGGGGATGGAGGAGGGCTGTACCATTAGGTTGCTTCCTGGAGCGGAGCCCCCACGGAGCCCCCGCAGCAGAGAATCATCCGTCCCATTGGATGCCTGGGACACTGAGGGGAGAGAGGGACATAGAGAAGGGACAAGGGTCAGCCATCTTTGATGCTTCGCAAGGCTTGAAATATTTTCCCAAGACTCAAGTGTACATTCCCAAACATCTATAAATACTTTTTTGGTAGGTTTATACCTGTGGGGGATGTTGACGTGAGCGCCTGTAAGATGGAGTCGGCCTCCAGCGTGGCCATCATCTTGAGCATAAGCTCAGCCTGCTGCTCCAGCCCTACCTCCAGGCGGGCGTCCAGAGCTGAGGGAGATGTCAAATGTAAGGGTTATAAAGGTGGAATGTATTCCTTTACATGCATGGAACATGCTAGAGTACAAAGAAGCAGTAGTGTGGAATCCTGTCTGAGACTAAGTTTGGGATGGCCCTTACCTTGTGACACGGAGACAGAGAGACTCTGAGACCCCGGCTTTTCGGCAGCAACCGGGGGCTTGGACACCGCAATCCCTACTCCCCCTATGTAGGGGTTGTAACCGTATGTACCATAGTCAGCACCCCAGTAGTCATACCAGGTGCTGCTAATAGGCTGTAGGAAGAGCGAGAAGAGAAACGCAAATGCAGTCATTCTTCTCAGATGCTAGGTACCTGTATAATATTCCATGCACACTAACACTACATTCTTTTGCATGCAATGGTGGAGTTTTCAGAAAGAAAAGTAAGAGTGAAGAGAGAAAAACTTTCCCAAGTTTGCTAATTTGATTGATTGGGTCTACATACACAAAATTGCTTTGACACTCAAGTGCAGGGCTAAGAGGGAGGTGGTGTTGGGGAGGGATTCAATACGACTGCACAACTTTGTATTACATATCATTATTTAAAAATGCATTACGAGAAGAGGTTGAACACTATGGTTTGAAGTTTGTATAGCTACATAATTGATCAGTGGGGTTCATTTAAGTTAATGTACTAACATGTTTTTTTGGCCTGAATCCATATGAGCCCCAGAGTTGATTGTGTTAATACTGAACTCAATAGAAATGCAAGAGAGCATGAAGAGAGGAGTGGAATAGAACACACAGGTGAGTCAAGCAAATGACATACCTTAAAGACTTTGGCGGCGAGGGGATCTTTTTCCAAATCAATATCTAAAGGATCAATATCAACATCCATGAGGTCTTGTAGTAAGTCAAAGTCTTGATCTTTTTCCAAAGATGAAAGAGATGGAGCACCTTTGGATAACGAAAAGAGCTTTAATATTGCCAAGCAAGCACACTAAAACCAGCAAACACACAGAGGCTTTGTTTTAGGAAGTTACTAGGCAATTTTAAGGCTTACAAACATTTCTTTCTGCAGTTGAGAGGGAGTCCAAACAATGGATGTTTGCCCACTATAAATCAGCAATCTGACAACTTTGGCCAACATTCAGACTTGGTATAAGTGCACAAAATATGTGCTTTTGTGTAAATCATTTGATGTCTAGGGAATGAAGATTTGTGATAGTTTGAATTCAGTACCCAAATCTCAAGTCAGGATTTCTACCATGAAGTAGTGCAGCTTTTGCACAAATAAAAAAATGAAATACCCTTAGTCTTAGGAAAATAACCACTACCCCTTAAAACATTTGGATATCTAATAGGCAATGAAGCTACACTGTTTGAACTCCCCCTCCAAAAGGCAAACAGTCCATTCAGAATTAAACTTATTATACTGAAAAAATAAAGTAAACATGCAGCTAGCTAAAATGGGGAAAAAATACAAACAATTTAACACAAATGCATCCATAATTCTACAGTGAGGGGGGTCCATGTGTAAAATGTTGACAAGGACAGGCCTACCAACGCACTTTGGAAAACAGAGGAGGTCCCAGGAGTACCTGCGATAATATCCGGAGCCAGGGCCTCGTCGATGGTCTCCACCTGGGGGATGGGCGTGGGCTGGGCCAGGGAGTCATCAGAGTCTATCCCTGCTGAGGACGACGATGCCCCTGCCTCCTCACCCACCGCCTCCTCACCCATACCATCCAGGGACCCTGGGGACAGCAACTCCCCTGAGGAGAGGGGACAGGACAGGACAAGGTTAGTGCTGGGAAAAACCAAAACGACTAGAGACTGCCAGCAATGCAAGGATTCCCCAAATATATAGTTCTCTTTAATACCAGCTTTTGCTGGAAAACAGAGTTCCTCAACGAAGAGAGAATTGAACAGTGAATTGAATTGTAGCAGCACCCCCTACCTGCCAGGATGTCCTGCAGCATGCAGGTGAGGGAGTACTGGGCCCAGGCCCCTCCCCAGGAGATGTCCCCCCTGTTGAAGTCTGTCCCCACCAGCAGCAGCAGCAGACGCTCCAGCTGATGCTCCGACACCACCTCACACAGGTGGATGGTGGGCCTGGTGGCATTGGTTATCCTGGCCAAGACCTGCAAAGTCAAATCAGACATGTTACATTTACATTTTACATTTTAGTCATTTAGCAGACGCTCTTATCCAGAGCGACTTACAGGAGCAATTAGGGTTAAGTGCCTTGCTCAAGGGCACAACGACAGATTTTTCACCTAGTCGGCTCAGGGGATTAGAACCAGCGACCTTTCGGTTACTGGCACAACGCTCTTAACCACTAAGCTACCTGCCGCCCATGTGACAGCATAGATTGTCACAAAGTTATCTATTTAAGTAGCCATTTATTTAGAGCCAACCAAATCCATCTTTGCCATTATTATTATTAGTAGTAGTAGCAGCAAGTGTGCCCTCTATTCAACTGAACTCAGTTGTGGCTGTGCATACCTTGCAGACGAACAGCAGGAGGTCTGCGTGGCAGGTGAAGTCCATGGAGAGGAGGAAGAGGGCCAGTTTCTGCACCACGGAGATGCAGCGCTCATGGGCCAGGGTGAAGGGCAGAGGCTCCACCTCAGGGGGCTCCTTGGCGGCCGTGGTCTCCGTGTCCAGGGAGGAGCGGGGCCACTCGGCTGTCCGCCTCAGACGGATCAGGTCCTTAAAGTGCTGCCAGAGCGAGAGATGGGGGGAGACAAAGAGAGAGATGGAGAGAAAGAGAGATGGAGAGGCAAATGTCAGGCAGTGGAAGTCCATTAATACACATGGTTTAATCTATCTCTATTGAAACTAGCATACTTGTAACCTGTGTAAGTGTGTTTGGTTCACAAGCTATGCTAAATAGGTGTATGCAGATCTGTTGCAACTTGTTGAAAGTTGACCCCAAAACATGCAGTTTTTAGGATATTTGACTTTATAATATGTGTTCCCAACATGACAAAAAGCATAGAAATAGAATTACTTAATACTTATTCATTCCATTTCCAGATTGAATTAGTCAAAACAAATTCCTTTGAGTTTTTAAAATGACTTTGGATTTGGCCTTTTCAGCTGGATGCCTTTACCAGCGTTTGAAGCTTTTGTTGTTGGATTTTCACTTTCCTGTTTGTGCACCAGCTTATCACATTACCTGTTTGTGTGCCAATAACAGCATGGTTGGATTTGGACCTCAGTGTGTAAGACTAAGTAAAAACTTAAAGTTACTGTTTTTGGGGTTATGGATTTGACTTTACTCCTACAGCTGTGCTTTTTACTCTACATTTCTCTGTTTAATTTGGACGGACCTTCTCCAATATGTCTGGATTGCTTACATCAGAGTTTGATTATTTGTGTTTATATTAAGTTATTAAACCAACTTGTTTGCGGATTTTCTGGGGGATTCACGTTACTGTCATTTCTAAGGTGTCTTTCTTTCCCAGTTGCCCATTGGTTATCCCCCCTGGATCCTATTGGACGATCGGAGGGTATGAAAAAACATGGAGATCACACTCTGTTAAATGACGGATGTGGATTTGGACACATTCTGTTGTGGTGCACCGTGTTTGCGGACTGACCCAGGCGGTCTGGTTCTGTTGCTTGGTTGATGCTGTTGGAGGAGATGAGGCGTTATTATAAGTCCATGAAAAAGGTTCATGGAGAGATGGAAAAAGGAGTAACTTGTGTTTTGGGATCCAAATCAATATGCATTACCCTGTTAATATGATTAATGGATCTCAAAACTGAAGAAATATTGTAATAACTTAATTTTATAGCCACTCAAAACCAAGAGTAATAGGATAACGGTCTCTCCTAAGCCTATAACATCACTCATACAAGGCTGTTTCTTAATTATTATTTTTTTAAAGCCACATGCGTAACAGTAAAAAAAGGTGAATATGGTAGACAAAACAAGAAATATTATCACTTTTGTGATTTCTTGACCTCATAAATCATCAGTACCAGATCTTATCGGAGAGCTACACCGCACTAGCCTACACTACACTACCTGTGAAGGTGCGCTCCCTCTCCTTCCCTCCCTGGTGCTTCTTGCCTGCAGACGCCTCATCCTCCACGCTGGCCACGTAGTCCAGCAGCCGTGACACAAGCATCACCACCCAGCTGATCATGGGGACGTCCAACACACCTGCCGCACACACAGACACACACTCATAGGCTGCTGGTTGAGTCCATGGTCCCGGGAGGCCGGTGCTGGTGCTGGTGCTGGGCCCAGGGACCCCTCCAGCCCCCCATCCTTGCTGCCAGCCCCAGTCCAGGGACCCTCCGGCTAGCCCACCTTCAGTCCTGCGCTGGGTAGCCGCCCGGGGCTGCTGTAGGGGGGACAGCAAGCTGTCCAGCAGGTTGAGCAGCCCCTCCAGCACGCCGCTGTTGCTCAGGGATCTTTGGCCGATGCAGGACAGGAGCATAAAGACTCTGAGGGAGGACACAGAGGACACGGTCAATCTCCGGAACATGGTAAAACACAATCGCTATGTCTGGGTGGGTGCTTCTGATACATTCAAACCCATAAGTATCTTTATGTGACAACAAACCCCTATCTTTATGGAATCCAATTTCAATGGGCAGTAGTCAGTTTGTGTTGTGTCCAAGGAGCTACAGTTTGTCAGTGTGGGTGCAGCGGATTGTAGGGCTGGGAATTGCCAGGGACCTCACAATACGATATTATGACGATACTTAGGTGCCGATACGTATTGCGATTTTCACGATTCTATATGCATTGGGATTCGACACTGTGAACATATTGCTCACCAAATGTCTGCTGCAGACAGACAAGAGAGAGCCATGAGAAAACGAGTTTTGATCAGTCATGGAAATAAAAGTGCTGAAAAAACAAAATCGGCTCCCTATTTAAAGACAGATGGAGAAGAAGCTATGAAGGAAAAATACTGGAGTTTTTGTGCAGGTACAGCAAAGTAGCACAAAAATTATATTGCGATATTGTCAAAAAGATACATCGTCAAAAATAATATCCTGATATGTAACTATCGATTTTTTTCCCGCATCACTAGTGGATAGAGATAGTTCCTCAGATGTATCATAAAGCCCACCTGTCCTGGGGGAAGATGAGCAGCTGCTCTGAGTTGTACAGCTCTTGCAGGACGTTGGAGAGGAACTGGCCCCACCAGCGCTCCCCTCCACACAGCTGCACTAGCAGAAGACCAGCGTGCAGACGGATCTTGGGCGTGCCACTAATACAAAGGTGCTTGAAGAGCTCCTCACAGGCCTGCGCGTGGAACGTGCTCTGCAGAACGGACGGGACTGCGTGCCCTAGAGGGAAGAACAAGGAGCGAGTGAGAGATGGAGGTCAAATGAGAGACAGGGAAAGCTTGAGGGAGAGAAAAAAAAAATTGCAGGGAAAGAAACTGAGAGGGTATGTTAAATAATGAGGGAAATCGCAGAGGGGTAAAAAAGCAAGTGGTGGCCCAAAACATTTAATGACAAAATGCACTTGACTAAATCAAATAGCCTTCAACAGTAAAAAAAATAATTCACAGTTATTATCCTAGAAAAGGGGTTTCATATGAGAAGAAAACCCCAGCCCTTGAAATAGCAGCTCTTCACTTCAGAGAGAAAATGAAAGGCTCCATTCCACTGCTGTAAACTACAGAGACAGTGCAGGTATAAAGCCAGGCAGCACCAAGTGGCTAATTCACTATTCTCTTTCACGAGAGGAGACTCATGAAACTGTATGACGAGCTGCTAGGGAGCATCAGTGGGGATTTGATGGGTGAGAGGAGGAAATTGTTAAGCACACTTAACAGCGCCGTGGGCTTTCGGTTAACTTTGAACGACTTTAAAAAGCGAGTTTTTATCAAAGAGCAACTTTTTCAAAGAGACCATACAGAACGGCTTGTGAGAATATGGATAGCAAACATTAAATATGTATGCTTTTTCAATTCAAAGGCAGAGAAAGTGAGGGCAGAGAAATTAATTGATTCCTAAAAAGACGTAAGAATGAATTTGAAACATTCTCATCGCTTTAAATAATTCATGCTCAAACATGGCTATAAGGTCCAAAAATGCTTTAGGCTTATGCAGGGGAAAATACATGTATTGAGGAGGTGTGACTCACCAAGCAGATCAGACACACATACAGAAAGAAAGACAATACCAATGTCCCCTAGGGATGCTGTTAGGACAATGGACAATCAGGTAAAGGATGATATTGGTTTGAAGCTAGGCCAACATCAAAAGATGTATGAATATGGGATAGAGTCAGAAAAGTAGATCCCATCCCTGATACAGACCCTGTGGCCCTCCCAGACCTCAGATATCTCACCGTTGTTGGAGTGCAGCAGGCTGAGCAGTGTGTCCAGTAGGTAGCGGATGATGGTTCTCAGCTGCTCGGTGGATGAGTTCTGGATGAGCTCCCGGGGGTCGTAGGGTTCAGGCAGGACCTTGCGCCCGGCCCCCAAGGACACGCGGAGTCTCTGGACGGCGTGGTGAGCCAGGTTGAGCTGCAGCTGCAGCTGAATACAGTCCTGGTAGGCCGAAAAGACCCGCGAGTCCTCCTCCACCGCCTTGTCGGGCTTTCGCAGGAAGTACTGGGCGTTGTTGGCACTGTTGAGAGGAGGCAGGTCGATGTTCTGGAGTAACGTCTCCAGCCGGTGGCACGCCAGGTTGTACCTAGAGAGAGATGGTGAGTCAACTGGGTATGCAGTTTATGTTAACCGCTTTAGTATACATTGACAATAATTCTGGACTACTGTGGCTATGTCAAGTATGTAACATAAAACCTTTCCAACTCCTTGACTCACTAAATCAGACAATCAGTGAGCGAACTAGTGGAATAGTACGTCCTCTGACCTGCACTGGATGTCCTCCTGCAGGGCCACCATCATGGCCAGGTGCTGGTCCACGTCAGGCTGGCTGGCCGCCTCACTCTCCCCTCTCAGGGGGTCGTGCATCAGCTTCAGCTCGCTCTCCCAGGGCAGGATGTAGGTGTGGCCATAGTAGAAGCCCAATGGGATCTTGGCCCGGGCGTTGGTGCTGCCATAACGCCCAATCACAGTAATCTGTTGGGCGTAGATGGGTGTGATTGACAGGAGGACAGGTTAAGGTGTGGAGAAATAGTTGCTGTTAAGCACAGTCATTTCCTCACAGAATGCTCACAAAAAAAATAACAAATTGTATTTTTCTTTGACGACCTTAGAGTTCAGATACTTATTCTAACCTATGAAATGGAGAGCGAGGACAAATGCCACTGACCTTCATGAAGCGGCAGACAGGGGGTGGCAGCAGATCGTGCAGGATGAGGGAGTGGGTGCTGATGTCTGTGGCCACTACAAGCCTGCGTCCATCCACCTCCTCCCCCAGCGTCCAGATGTCGATGGACAGAGAGGCCAGGTCCCCACAGGTTGGGATCAGAGCGTCTGTCAGCAGCACGGGACGACCAAAGTCCAGCGTCACAAACCTCCGCGCTCCTGGGACAAGAGGGGAGATATTTACACACACAAGAGCTTACCTAAACAACTTGGCTACATCTCAAATGAATCCCTATTTGTTATCTAGGGCACTACTCATGATATATCCTCTTGAGTTTAATTTACAACTGTTGACCCAGGTAAAGAGACACAAAAGCTAAGTGTACTTACCAGAGTGCATGCGCTCAATGATGATGGACTGCTGCGGAGGAGGCTGGAGGAAGTGAGAGGCTTGAGAGATGGCCAACGCCAGACCGCTGCCCATGGGGTTCTGCAACAAACACAGATACGCTTTTAAGTCAAAACATATAGTAAAATATTAACTTCTTATTTGAAATATTTTGCATTATTTGACAAATTGTAACAAAATTCCCTTGGTGTTCATGTAAAGCCCTTACAACATAACTGCTGTGCTATTGAGAGTTGTGTATGTTACTGACCGGCTTGGCCTTCTGGCTGTTCTTGTTATGAGCGGCCAGGTTTACGGGCGGTGGGTCCATCATGGTGCCGGGAAAGAGCTGGGCCAGCTCCACACTGATGGCTGCCGACACTGCCTCATTGGGCGGGGTGAGCGGAGGCGTCATGAACAGCGGGGTGGTCTTGGGCGTCGGGGGGATGACATCAGAGGGGTGGATGAAGAAGCCGGGGGCGCTGGAAGGCACAGAGTTGTGGATGGGCCCCACGCCGGAGGCCGCAGCTGCTGCTGAGGTGGTCTGGTGCAGCTTTGCCTCCAGCTTGGCCTTCTGTTCCGAACACACACAGGATTACAACTCTGCTAATAGAACACAGTCAACACCAGGATACGTGAAGTCTGACATAGGATCTTCGCGTGTGTGCGTATAGGCAAGTGAGGGCTTAGATAAGACGTGTGTGTGTGTATACGTGGACCTGTGTGAGTACATGATTGCATGTCTGTGCCTTTGTGCAAGCGTATGGGTGTGCATACAGGTGTAGGTGCTAGAGTCCCTGACCTGTTGCTGCAGTTTGAGCAGCTGCTGTTGTTTCTCCTGGAGCACCTGCAGCTGCTGCTCTGCAGACACCATGGCGTGGGACAGCGACTGCAGAGCCACCTGGGCTGCAGAGCTCAGAGCCGTGGACGCCTCGCCTACCGTGCCCGCCGACATGCCACCCACTGCTGGGGTCACCCCAAACGTGCTCACTGGGAGGAGAGGGCAAAGGTCAGGAGTATCACTCAAAATCCCTGAGTAAGAAACGTGAAGATGCCCATGTTTAAATGTTTCCGTTTCACAAACGGTCTGGTTATAAAAGAGGAGGTGAGGTAGGTACCTGTGAACACGCTTGCATCGTCCCTCTCCACCCTGGTGCCGTCGCTGGTGGAGATACAGGTAAAGTGCAGTGGCTCCACCTCCAGGAGCCCAGTGAGGGCCGTGAAGCTGCCCTCGGCCGCCGCACAGCTGCTTACCTTGCCGTTCCCTGCTAGAGGCACACACACACACAGGTTAAGTCACACACACCAGAGTACAGCCCAGACCAACGTTTATTTCCCTGATAGTTCTTGATGAAGGGATAGGATAGGTGTAAGCAATAAGGTGGAATGTGGTGGGTGTTGTGCAGACCTGAGAGAATTTCAGAAAGGTCAATCTCGCCAGACTGGACGCCGATGCTGCTGTTGAAGGCATTCTTACAGGAGGAGCCACTGACCTCCAGGTCAAACAGCACTGGGTCGAAGGGGGAACTGTACAGGCCGTATCTGGGGAGGAGAGACACGGTACAGAGCATTACAATACACAAAGAGACAAGCTGGATTCAACACAAACTAGCTTTTAGTACTCTAATCACAACTTTATACCTAGTGCTTTTTGGTTTCTTTATGTCCTGATTGGTGTGTAAGGACACTATATGGTGAAAAGGCCTACCTGGTCTGTAGCAAAGCCTCCAGGGGAGTGAGGCGGTCCTGCAGTTGCCGGGAGACTGCGGTGAGCAGAGAGGCACAGGCCGTGCTGCAGCCCGCCAGGTCCTCATCCTTCACATAGTTCAGCAGCACAAAGTACCAGAACACCGACCCTGAGAGTGAGAGAGCGAGACTTACACACATGCCTTGCAAAACAATTCTGCTGACAATGCAGAAGACCTCTACCCATGCTCAAAGATAACAAAATCATGACATCAGGAAAAAACGTCAGTTCTACTTACCACCTGTTGCTGCTGCAGGCAAGTAGGGCATATTGTCCAGCAGAGCCTTCAGTAGACCCATGCCAAAGCCCTGCTGACTGGGTTCCCCTTTTCCATTACTGACGACATAAAAACAAGTTCCAAATGTGCACACCTACTACATCACACAGGCATCACCAAGAGTATGGGTCACGAAATGATGTCACAACATTCATGAAAAGCCTAACTCACCTAATACAAAGTGCAAGAAAGCGGGCGCATTTGTGGGCTATACTCCGTCCAGCCTCAAAAAAACACACCCGCACAATGTCTGTCAGCCGTTTCCTTGTTTTCGTCAGCATAGCCTCCTTTCCTTCTCTCAGGCTGGAAGGAAAATGTTAAAATACACACTTCAATATCATTGTGTGAAAATCCCAGAGCCATTTACATGTGGTAAAGGAACAATGGAAGGGGATAGCGCAAGGACGGCGTCATAAACATCTGATCTAACAAAGTGGATATTCGTCAAATCCGTCATGATTTAATTGTTCTAACAGGCCCACAATGTGGTTACTAAAATCAGATTGATTGCTTTAGCTGTATAATATTTAGAAGTTGTCCTTTTTTAGGATTAGAAAAATGTTCTGCTAAATGCTAACTCCTGTTTGTATAAACTGGTAGCATAGCTAGCCATATAGAAATCTGTGGTGGTAGTTGATATAATAATATAATATGCAATTTAGCAGACGCTTTTATCCAAAGCGACTTACAGTCATGTGTGCATACATTTTTACGTATGGGTGGTCCCGGGGATCGAACCCACTACCCTGGCGTTACAAGCGCCATGCTCTACCAATTGAGCTACAGAGGAGATGCAGTTTTGTAAGTGTAATGTAGTTGATTGGTGACGATGACGAACTGTATTGGGGGTTGACATCCATACAAGCATTATACTCTGATGTTTACCCTAACATAGCGTATAATACACTAATAACAGCCTAAATGTTGGCTAATTGTGATGGGTGGCAATGAGGAGATTCCGGATCCATCTCCCATGGGGGGACGCGTGCATGGCATTTCCATTGTTTTGGTCGAATTCCAATGATTTCATTACTGCATGTAAAGAGTAGAGAGATCTCAGTATCCCTATGAATATCATATCTCCTTCTTGCATCCCACTTTCATCCTCTTAGCCCCACCTGCAGGGTCCGTTGGAATAGACTCCAGCCAGCCAGCAGAGGCAGTCCAGGATAAGGCTCTGGGAGTGCTCTGTGCCAGATCCCTCCTCTTCCCGCTTACACAGCCCGTTCAACAGCTTCTCATGGAAATCTGGGAACTGCAGCATGGCACAGCGCTGGACTCTGTAGTAGACAGACAAACAGAAGGATCAGTTAGTTCTCATGACATACAGTGGGGAAAAAAAGTATTTAGTCAGCCACCAATTGTGCAAGTTCTCCCACTTAAAAAGATGAGAGAGGCCTGTAATTTTCATCATAGGTACACGTCAACAATGACAGACAAATTGAGGAAAAAAAATCCAGAAAATCACATTGTAGGATTTTTAATGAATTTATTTGCAAAATATGGTGGAAAATAAGTATTTGGTCAATAACAAAAGTTTCTCAATACTTTGTTATATACCCTTTGTTGGCAACGACACAGGTCAAACGTTTTCTGTAAGTCTTCACAAGGTTTTCACACACTGTTGCTGGTATTTTGGCCCATTCCTCCATGCAGATCTCCTCTAGAGCAGTGATGTTTTGGGGCTGTCGCTGGGCAACACAGACTTTCAACTCCCTCCAAAGATTTTCTATGGGGTTGAGATCTGGAGACTGGCTAGGCTAATCCAGGACCTTGAAATGCTTCTTACGAAGCCACTCCTTCGTTGCCCGGGCGGTGTGTTTGGGATCATTGTCATGCTGAAAGACCCAGCCACGTTTCATCTTCAATGCCCTTGCTGATGGAAGGAGGTTTTCACTCAAAATCTCACGATACATGGCCCCATTCATTCTTTCCTTTACACGGATCAGTCGTCCTGGTCCCTTTGCAGAAAAACAGCCCCAAAGCATGATGTTTCCACCCACATGCTTCACAGTAGGTATGGTGTTCTTCGGATGCAACTCAGCATTCTTTGTCCTCCAAACACGACGAGTTGAGTTTTTACCAAAAGGTTCTATTTTGGTTTCATCTGACCATATGACATTCTCCCAATCCTCTTCTGGATCATCCAAATGCACTCTAGCAAACTTCAGACGGGCCTGGACATGTACTGGCTTAAGCAGGGGGACACGTCTGGCACTGCAGGATTTGATTCCCTGGCAGCGTAGTGTGTTACTGATGGTAGGCTTTGTTACTTTGGTCCCAGCTCTCTGCAGGTCATTCACTAAGTCCCCCCGTGTGGTTCTGTGATTTTTGCTCACCGTTGTTGTGATCATTTTGACCCCACGGGGTGAGATCTTGCGTGGAGCCCCAGATCGAGGGAGATTATCAGTGGTCTTGTATGTCTTCCATTTCCTAATAATTGCTCCCACAGTTGATTTCTTCAAACCAAACTGCTTACCTATTGCAGATTCAGTCTTCCCAGCCTGGTGCAGGTCTACAATTTTGTTTCTGGTGTCCTTTGACAGCTCTTTGGTCTTGGCCATAGTGGAGTTTGGAGTGTGACTGTTTGAGGTTGTGGACAGGTGTCTTTTATGCTGATAACAAGTTCAAACAGGTGCCATTAATACAGGTAACGAGTGGAGGACAGAGGAGCCTCTTAAAGAAGAAGTTACAGGTCTGTGAGAGCCAGAAATCTTGCTTGTTTGTAGGTGACCAAATACTTATTTTCCACCATAATTTGCAAATAAATTCATTAAATATCCTACAATGTGATTTTCGGGATTTTTTTTCCTCAATTTGTCTGTCATTGTTGACGTGTACCTATGATGAAAATTACAGGCCTCTCTCATCTTTTTAAGTGGGAGAACTTGCACAATTGGTGGCTGACTAAATACTTTTTTTCCCCACTGTACCATTTTTTTACTACTATAGTGTAACAAGTATCAAAACATGTCAGTTCTCATAATATATCAAATGTTATTAGTCACATGCTTTGTAAACAACAGGTGTGGACTAACAGTGAAATGTCAACTTACGGGCCCTTCCCAACAATGCAGAGAAATAAAATAGAGAAATAATAGAAAAGTAAAACATGTAATAAAAGTAATAATAGATACACAATGAGTAACAATAACTTGACAATATATGGGGTACCAGTACTGAGTCGGTGTGCAGGGGTACGGGGTAATTGAGGTAGATATGTACAAAACATTAAGGACACCTGCTCTTTCTATGACAGACTGACCAGGTGAATCCAGGTGAAAGCTATGAACCCTTCTTGATGTCACTTGTTAAATCCACTTCAAAATCAGTGTAGATGAATGGGAGGAGACAGGTTAAAGAATGATTTGTAAGCCTTGAGACATGGATTGTGTATGTGTGCCATTCAGAGGGTGAATGGGCAAGAAAAAATATTGAAGTGCCTTTGAACGGGGTAAGGTAGTAGGTGCCAGGCACACCGGTTTGTGTCAAGAACTGCAACACTGCTGGGGTTTTCACGGTCAACAGTTTCCTGTGTGCATCAAGAACGGTCCACCACTCACAGGACATCCAGCCAACTTGACACAATTATGTTTGTCATTTTTTGTCATTATGGGAAGCATTGGAGTCAACATGGCCCAGCATCCCTGTGGAATGCTTGACACCTTGTAGAGTCCATGCCCCAACGAATTGAGGCTGTTCTGAGGGCAAAAGGGGAGGGTGCAACTCAATATTGGGAAGGTGTCCTTAATGTTTTGTACACTCAGTGTGTAACTAGGAATAAAGTGACAGATAGTAAACAGTAGCAGCAGCGTATGTGAGGAGTCAAAAAAGTGAGTGCAAAAAATGGTCAATGCAGATAGTCCAGGCAGCTATTTAGATAACTATTTAGAAGTCTTATGGCTTGGGCAAAGAAGCTGTTCAGGGTCCTGTTGGTTGCAATCCTTGGTGCATCGGTACCCCTTCCCGTACGGTAGCAGAGAGAACAGTCCATGACTTGGCTTGCTGGAGTCTGACAATTTTTAGGGCCTTCCTCTGATACCGCCTGGTATAGAGGTCCTGGATGGCAGGGAGCTCGGCCACAGTGATATACTTGGTCGTACGCACAAGCAGTGCCATAGCAGAAGCCAAGCAGTTGCCATACCAAGCGTTGATGCAACCAGTCAAGATGCTCTCAAAGGTGCAGTGGTAGACTTTTTGAGGATCCAAGGGCCCATCTTTTCAGCCTCCTGAGGGGAAAGAGAATGCCGTTCCCTCTCCACGACTGTGTTGGGGTGTTCGGATCCTTTGTGATGTTTACACAGAGGAACTTGAAGCTCTTGACCCGCTACAGCCCCATCGATGTGAATGAGGGCGTGCTCGGCCCTCCGTTTCCTGTAGTCCATGATCAGCTCCTTTGTCTTGCTGACGTTGAGGTTGTTGTCCTGGCACCACATTGCAGTCTCATCGCCGGCGGTGATCAGGCCTACCACCGTCGTGTCGTCGGCAAACTTGATTGGGAGTGAACAGGGAGTACTAGAGGACTAAGCACGCATCCCGTGTTGAGGGTCAGCGTGGCAGATATGTTGTCCGTCAGGAAGTCTAGGATCCAGTTGCAGAGGGAGGTGTCAGTCCCAGGGTCCTTAGCTTAGTGATGAACTTAGAGGGCACTATGGCGTTGAACGCTGAGCTGTAGTCAATGAACAGCATTGTCACGTAGTTGTTCCTTCTGTCCAAGCGGGAAAGGGCAGTGTGGAGTGCATTAGAGATTGCGTCATCTGTGGATCTGTTGGGGCGGTAAGCGAATTGGAGTGGGTCCAGAGTGTCTCAATGATGGTGTTGATGTGAGCCATAACCAGCCTTTCAAAGCATTTCATGAGTACAGATGTGAGTGCTACGGGGCGATAGTCATTTAGAGGTTACATTGGCGTTCTTGGGCACAGGGACTATGGTGGTCTGCTTGAAACATGTAGGTATTACAGACTGGGTCAGGGAGAGGTTGAAAATGTCAGTGAAGACACTTGCCAGCTGGTCAGCGCATGCTGGGTATATACAGTGCAAGATGAGGAAATAAAGCATTTGATTAAGGTGTTGGGATTCTACAATAGTTCAGTGTTTCGGTGAAACAAAGGCACTAAGGAAAGCACCAAACCTTTCTTTCGGTATGGATGTCTTCTTAAACCTTCTGATTGTGACTGACACCTCCTGGAGCAGGTCGCAGCCGCGGAGGTTGTCAGGTTTCTTCGACTGAGCTGGAGAATCTGCTTTGGAAGTGGAGGCCTTTTCCTAAAATGGGAGACAGCCATTTCAAAAAACAGATAACAGTACAGTGGAACACCAGAGAGGACCAAATTCTAGAGCTATAAACTGTAAACAGAGAGAAAATGTCCTCCTTCAAGAACGGGACATTGCTGGTATGAGGAAGCCACATCAAAGCAATTTGACACCAACTTCTCACTGAGAACCTGGCAATGGCACTAATCTCCCACCAGATGGAGACAAAGGAGGAAGCTCCAATCAAGGCTATCCATGCACTCAACTTACACAACTCCATTACACAACTGCACAATCAGTCAGAAATGCCTCAGGTGTGCAGAGAAAGACTCCTGAAATAAACAGCTTTGATGTAAAATTGCATTCGTTTTCCAATGCTTTGCCATCTGTACCTTGGTGGCCTGTGCCCTCTGCAGCAGGGTGGAGAGGGAATGGCCCTTGCTGCTCTGCGGCTTGGCTGCGGGCATCCTCACCACAGGCCTGTGGCTCTCCTCCATGCCCTTGTCGCTCACCGCCTTGATGTGCACCAGGAACGAGCGGTACTTGCCCCCGGCCATGCCTGCAGGGAGAGGGACAAACCAGCAGAAACTACACTGTAAACATCTAACATACAATACGTATGACGGGGGGAGAGGATTCATAGCAAAAAGTTGAGGACACAAACTGGGAGGGACAAAAACAGTCATGGTAAGATTTCTTCAATGTGACTCAGTGTAAAAGTTTGCAGATATTGTTACCTTTGACCATCTTGGGGCTGGTGAGGCTAAGCATCCCAGCGTAGCCTGAGAGGTCCAGACCACTGGCCAACCACACGGGACCACACAGGATATCCTCCTTATGGTCCTCTAGGAAGGTGCACAGCCTGGAGCCTGGAAAGAGAAGAGCAATGTGATGAAACCTCTGCTGGGCTGAGGAACCCCTCAGATTGCTGCTTTACCCACAGAATCACCAGTAACACTAATCTACAATCTGCCAACGCTATCCACAATAATCAAGTGTCAAACACTGACTGAGGAAAAGTCAGTGTCTATCAACCCTGGCTGCCTATCCATGCAGCTCTCTACCTGGTGTCTCTTCGATGTCCATGAACTGGATGTCGTCTGTGAAGTCTTGCAAAAGTGTCTGTCCGTTCCGCTCCCCGTTGGCATGGAGGACATGGGACAGGGGGAAGGAGATCTGTCTGTCAACTGCCGTCTCTGGAGAGAAAATGATTTTTTTTAAACGTATTGACAGACAGTAGGCAGCAGAGGCAAATATGGACATCTAGAAATAAAAATGAAATATGATATGATCAATAATTCCCTGCAAAAGGCTAGTTATCTATGGTAACCAGTCCTCCTCTTCATAGTATGTGTTTCAGATACTGCATTTTCAAAATTAGCCAACGCAACAGAGATAGCGGTGAGTGTCCTCACCATTGACCTTGCCCAGACCTGGGGCCTTGTTCTTCAGCAGGGTGATCTGGATCTGAGGAATGTTAGTGATGTTGGCATTCATGACGAACTTGAAGTCCACGTGGCCCACCATGCAGGCCTTGGGAAGGACCAGTTCAAACACATGCTCGTCCCAGCTGGAGCTACAAACCACAAAGAAAACATGGCCACATTATTCACCTACACAAATAAGATTCTACTTTCTAGAGTCTTAAAAGTCAAGATATAATAGGCTACTTTTGTTTTCAATAGGAGCTTGTGAGATGTCAACATAGTTAAAAAGGAACATGTAGATTTAGTCCTCAATGAGGAATGTATAGTGTTGTGTGTGTGTGTGTGAGAGAACATTATGAAATAGTGTGTTTATGTATTAATGTGTGTGGCGTTTGCAGATAGACTTACGAGAAATGCCTCACTGACTACGCGCACACACCCTGTCACGCCCACATGTCCGTACCTGTCGCTCTGCAGCTTCCAGGTGCGTGTGTGCTGGGCAGCGTCTCCATGGTGCTGCTGGTGCAGATGCTGGGGGTGGCGGCGCTGTTGCTGCTCCTGCTGCACCTCCACCCAGCAGGGCGGCACCGTGGCGGAGAAGCGCGGCGTCAGCGTCTCGAAGCGTGTCAATTCCACCAGCGACGTCAGGCTCTCCACGGCCAACGCTTGATCCACCAGGAGGTCAACTCCTTACAGGGAGGAGAGGTTGGCAGAGTTTTTAAAAAGGAGGCCACAGGACATAAACAATTTATGAATCTGGAAAATTGATTTTTTTTCACAGTCTGGACAGTATCATGTTGTCAATCAGCATACGATTTCACTGGAAAGAAGGTTCCATTAAGCGATGACTACTCAGTTCTCAATACCTATTAAATAACCAACAAAGGTGAAATGAGGCAAGAACAGGGATACAGACAGTTATTGAATGAGCAGAGAAAGAGCAGAGCCGTGAAGTGTAACGGGGTCTGTCTCTCCTACCTGTGATCCCTGGGCTTGAGGGGTTGGAGGAAGGCTTTGTCCCCTCCAATAGCTGTTCAGCCCCTTTAGAAAGGGGGCCATCGACAAAAATGTCGGCGTCATCTATATCGTCACACACACCTCCAATTTGAAGGAAATGAAGTTCTCCACCTGGGGTGGGATTAGATGACAGTAGTAAGATTGAAAACATTCGAAATATGAAATAGATCCAAAAGTGACATGTCTAAGAAGTAGGCCTAAGTGCTTGGCTGAGAAGATGGCCTGCGACAAGACATTACAACTATACAGACATTATTTTAAATCACAACTGTATCTTTGTTCTACCAAAGAGGAAATGGAATTCCCCTTAAAAATCACTCATGCCTGCTATAAAATATATATCTTATATTACAACTTGTTCCTTTTCCGCTCTCGTTGAAAGCCAGCCTGCAGCACAGACTGTAAAACAGCTGGTGGACCAGACCACAATACACATGATGAAAGACAAACCTGACTCAGAAGAAGAAAAGCTTTAGCAGTACCCCATCCCTAGAACAAAATCCCACCCCCCAGGCCCCGCTCACATGTCAGCCACACACACAGCGTTGCAGGTTGCTTTTTTGCAGTCGTTTTCAATGTTGTATCATACATACTAGACACCTATCCAGCTGTTGTGCGATATATTACAACTATTAAAATGATAGTAAAACATCTGCACCATTAAAACCTGGGGAATCGAAGTAGCGACATTTCTGCCCTAGATTGTGGCGCAGTCCTCACCTTTAGTGCAAGCGCAAAGGCGGTCAGTCCCGGAGCAGTAGGTGACGGCGACGAAAGGGTCAATCTCATCCACCATCCCGTCCTTCTTGGGCGGCTCCACTTTGGCCAGGACCTCCAAAGTGGACAGGTCCAGGATCATGATGTACCCTGCCTGAGTGGTGACCACCAGGTGGCCCAGTCCGGTAACGTCCGCCTGCTTCACCTTGGCGCTGCTGGGAGCAGCTGTGCTGCTAGTACCAGTCCCTGGCCCACACCCATGGCCACAGCCAGAGCCGTTTTTAAGCCCACGCTGAGGTGTCTCCTCTGGGGCCTCCTCGCTGTCATCCTCCCTCCCGTCCAGTACATCTGGCGGGAGCAAGATGAGGGAGGTGACGGCGTCCCGGGGGTCTCTGATGTGCTGCACCTTGACAGGCTCCTCCTCCAGAGTGACAATGCGGGTGGTGTAGTTGAGCTTGTAGAGAGCCAGATAGCCTCCACCACCACAGCCTCCCAGGGGCCTGGACGGCTGTTGTTGCTGGTCAGGGGGGGGCAGGATGAGTGGGGTCTGAGGGGGAGGAGCGCAGGGAAGGGCCTCGTGGCCATTGGCCAGTGTGGGCAAGGGCTGGAGCTCTCCCTTACTGCGGCTGCAGAGAGCTGAGTGGAGGCGGTTGAGGTTGTTGAGGGCCTCCACCTGGTTGATGGCGCTGAGAGACTCCACGGAGCAGGGCTGCAGCCCCACAAGCAAGTGCACGCCGTCTGAACAGGGCGTGATGGAGTCCACATAGAGGTTCTCCTCCTCCAGCTGCTTGGGCAGCCGCAGACACTGCACCAGGGCTCCGGGCCGTGGCGCCAGCGAGCTCCACTTGTCCCCATCCAGGGCGGCTAGGTTTGCAGCAGCATCTGCAAACTGCTGGATGTAGGTGATGGGCGGGTCCTGGAGCAGCAGCTGCTCGTGGGTGTCGAACTCCATCTCGATGATCTGCGGCACGGAGAAGCCCTCCTCGTGCAGCCCCTTGCTCATCAGATTGTTCATCTGGGCAAACACCTTCCCCGACGACTTCTCGTCCGACTCCTTGATGCTGTAGAGCAAGAGCACAGGCATAGTCCTGCGCACGGCGGGCGCGGCTAGGGTTTGGCGAGCCCAGCTCCATGGGAGGGGGGTTACAGGTCTCCATCTCCACAGGGCCCTGGTCAGGCACGGCATGGGGGAGCTCTGGGCCCTGAGTCCTGAGGGGGCCGTCCATGGTGCGGCGGGCGGAGGAGGGGGGTGGGGCGGCAAGCGGGGAGCTGGCGGCAGAGCGGTAGCTGAGCAGGCCTCCAGCCAGCAGGCAGGGGAAGGGAATGTTCTGGTGCTCCGCGGGCTTCTCCTTGGCCTTGTCGGCCTTGACCTGGGCCAGGGAAGGGTTGGCCCCCAGCTCCTCCAGGTCCTTGACTGTGTCCTCCAGCACGCTGGCCACCACCTCCCACTGGAGCTTCTCTGGCTGCTGGAGGAGGCTGAGTGCCGTCACGCCCAGGCTCACCTCCATGCTCTCCCTCTGGGAAGTCTGGCCTGGGAACAGGAGAGGGGACAAAAATAAAAGCGATAGTTCAACTTACGGATACCTAGAAAGTCTACGGACCAAAAGAGTAACAAGATTTGAAGAGTGGCTTCATACCCGTCACAGACTCTGATCTGGAATGCTCTTCACTGTCAGAGTCCTCCAACTGGTCATCACTGGCAGAGAGATAGAAACGAAAAGAGGTCACATCTATTCCAAACACATTTCCTCTTTTACACACACTTAACTCCATTGAAACTTTCATTGACTAGGTGTGCATAGAGTAGGTGTGTCCAGTAGTACCTGTCCCCCTCTAGTTTTGGTATGTCTGAGCAGCTGGAGGAGTCCTCTAGCCAGGCTAAGGTGGGCCTCCCGGACTCCTGGGTCCCCAGGGCCAGCTCGCTCCCAGACAGAATCAGCTGCCGCAGGATCGCCGGGTCGTAGGGGTTGATTTCAAATTTCAAGTGCACCTGAGGGGAACACAAAACATCATGAATCATCATATCATATTTACAAACATTAGTAATAACCTTATGCACATAGTTTAATGTATTGTTTATTCATGCCATCTTAAGTTTTATGTATGTCAATTAAGTCTGACGAATGGGCCCAGACATCCAGGACAAAACATGGAGGCAGACATCAACAAAACTGTACTTCATGTTTCCCGCCTAGCCACGCAGCACGGCCTTACCTTCATGAGCTTGGACAAGTCCCAGATGCAGATCTTGCCACGCTTGGTGGCGGCTGCCAGGAAGTGGGGGCAGCTGCCGAAGCCGTAGCAGGCAATCTTATCTGAGCCATCAGCGGTGGGGAACTGTGCGGGGCTGGTGGCCAGCGTGACGGACAACGGCACGTTCTGGGTGTGCTCACCCTTCACAAATGGACAGTTGGGGGAATGTCGCTCGTGCTCGGACCTGATGGGGAGGTTGTGGGCATAGTCATTATGTTGTTGAGAGGTAAATGAATGTGCGATCTGAAGGTTATGTGGTGTGTGTGTACAGTGCAATCGGAAATATATTCAGACCCCTTCACTTTTTACGTCACAGCCTTATTCTAAAATGGATTAAAATAATGACAAAGCAAAAACTGTTTTTTTGAAATTTTTGCAAATGTATAAAAAAAACAAAAACAGAAATACCATATTTACTTAAGTATTCAGACCCTTTGCTACGAGACTAAAATTGAGCTTAGGTCCATCCTGTTTCCATTGATCATCCATGAGATGTTTCTACAATTTTATTGCAGTCCACCTGTGGTAAATTCAATTGATTGGACATGATCCGGAAAGGCACACACCTGTCTATATAATAAAGGTCCCACAGTTGACAGTGCATGTCAGAGCAAAAACCAAGTCATGAGGTTGAAGGAATTGTCCGTAGAGCTCCGAGACAGGATTATGTCGAGGCACAGATCTGGGGAAGGGTACCAAAAGATTTCTGCAGCATTGAAGGTCCACAAGTGGCCTCCATCAATCTTAAAAATTGAAGAAGTTTGGAACCACCAAGACTCTTGCTAGAGCTGGCTGCCCGGCCAAACTGAGCAATCGGGGGGGGGAATGGCCTTGGTCATGGAGGTGACCAAGAACCTGACGGTCACTCTGACAGAGCTCCAGAGTTCCTATGTGGAGATGGGAGAACCTTCCAGAAGGACAACCATCTCTGCAGCACTCCACCAATCAGGCCTTTATGGTAGTGGCCAGACAAGCCACTCCTCAGTAAAAGGGAAGACAGCCCGCTTAGAGTTTGCTAAAAGGCACCCAAAGGACTCTGACCATGAGAAACATTATCTGGGGGTAAGGGTAGGTAACAACATCTGCCACGCTGATCCTCAACACAGGGGCCCTTCAGGGGTGCGTGCTCAGTCTCCTCCTGTACTCCCTGTTCACCCATGACTGCATGGGCAGGCACGACTTCAACACCATCATTACGTTTGCAGACGACACAACAGCGGTAGGCCTGATCACTGACAATGATGAGACAGCCTATAGGGAGGAGGTCAGAGACCTGGCCGTGTGGTGCCAGGATAACAACCTCTCCCTCAACGGGATCAAGACAAAAGGAGATGATTGTGAACTACAGGAAAAGGAGGACCGAGCATGCCCCCATTCTCATCGACGGGGCTGTAGTGGAGCAGGTTGACAGCTTCAAGTTCCTTGGTGTCCACATCACCAACAAACACACCAAGACAGATGTGAAGAGGGCACGACAAAGCCTATTCCCCCTCAGGAGACTGAAAAGATTTGGCATGGGTCCTCAGATCCTCAAAACGTTCTACAGCTGCACCATCGAGAGCATCCTGACTGGTTGCATCACTGCCTGGTATGGCATCTGCTCGGCTTCCGACCGCAAGGCACTACAGAGGGTAGTGCGTACGGCCCAGTACATCACTGGGGCCAAGCTTCCTGCAATCCAGGACCTCTATACCAGGCGGTGTCAGAGGAAGGTCCCAAAAATTGTCAAAGACTCAAGCCACCCTAGTCATAGACTGTTCTCTCTGCTACCGCAAGGCAAGCGGTACCGGAGTGCCAAGTCTAGGTCCAAAAGGCTTCTTAACAGCTTCTACCCCCAAGCCATAAGACTCCTGAACAGCTAATCAAATGGCTACCCGGACTATTTGCATTGCCCCCCCCCCCCTCTTTTACAATGCTGCTACTCTGTTTTTATCAATGCATAGTCACTTTAACGCTACCTACATGTACATATTACCTCAATTACCTCGACTAACCTGTGCCCCCGCACATTGACTATGTACCGGTACCCCCTGTATATAGCCTCGCTACTGTTATTTTACTGCTGCTCTTTAATTATTGGTGATTTATTTTTATTTGTTATTTACTTAACTATTTTTTTACTTAAGACTTATTTTTCTTAAACTGCATTGTTGGTTAAGGACTTGTAAGTAAGCATTTCACTGTAAGGTCTACACCTGTTGTATTCGGCGCATGTGACAAATAACATTTGATTTGATGAAACCAAGATTGAACTCTTTGGCCTGATTGCCAAGCGTCACGTCTGGAGGAAACCAGGCACCGCTCATCACCTGGCCAATACCATCCCTTCGGTGAAGCATGGTGGTGGCAGCATCATGTTGTGGGGATGTTTTTCAGCGGCAGGGACTGGGAGACTAGTCAGGATCGAGGGAAAGATGAACGGAGCAAAGTACAGAGAGATCCTTGATGAAAACCTGCTTTAGAGTGCTCTGGATGTCAGACTGGGACGAAGGTTCACCTTCCAACAGGACAACGACACTAAGCACACAGACAAGACAACGCAGGAGTGGCTTCGGGACAAGTCTCTGAATGTCCTTGAGTGGCCCAGCCAGAGCCCAAACTTGAACCCAATCTAACATCTCTGGAGAGACCTGAAAAAAAGCTGTGCAGCGACGCTCCCCATTCAACCTGACAGAGCTTGAGAGGATCTGCAGAGAAGAATGGGAGAACCTCCCCAAATACAGGTGTGCCAAGCTTGTAGCGTCATACCCAAGAAGACTCGAGGCTGTAATCGCTGCCAAAGGTGCTTCAACAAAGTACTGAGTAAAGGGTCTGAATACTTATGTAAATGTGATATATACATTTGCAAAAAAATCTTAAAAACCTGTTTTAGATGTCATTATGGGGTAGTGTGTAGATTGATGAGGATTTTTTTTTTTTTATCCATTTTTGAATAAGGCTGTAACGTAACAAAATTTGGAAAAAGTCAAGGGGTCTGAATACTTTCCTAAGGCACTGTATACCTCACTCACCATGGTTCATCTGTGGGCTCCCAACACACTAGGCAGACACTGCATGTGAAACACATCGCCCTGTCATCACCGGTGGAGGCAGGCTGCAGAGGGAACGAAAGAGAGAGAAGAAAGGCAACAGTGAGAAACTCCAAATCAAGCACCATGAGGCTCAGCAATCCACAATAAAAACCAACTCATCTATTACACTTTATGTACAGCAATACATTTACTTTTTATATGGCGTCAGCAATAGTGTGCCATACAGCAACTTGTCTCTCAAAAAGCATGCAAACTAGTGTGCATACATGATAAACATGTAATTGGAAGATGAAATATTAATTTCTTCACTATGTAAGCATTAGAGATAGAGAGAGCTGATGGGAGGTAAGTCCTTACACTGCCTACCTGGTGGTAAAATCCTGCTTGGGCCATGGGGTCAGGCTGTGCCCACCTGTACCCGGCGTGGGGCCACGACATGAACGTTTCTCTCCTATTGGCCTCACTGTACATCAACGATCTGAAAGACGGACAGCAAGAGTACATTTGTCAATACCTTTTCAATTTCAGAAATGCCGGCAAAACAAAATGAACAAAATACATCAGATTGGTATTGAGAGATAAAGGTTAATTCAGTGATTTTAACGCCTCTGGGGCGCATGGTGAGGTTTGTCATGGTTTAAGGTCCTGCTCACCTATCTACAGAGCGCCCTGGGCCCACCCCCAGCTCAGGCCGTGCACTTGGTAAGAGGTAGGAGAGCCTGTCCATGATGAACGAGGCCACAGACAACGCAGCGACATTCTGGTTTATCTTCTTCAGCTCATTCACGATGGCACTGGCGACCAGCTTTAGCACATGGTGTGGAAGATGGAACGTCACTGTTGCCCACTGGAGAGAGAGCGACAGTTAAACAGTGTTAGGGAAGAAGGAGAGAGAAGTGTCCAGTGAGCCTTGTGTAATTTTAGTACTACTGCATCCCTTCCATGCTGGTACAGCAGATAAAAGTATACAACCATGGTTTGCCCAACTTCACATATTATAGAATGTATGCCATTCTGTGAGAGGTCACTGGGAATGTGAAAAGGGAAATCCATCATTGGGACACAAGCTGATTGTTACAGCAGTGTGAGTTGGGATCCGGCCAAGGAAAAGAGGCCAAACGTTAGGTAAACTGCAAATATCAGGCCTTGGTCCTGCATTGGACTTACAAGGGGAGTATATTTATTTTGATAGAGAAGGATTGGGGAGCAGGGGTGTGACAGCTGTTAAAACATTCACAATATAGGCATGTCAAGGTATAGCAAGATAAATCAATGTGTGCTGAATGAAATAGGGCAACAAAATTATCTTGATGTAACAGAGTGCTGGTTGGCACTCCGATGGCCAGCAGAGAGGATTCTTCTGCCCTTAAACATGTGCAAGAGCAAAAAAGTGTGAGAGTCATGTGTGGGGTCACTCACTGGTTATAGAACATACAGTGGCAAGAAAAAGTATGTGAACCTTTTGGAATTACCTGGATTTCTGCATTAATTGGTCATAACATTTGATCTGATCTTCATCTAAGTCACAACAATAGACTAACAGTGTGCTTAAACCAATAACAAATTGTATTTTTCTTGTCTATATTGAATAGATAATTTAAACATTCACAGTGTAGGTTGGGAAAAGTATGTGAAGGCTAATGACTTATCCAAAAGGCTAACTGAGTCAGGAGTCAGCTAACCTGGAGTCCAATCAATGAGATGAGATTGGAGATGTTGGTTAGAGCTGCCCTGCCCTATAGAAAACTCACAAAATTTCAGTTTGCTATTCACAAGTAGCATTGCCTGATGTGAACCATGCCTCGACACAAAAGAGATCTCAGAAGACCTAAGATTAAGAATTGTTGACTTGCATAAAGCTGGAAAGGGTTACAAAAGGATCTCAAAGCCTTGATGTTCATCAGTCCACGGTAAGACAAATTGTCTATAAATGGAGAAAGTTCAGCACTGTTGCTACTCTCCCTAGGAGTGGCCATCCTGCAAAGATGACTGCATGAGCACAGCGCAGAATGCTCAATGAGGTTAAGAAGAATCCTAGAGTGTCAGCTAAAGACTTACAGAAATCTCTGGAACATGCTAACATCTCTGTTGACGAGTCTACGATACGTAATACACTAAACAAGAATGGTGTTCATGGGAGGACACCACGGAAGAAGCCACTGCTGTCCAAAAAAAAAAACATGACGTTCGCAAAAAAAGCACCTGGATGTTCCACAGCTCTACTGGCAAAATATTCTGTGGACAGATAAAACTGAAGTTCAGTTGTTTGGAAGGAACAAACAACACTATGTGTGGAGAAAAAAACAGCACAGCAACATCAAAACCTCATCCCAACTGTAAACTATGTTGGAGGGAGCATCATGGTTTGGGGCTGCTTTACTGCCTCAGGGCCTGAACAGCTTGCTATCATCGACGGGAAAATGAATTCCCAAGTTTATCAAGACATTTTGCAGGAGAATGTAAGGCTATCTGTCCGCCAATTGAAGCTCAACAGAAGTTGGGTGATTCAACAGGACAACGACCCAAAACACATTAGTAAATCAACAACAGAATGGCTTCAACAGAAGAAAATACACCTTATGGAGTGGCCCAGTCAACCCGATTGAGATGCTATGGCATGACCTCAAGAGAGTGGTTCACACCAGACATCCCAAGAATATTGCTGAACTGAAACAGTTTTGTAAAGAAGAATGGTCCAAAATTCCTCCTGACCATTGTGCAGGTCTGATCTGCAACTACAGAAAACGTTTGGTTGAGGTTATTGCTGCCAAAGGAGGGTCGACCAGTTATTAAATCCATGGGTTCACATACCTTTTCCACCCTGCACTGTGAATGTTTACACGGTGTGTTCAATAAAGACATGAAAACCTATAATTGTTTGTGTGGTAGTTTAAGCAGACTGTGTTAGTCTATTGTTGTGACTTAGATGAAGATCAGATCACATTTTATGACCAATTTATGCAGAAATCCAGGTAATTCCAAAGTGTTCACATACATTTTCTTGCCACTGTATACTGTTAGACACATCTCTTTTAAATAAGACTGAACAAGTAGGTAACCCAGTTCTGTGTGAGTGACACAGGGCTGTCCCAGACAAAAAAAATATTGGTTGACCAACAGACATTTTAAAATGTATTTTTCCATTTATAGACACATCCTATGTGTTTTAATCAAATCAACTATATGCACTGAGCTTGTCTGATGCTTTAAGAGCTCTGTTTTATGAAATAATGAAAAGACCAAAATGACAAGAGGGAGTCCGACCGCAAATGATTTGATTGTGCCGGGCTCAGACTTGCTGTGCTGTGCACAAAAAAAATGACTAGTTTGACGAGCACCCGTTGTCTCCTCCCTGCTGCAGCGACCAAGACAGAACATCAAGTGTTTATCGCACTGTCCGTGTTGCTGAAGCTGCAACATAATTACAGCCATTTCTGACTGAAAAGTTCTGTTACCGAAATCCCTCATTTGTTTAGGAAACACATTCCCTATTCCCTCAACCCTTTCTCTCTTTACATGACACATGTATGCATCGCAATGCATGTGACCAATAGGGCCTGACCTATAGCCTATCATAATCACAAATAAACTTGGAAAATGTGTGGAATACATTTGACTAGTTGTGGAGAATACTGGAGATCAAGAAAAATAAGGTAAGGAGCAAGCGCTGCACGCATATTATGTGTGCCAAACAGGTGCTGTTAGATTACAATATAATTTCTGACCATTTGGAACAATGTAAAGACTAAATAAATTAAATGCGTACCAGAGAGTCTGTTGTAACATTTCAAATTATTTTGTAAATCCTTTATTACAGCAAAGACTAAAAAAACTGTCGCATGCATTCGTGAATGCAATTACCAAAATGGAACGGTTTATTTATAGTTTAAGCTAATTATTCAAGGGTTGCTTTGTTATTTTATTTTTAAACTAAAACGCTTGATTGCATTTCACATCATGAATGACTCATATGCTGTGTGATGACATAAATGAATGAATGAATGAATGATTGATTGATACAGTAGCCTATAGAAGTATAGAAATGTAGGCCTTAGTAAGTTACGGTATGAAGACTAAACAGGATGCTCTCTAAGGCCTACAGCTCAATGGTGGTTATACAAGGCTGCTATACTAAGCCTACTAATGATAATGACATTACTTATGATCATAATAATAGCAACAATAACAAGGAGATAAAGAGGGTTATTATTATTATATTATTTTTCAGACAATTTGGAACAGTGTAAACACTAAATAAATAAGTAATCCCAGAGAGGCTGTTCTAACAAAAAAATAAGTGTAAAGCTTTTATTACAGCATAGCAAATATTTTTTTAAACAGCAGAATTTGTGAAATTGGTTATCTGACAAGTGGTTGCATGAGGCTTGGAGTTCACGGAATCAGTAGGCGATTAAACAAACAGGCAACAAAAGCAGGATCTGTCTTATTTCTGTAGATACAGTATATATGGATGATTTATAAAGCCAGGAACATTTAACAGTTAGGCTATTGATTATAGACCTAATTAAGTTAGGATTTCCTCTCGCGTCACTTATCTTAAGCAATTGGTGCAAGGGATGTTGTTTTCTCCTCTCCTAACTCCACCGCATTGTTCTCAACACCAACATGCTGGTTAACTTAGCTATTATGAACATAGCAACATGGTCTAGGAAGACGCCAATCACAGCACACTGATGTTTCAGAACCGCGGACAGCAACCACTATCAAATGCAGGAGAAAGCGCATCTTATAAAATAACACTTTTATTAGTGTTACACCATTGGCCTTAACCATATACAATTTCAGTAGCACATCTTAGACTGATGGACTGTGCCATCCCCACGGCCTCCACAATGGATCAGTCCACTCAGACAGGCAAAACTAACGAAATCTTGATCGACCAACAGCCTATCGCCCCTCCCAAAACATTATCGACCAGTCGACTGAATGGGGTCAGCCCTATAGTGAGACCATAAAGGTTTGTCTAAAAAATCTTTGGAGCATGACCATAAGGGCAGATGTTGTGCTGCATGGCAGGAACACAACAGCATACGAGGGTAAGGCAGAGGACAATGGTGAGACGTCAAGATATTCTACAAATGTTGTATTTGAGACCTTTTGAGTATGTCACACGTTAGGAAATCTTACATTTACATTTTAGTCATTTTGCAAACGCTCTTATCCAGAGCGACGTACAGCAGCAATTCCGGTTAAGTATCATGCTCAAGGTCACATCTGCAGTTTTTTCACGTAGTCGGCTCGGGATTCGAACCAGCAACCTTTCGGTTACTGGCCCAATGCTCTTAATCGCCCGTCTTAAAAAGCCCAGTGCAGTCAAAAACATGATGTTCCTGTGTTTTATTTACATTTCCACACTGAGGTTGGAATAATACTGTCAAATTGTGAAAATTATGATAATGCCCTTTTAGTGTAAGAGCTGTTTGAAAACACCGCCTGAAATTTTAGCCTGTTTTGGTGGGAGGGAGTTTTGGCCTTCCATGGTGACATCAGCATACGGTAAATTAGTTAGACCAATAAGAAAGAGGGTTCCGAACCTCTCTGCTAATGAAAATAAACTTATGTTCTCCCCTCCCCACTCATAACACTCTTGCTTGAGAAATTGCTCTTTGCTTAGAAGCTGTTTCTTTTTCACCATTTTAATTTAAAACAAAATCACTAAGGTACTTAATTGTTACCCAGAAATGATTTGATAGAGAGAAACGGCTGCATTGGACCTCTAAAGAGATTATCTAATACTTTTCTATAATTTAGCTCGCACACGCTTTTTCAGTTCTGCCCACACATTTTCTATAGGATTGAGGTCAGGGCTTTGTGATGGCCACTCCA